AAAGAGGCCATACTAACTTTCCTAACGTTAGAGTCCAGGCCGGTTTGATGGGTTTGTTGTCGTAGACTGCCGGGGAAGTGGCTTGAAGGAGGGATGGGGACTTGGTGGATGGATGAGTGTCTCTTCTCGAAGGGTGGCACCCTCGAAGCTGTGTGGGAAGGGAGAGGAAGGGAACAAGGACCCGCCAGCTGGGAATGGCGCGGGTCCGTTCAGGTCTGTTCGGGTGCCCCTCGGCCAGTGATGAGCTGGTCAATGTAGTAATTTTCAGGGGCTTCAGGGTTCTCACCGAGCGGGATCATGGGCTGAGGGAGATGCCTGGGCCCTCGCCTGGAATCTCTTGTGAGCTGGAGGCCTTTCCCCCCCAAGAGCAGCCCTCCCCTCCGTCCTTTCCCTCCCTCCCTCCCTCCTTTTGCCCCTCCTCCGTTTTCATTTTCTTTTCATCGCACACATCTCTTTCCCCCCTGCGCTGTACCAACACACCCTTCGTCGTCGTTATCTCGTCGACGGCTGTATTATAATTTCCATCACCTTCGTGGCAGCTTGTCGCTGCAGGTCGGTTGATACTCGATACAGACTTCACGCATACACACGTGATCCACTTTGACTGGTGTTCTTCGCCAATCGAGTCTCGGAGACGAATCCATTCAAGTCACCGTGCGAACCAACCCAGCGACCCAGCCAGCACTTGCTTGCAGAGAGCCCACAGCTGCAGCCAACCCTTCCTCAAATCCTACCTCTCACTCATTCTCTCAATTCGAACTCGAGCGTGCGCTGATCCCACGCGGAATGATCACGACGATATCAACACCTCTGAACCAACTCACTTTCGAGCCAAAGGCTTGCGCCTGGTCGGAGGACTTTTAACCCTTAACTTACATCCACCATGGCTCAGTCTGACGCTGTTACTGCTGTTGAGCCTGCCAACGCCACAGCCACCACGACGACAGCCCTCCCACCCAAAAAAGCCGCCTCTGCGCCCGAAAAGAAGTACAAATGCCAGTACTGCAATCGAGCCTTCAGTCGCAGCGAACACAGGAGTCGACACGAGCGGTCGCGTAAGTCACCAACTTTTTTTTCGGTTGTTGCGACGTGGGGCACCAAGGAGAAATCCAACCCCGCCATCAACAATCCATCTATTATTTGACTCTTTGTTAACTTCTCATCCCTTGACAGACACCAAGGAGCGTCCCTTCAAATGTCAGAAATGTCGCAGCACCTTTGTCCGCCGAGATCTGCTCCTGCGCCACGACCGAACCGTACATGCGAAGGATGGCGGTGTACCTCTACAGTCTGAGGGAAGGCAGAAGAAGTCGAGTACGACCACAGGTACAGATAAAGGTGCAGGCGCAGGGACGAAAGCGGCGCCCTCAACGGCTACCGCTCCGTCCAAGCCCTCCATCACCATCGATCCTGGCACGTTGGAGCAGATAGAGGCAAGCAGCGATGGTATGCTCGACCTTGAAACTGCCGCCATGTTGATGACAGACTTCCAACACAAGGCGGCCGCAGCAGCGAACGGTCATCTGAACAACGGCGAAGGGTCAATCCCCGGCTACTCCCCAGACCGCAGCTCGCTCCTCGAATCGTCCGACTATCTCGGTGGCGCCAACAGCCTACCCCATATGCCCTGGGACAGCTTCATGCCCCAGGGTCCGTCGGAGCCCAAGGCGCATTCCATGTCCAGCATGTCGTCGCAAGATAACCTGTCACAGCCGCCGTACATCCACATGGGATCAATACATCCCCATCAATCGCAGCTCCCTCCCATCATGGAACGCACAAGCTCGCTCAGCGCCTCTCTGCCCTCTGCCTTTCCTGGCCTTGCAGACACCTTCCCCGTCTCTGGGACCCATACGCCCAATGCGCTCTCGCCGTTTCCGTCAATGACCGGTCCCGTCTCGCCAGTGAATTATCGCAAGTCGCCTGGTCCAGCCCAACCCCTTTCTTTACCCAAAGCTCCACAGTTTGACAACGAAGATGAGAGAGCTATGATTGCTAATCAACTAGGAGGAGACATTTCCCTTCCCTCGTTGCCCTCTATCAACCTCTATCTCACCACATACTTCAACTTATTCCACCATCATCTTCCCTTCCTTCACCCTGTCAGTTTCCGGCCCGAGACAACCGAACCGGCTCTTCTCCTTGCCATTCTCTCCATTGGCGCCCTGTACAACTTCGATCAGGAACAAGCCTATCTGCTTCACCACGGCTCCAAGAAACTTGTCAATCAGTTTCTTCAGAACAAGGACAACTTCGACTCGCGGAAATGCCCACTCTGGACGATGCAGAGTACACTTCTCAACATGGTTTTTGAAAGCTGGAGCGGTGGCTCCCAAGGCTTGGAATGGGCATGTTCCATCAAAAGCCTGCTTGCAAACGTAAGTTCTTACCGAATGTCTCGCAAATGCATGCTTATTTTTCATAGATGGTCGCTGGTAACAAATACGAACTCAAGCTACGGATCGACGCACGTTCTGGCACTCCACCAACCCACCAGGAATGGGTCAACGAAGAAGGCTGCAGGAGAACCTATTATGCCGTCTACATCTTCTTTGGGATGTTGACCTTGACCTACAATCACACTCCAGCAATCAGTTTCAACGAATTCGATTCATTACCCCTGCCTTCGTCTGAATCATTGTGGAATATCGAACCGAGTGATGAGGATTCTTGGCAAGACATCTTCGCAGCTTCGCCCACGATCACAGTCAGAGAGGCGCACGATAGTCTCTTCCAGGGCGATGCCGCTAGATACAGCGCATTTGCAACTCGTGTAATGATCAATGCACTCTTCTTAGAGGTTTGGAATCTCCGGCGAAGCTTTGAATCGTTGCAAGACGTTGTTCTGGAGTGGAAGATTCGAATTGCATTGGAAACGTGGGAGAGATCACTTGATCTTTGCGAACCGGAAACCATCGTCGTCCCATTGAGCACTCCGCACAAGAGTCACCCACTCATCTTCAACTCAATGGCCGTATATCGAAACACCAGGGCTTTCCTCGAAGTGGACCTCAAGAATGTCCAAGAAGCATTGCGATATCACAACTCGTACGAGATTGCAGGGGCTATGACGTTATCCCGAGACGCCGTCAAAAGAACCAAGGAAATGATCAAGGTGATCGAGCAATGCTACGAGTGCATGGAGATCGTCGCAATGCAAGGCATCAACTGGGTGACAAAGACATCTTCGACCAACTGGAGCATCGAGCATCCCCTTTGCGGCCTCGATTTGATCACGATCCTCAGTCTATGGCTCTATCGCATCGAGCACGACGATCAAGAAGCTACAGAGGAAGAGCTCTCCATGTATATGAAAGTTCGGGGCTTGTTTGACGATGACGCTGTCGATTCAAATGGATCACGTTTGAGCTCTACCGTTGCCCGAGTCTGGGGGTCCATGTTGGATGGTGTGGTTGTTTGGGGGTAAGTCGAGGTTCCTATCCATGATGATTGGTTGATTCTAATTCTGTCACAGCATCTCGAAAACCATGGGTGAATCATTCAAGCTCCATGCTCAAGCTCTCGTTGGATATGTCGATGAGATGCATCTGGATCCCGTCACTGGCATGCCACAAGTGTCAGAGCAGGCACTGATGGGCATGGAAGCAGCATACTAAAACCATTTCCTTTGTGACTTATGTCGGCACAATTACTCCTCTCTACCTCTTGCATGGCGAACGGTGGCTTTTTTTGGGCGGGAGAAACACGGCGTTGATCAGCATGGCGGTTCGTCCTCTTTACGGCATCAACTCGACTTAGAAGCCTTGTTTTTCAGCACATCAACCCGCCTCCTTCCAGACACTGGTCCCTCTCGACACTCGACCGGCCGTCCATGGTCTTGAGCGGCTAAGGCAAGCACCATTCATCTGAGTGCGCAACGTACTTGAACTCGATCTCATCACGAACCACATACAACATCTAATCTTCTCCGCTTGATACCTTGTGCGCTTACCGGATGCAAGACTCCCACTCATCTGCATTTACTGATGACATTTCTCGCTCAAACAAAAAGGACGGACTTGAGCGTCCACTACGGCCAGCAGGAATTCCTGGCCTCATGACCATTCATCTCTTTGCAACATTTTTTTGAAACCTTAGGACTGAGACACGGCCGATTGTGTGATTTGATTATTCTTACCTCTGTACACTAGTGACATGGGCGGAAGTGGTGCGCCGGAGTAGGATACACTTGGGAGTTTTGAGTCGCGCAGAGCATGGCACAGCTCACAGCTCTGCATCATACTTGCAGAGCCAGGCAGAAATAAGAGATCACACACAAGCAATTAATTAATGATATCCACCAGTGTTGCACACCTTGAGATGATCTGTTTCCCTGCTCGGGTATAAGGGATGATGCCACTTGCATGTGGATCTTGTCGCGAATCGGGCTATAATATCAAGGCCACTTCTTCATTATTCCCTTCCTCCCTCTTTTTTGTAGGTTAGTAATAGAACCAAGCTATACCCTTCTTCGCACGATGGGCGTGGAGGGTGAGTCGTCAACGAGTACACAATACAGTATGCGACTTTTCACGTCCATTTTCCGGCAGGGTCAGGGGTCCCACAATACTGGTGGAGGTGGGATAATTGAGGGTTCGTGTGCCATTGTACTATATATTATCTCTGCACCGGGAAGGACATATCTATGCAGATCTGGGAGAGCAAGGCTGAGAACCCCCGTTTTTACCCATGGGTGCGGTGCGACCCTCCTCCCCGGCCTTCGACATCCGCGACCTGACTATAATAATACTGGACTTGTTCTGGTTGTTTGGAGTCATATCTCATAGCTTCGTAGTGGTTTGGCGAGAACAAGGCATTAAATGCTGTGGACTCTGATGAATGATCTGGCATGTGCTGTAATCCAAGGCCAGTCGGGTCGACTGACTAACTGACTTATAGTTTTGAGGACAGCACAGGCAGGAAAGGAGTCAAATGTGAGAAAAAAAAAAGAAAGACACCGGCGTTTTGTCGTTCGACCACGAACTCGACATAGGGTGGTTTCACCCGATCCCGTTGAAATCGACGGCTGTCCACCACTTCTTCCTCAAAGCGTCACTGACCATCGTCAGTTCATCCACCTTCCCGGCCTCTCGATCCCTTGCCTGCAGGAATTCACACGCCGCGTTATCTGCATCGCCTTCAGCATCGTAGTAGAAGATTCCGGGTACGCTATCCGGCGAATCGAACATCTGCCACGACCGATACTCTGGCGGAAGAGCAGGAAAAGGACGTCTGACCACGCCATCCTCGAGGCCCCGGGCTTCTGGCAAGGATGACGCGTCCCGCTTGAGTAGCTCTTGTGCGTCGGAACACATGTTCAACTCGCCCGACACCAGAGATACCTGCTGTTTGGTCCAAGCTCGGGGGATCCGTTTCTGCTCATAGATAGTCACCGCTTCGGGCACAGTCAGCGTTCCGCGCACAACTTCACTCAGAACACGTCCGAGGAAGACACCATCTTCCATCGCTGTGGCTGCTCCTTGGCCCATGTGGTTCTGCATGCAATGTGCGGCGTCGCCCAGTAGCACCACATTTCTGGCCTCGTTCGACCACCGGTCCATTGGAGGCATGACAAGTAAGGGCCACCGTTGCGTGTAATTGACTAGTTCAATGATGGACTGGATTGCCGGGCTGTAATCCTTGTAGTATCCTCTGAATTCGTCAATGTCGACTTCCTCCATTTTCTCCACGTAGTAGTCCTTGCAAAACGAAGTGACTACATTTAGCTCTTTCCCTCCGGAGAGTGGGTAGGTCATTATGTAGCCGTTTGGCCCCGTCCACATGTCCATTGTGTTAGTCAAGATCGACGCTGCTTCAGGAGCCTTGCTTTTGATCTCCTCGTACGTGAGCACGCCCCGGTAAGCGGCAACTTTGGATGGAGCGCGAGGTTTGACTTCGGGGAAGAGATGTTGTCGGATCGTGGATTTGATGCCGTCGCAGCCCACCACTATGTCGAATGTGTAAGAATCCCCGTTGGTCGTGGTGACCGTCGCCGACTTCTCTGTGTACTCGAGCTTCTGAACCCGGGCTCCGACAATGATTTCGACTCCATGACGGCGAGCCGACTCTGTAAGGCCGGCATGTAGATGGTCTCGCCGAGCAATCAAATGAGGGAAGCCGGTGAACTTGTGAACACGTTTCGGATCGACCCTCGTCACCACCTTGCCATTGACGCCCCATGTCCGCACTTCGTCCACTTGAACTAGATTCTCGCCAATGATCTCGTCCACACCCCAGCGGATGAGGTACCTTGATACATTGGGGAAAATCTGGATGCCGGCTCCAATTTCCCCAAGTTCGGTTGCCGCCTCGAGGATGGTGACTTCGACTCCTCCTCGACGCAAGGCAATTGCCGCAGTAAGTCCTCCCATGCCCGCACCGATTACCCCTGCATGGAGGCTGACCGGAGGCATCGTCGACAGGGTTGTCGAACGACGCGCAGATCAAGAAAAGACAGCTGGGATCCGTTGCGGTTGAATTCCGTTTCCACAAACAGCTCGATGGACCTAGACAGCCTTTCACTCCCCAGCCCGGGGCCGTTGCAATATCAAACTTTGATTTGGCAGCCTGACACATGCACAGTGGCGTTTTGTCGTGAGTTCGTGATTGAGCGGGTGGTGCTCCATAATCTGACGACCGCAAGTCTCGCTCCCTTCAGACTGACATGAGGTCGTAGACTCGTAAAGGGCAATTGATCCGTCGTCTCAGGCGCCCCGAGTCTGGCTGGAGAAGGAAGACATTTCGTGGAGATTGGGGGAGATGACCGCCCTCGAGATTTGCTGAGGGATCTGTATGGGGGAGGCCTGATAAGATGGCGAGATGGCGCTGAACAACGACGGCCTGCGGATTTAGGCGACTGACCGAAGAGCGTAGACAGCCGAAGTCGCAATAATACTAGGCTTGTTCCATCTTTCTGCAGTTCAAACAACGAAGTGATCAATGTGATATGGTATTGTCGTGACTGTGGAGGTTCTTTTCCAACCCCAAATGGGGGCTGGTCAACATCCGGATATATTCGATCTGCAAGGATATGTCGTCTATCAACTGACACAGACTGTGTCTGCTACCTCCATCAACACGGTTCAGACCAGCGTCCGTTGTTCCTCCAGGGATTACTCCGCGAAAAGGACGCGAAGCTTGGATCCTTGCTTCCCGAGCGGTCTCGTAATTTAACCTTCGGTGGCACGCGACTTGTATCTTGAAGCCCCTGAAAACGCTTCTCCCAGTTACGCGAGATGGGTGCCCCTCCAGGTCCTTCGAGTACGAATAGTTAATGCCACGGGCGACATGAGCCAAACTTGTTCAGGCCAGGACGACATGGTCTTTTGGTAGAGGAGAAAATACACTGGGTCCCCATTGCTGATCGTACATTTCCCGAAACTGTAGTGTGAAGGCTACTTTGCATCACAGTTGACAGTACAGCGACGTCCGGTCAGCGCTATGGGCTCAGCCACCTCCAGATTTTGCTTTGCCGTAACTCTTGAACCAGGAAACGAACGGAAAGCTAAAGGTTCGATCGGCGCGGGAGGACTTGAAATGCATGTGAATCTGAGAATACGCGTCATGGACGCGAGCAAGAGTTTATCTTCGTATTATTGACCCCCTCTTCTCCGAGTCCTCATCTGGACCCAGCGCGAGCATACCGGGGAGACAAGCAGCTGTGCCGGTCGATGCTGGGTAAAGCATCAAGTGGATTGTGGGTTCAATGCGTGGTGCTGGGCTTGCACAGTGTGTTAGCTGAATCAAGGATAAAGGAAGTCACTAGGAGCTTGCCGGGTTGGCGAGGCGAAGGCAACCGAGTTTAACCAGTCTATATCAGACGCGGCGAGGAAGGTCCGGGGGACAATAGTTCAGGTGGTAGGCGGCGAAGGGCGGCAATTGCAGGTGAGAAAAGAGACATCAATGAGAGAGCGACTGAGGTAGAGATAAAGACAGAGAGAGGCAGAGGGGGGGAGGAAGGGGACTGTCACGGTATGTAGGTACTTGTACATATGTACCGAGTACAAGTGGGGGGTTCCTCCGTAAAGTGAGAGGTAGAGAAAGACACCCAGGCTTGGTTAGGCGTCACAAGTACCCAGTCGACACCAATGGCACCCCCAAGAGTCAAGACTGGCACCGAGTGCTTCTTCCGGCTCCTTTGTACATACCTTACTTACGAGTAGCAGGTACTTAATCCCTACATAAACCCTTGGAAACTCACTTTCTCCGCCAGTGCTAAGTGCTCCTGGTGCTCGTCTCATCCTTTCTCCTTTTCGGTTGGGTATACGACTGCGCTCCTCTCTGTGTGGCCTGACGGTCGTCTCCTTCATCCCACGCTCCGCCCTCCTCAGGCACACCTCCCAGGTGGCAGCATTCTCTCGACCAACAGCTTCTTGCAGATAGCCGCTAGCGAGCGGGCCAGTCAGCCTGTTGCTCTGACCTTTGTTCGGCGACCTCAGAGTCTGGCTCACAGGCTTGTGCGTCTTTGCCTTTGCCCCTCCGGACCATCACGAAACATCCAATCGGGCAGCCTATACAAACCCTTGCTTGCTCCACCCACTCCTCCCAATAAACCAATAGCCCAACACGCCCGCATAGAACCAAGAGACTGCAAAGCGTCCTCCGTCCACCGTTCTACAGACCGCAGAACTTCAAGAATCTTGCAGCATTGACCTCTGACAACCCTAGAAAGATCTTTTGTCTCCTCCATCGAGGTGGTCTCATGTGTAACAACGCTGTCACCATCGCCGTCCTCTAGATTCCTCAACCAACGACTGCCTAACCTCCTGTCCGCTGGTCCACGGTTTGTCGCAGCATTCGAACATGCAGAGCCTGTTTGCCTTGCTGCGCTCCGAAAGGCAACATCTGGCGCTTCAACCCTCCCTCGAAAATCGGTGAACTACCGGTGCAATGTCAGCCTCGCGCAGGGGAACACAAGATTCGACATCGCAAGGTGCCTCAGCCAAGTCAGGCTCAGTCCTTGCCGCCGCCTTCCAATATACCGAACCGAGTCGACCTTCCCACACCACGTCTCGTTCGAGATCCTCAAGCGTCCATCACGCGGGCATGAGCGGCCTCTCGCCACGTCGCCGTGCTCAGCAAGCTGCTATGAACAGCTATGTCGCCAGCACTGACCTTCCTCCACCTCCCCCCCCGATCTTTGTCCGTGCCTTGTATAACTATGAAGCCGACGACCACACCAGCTTGAGCTTTCGCCAGGGTGATATAATCCAGGTGTTGACTCAATTAGAGAGTGGGTGGTGGGATGGCGTTATCAATGATGTTCGGGGCTGGTTTCCCAGCAATTACACCGCCGAGATCACCAATCTGGATGAATTGAATGAGGCGGGTATAGGAGGCCACGACGAGAGCGAGACTGGCTCCGGCACCGAGGAAGATTATGATGAAGAGGAGGAAGATTCGGACGCTCAAACTCAAGATGAGGACTCAGATTTGCCGATTGAAGGTGCATCCCAGTCTCAGGAAGAGGCGGCGTTTTGGGTTCCGCAGGCGACCCCAGACGGACGTTTGTTCTATTTCAATACGCTGACCGGCGTCAGTACAATGGAATTGCCGTTGGAAACGCCAACAAGTTCGGACGAGAGCGGACCGCGTGATCGAAACAATTTTCACGTCCCAGAACAAACAAGGCCACCGCCCGAGATGATGGCAGGAGGGTACGCGCAGAATGAAGAAGACTACGATGGGTCTGCCTCTGAGGCTGACGGTGAACAATCCTTTTTGTCTTCACGCAAGAAAGGGTCCGGTTCTATGACTTCTGCCAGCATCTCAACCTCAACCTCCATGGACTCACTCACCCTAAGCTCATCCAGACAACTTGGAAGCCAAGCAACCAATCCATTTACCAACACGTTTGACTCTCACCTCAACATGTCGCTGGCATTGCCTCCCTTGGGGACTAGCTCGACTTCATTTGCCGTAGGGCTACCGCCGAAACTATCCAAATCCCCCACCCCCCGATTTTTCCTGGACGACGGGGGAGTCGCTGCAGTCACATGGGATAGCCTGGTAGAGAATATGCGCACCGCCATCGAGGCCTATCGTCATGCAATTCGTACTCGAGCGCGCGCAGACTATGTTCGAAGGGCAGAAGACATCTCGGACCATCTTCGCATGCTGTTGGCCGCAGGATCAGGGACCACCGATAATCACTCGGGAAACCCATCTATAATCTCGTCAAATAAGGCCTTATACCCTCACTTTCGGGAGATGATGTCCAAGTTCTCCAAGCTCGTCCTATCATCACATATCGCCGCCGCCGATTGGCCAGGACCTGACTCGTTGACTAAATGTTTGCAAGAAGCCGATGGTGTGATGAATGGGGTATACGGGTACGTAGAGGTGGCCCGACAGCAGAGAGGAGAAGAGATCCCACGGTTGTTTCCGGGCTTTATATTGGGCAGTACTGTTGGAGGAAGCTGGCGGGACAACAACATTGACTCCCAAACGAATCTGGATGAAGTCTCATTCATGGATTCCAATGATGAGATCGGTTGGCGTCCATCGGAACCACTCGATGCGAACCTCCTTCGACACATCGATGATTCGAAGAGGGGTTTGTCGGCCGCCATTCGTCGTCTTGAGGAGGTCCTAGTACTTACTGAGAAGATTGTCACTCCTGCGAGATTATCTGCCATTGGAGATGCGGTCTGTCAAGGTGCGGGCTTGATTCTCGAACAATTTCGACCGTGGGTCTCCTATGTTGAGTCTATCGATCTCTCTGCGCTGGGGAACGTGTTTCAGAAACCATCACTGGTGGATTTTGGATCTCAGAAGCAAAAGGCCTACGATTCCATTGGTGAACTGGTGGCCACTTGTCAGGCTGTCACTACGCCCCTCCCAGATGAATGGGCTGAAGTGCGTGGCGAGTCGTTGGATACCCGGATTAGCAACGTTCGAACTGTTTGCCAGCAGCTTGACACTCATGTGGCCAACGTGGGCTACGCATTGGAACTATTACTACCTGCCACCACCCTAAACCCAGCGCTGGCTACTAACAAGCGGGAGAACCGTGTGACCGATGGAGGTGAAACCTATCAGGCTCACCATCTTCGATCCGATTCGAAGCATGCAGCAAACTTGCGCCCTGCACTGGCAGATCTTGGTCAGTCAAAATCATACACGCTTGGTGAAGATCCCATGACAGACAAATTACGTCGACCCCCCAACAAGGACAAAGCAAGGCAGTTCTTTGGACAGATCCCGCCGGACTTGAATCCCGTCAAAGCCACCATTGAACCAAGCTACCCTGTAGACGAAGTCCCATGGTATCTGCAACTCGACCACGCGGATGAAATCACTTATGATACCAAAAACGACCCTCCTCAAGTCAAAAGCGGCACGCTCACTGGGCTTGTGGAACAGCTTACTAGACATGATCGACCGGATACGACCTTTACCACGACCTTCTTGCTCACCTATCGTTCTTTCACCTCCGCGTCAGAGCTCTTTGAGCTTCTGGTAAGGCGATTCAACCTACAGCCACCTGCCGGCTTGAATCGCGACGAGTATTCCATCTGGGAAGAACACAAGCAGAAGCCAGCAAGATTTAGAGTCCTGAACATTCTCAAGTCGTGGCTGGAGCAGTATTGGATGGAAGCCGACGATGGCAATAGTCAGGCATTGCTCGAGCGAATGCTGGCTTTTGCGAACCGTACATTTACCACGACGAAGATTCCGCTCGCAAAGGCTCTGACATCAATCATCGAACAGCGATTGAAAGGGGGAGAAGCTTTGTCCAAGAAGCTTGTGTTGACTCTCACGAATTCTGCTCCAGCCCCTATTTTGCCCAAGAACATGAAGAAGCTCAAATTTCTGGATATCGATCCCAAAGAATTTGCGCGGCAGCTGACCATTATTGAATCGAAACTCTATGGCAAGATCAAGCCTGTTGAATGTCTGGCCAAGACGTGGGAGAGGAAGAGCAAGTCGGATAGCAGCAGTGATACTGCTCCGAACGTGCAGGCTCTCATCTTACATTCAAACCAATTGACTAACTGGGTCTCGGCCATGATTCTGGGTCAATCAGAGGTAAAGAAAAGAGTGGTCATCATCAAGCATTTTGTGCTGATTGCTGAGGTGAGTTGTGTCCCCGCCTGTATCGACTTTGCACTGTTCCTAACATACTGCACAGCAATGCCGTGTCCTGAACAATTTCTCGGCCGTGACAGCCATAATTTCAGCTTTGGGTACTGCCCATATAGTCCGACTGAGTCGAACCTGGAATGCTGTCAACCCAAAGACAAACGCAATCCTCGAGTCGATGCGCAATCTGATAGCATCTTCGAAGAACTTTGCACTTTATCGTGAAACACTACGCCAGGCAACTCCGCCATGTATCCCCTTTTTGGGTGTTTACCTGACCGACTTGACGTTCATTGAAGATGGAATCCCGTCACTTACCAAGAACACCGAATTGATCAATTTTGCCAAACGGACCAAGACTGCCGAGGTCATTCGAGACATCCAGCAGTATCAAAACGTGCCTTATAGTCTTCATCCGGTTCCAGAATTACAGGAGTGGATCTCGGACAACATGAAAAATGCCGGAGACTCCCATGATGACATGTTCGCCCAGAGTCTCAAGGTCGAGCCTCGCGAGCGAGAAGAAGAGAAAATCGCGAGGCTACTGTCCGAATCGGGATTTCTGTGAACTGGGGAGATGCGCATTGTTGTGGATCTAGTGTTACAACCTGCTTTTGTCTGGAACAAAAGTATCTTTTCTCTGGGACGATACGGGCTTTGGTTACACGGAGCACTCCCAACGCAACGCAGCAAAAGAACGACGTTCGTAGATGAGCGAATCTCATCCTATGTCCTGCATCACATGGTGTGGACCTTCGGCGGACGTGGAATGAATCGGCGCATGGTCTGGGAATAATGATGGCAATCATATGGTGTTATGACGACGATATCTGGATTTGGATTTGGATGAGGAGATATGTGCCCACGTCAACTTAACGAAGCTCTGCATGCTTGTGAGCATATGGAAATCTGGTTACATTGGGGATCCTGTTGTGCTTGTGAGGGCTGGAGTCTGTTTTCTTTCCTCCAGGTCCAGCGGCGTCCTGTGGCTTCGTTGAACGGGCGAGTGGAGGATGAGCATGGCCCAGCAATGGTCAGAATTGAGGGCGCCCTACAACGGGTCAATACTGAGGGCCATTTCCGTGGATTGGATACGGGCGGCTTTGTGCTTTATGCTCTCATTTCATGCGCTCTCCCTTACCCTGTTCGGTTTACCGTAACTCTCTCAGACACACAGGACCATTTTTTCTTATAGATCAGACCAATACTTATATAACAAGCACGTCGATTTCTCACACAAGGCTGCAGGCTCCTTTTTGCCGAAAATAATAACTGGTTGGTAGGAACTGCAACGAACAGACAGGCAAACAGGATGAGACAGACTGCGGTGCTGCCGAAAATGCTTCTCCGCTCCGGGAACAACTCCGGAAATCTCACCACCACCATCACCACCAACATCAAGTTCCAATGCACCTTTAACCCTCGTCGACCTCCGTTTGCTTCTCACGTATCTCTCTCCCAGGTCTCTATCTGTACATGCCTTCCCACCTTCATTCCGCCCTCTCAGTATTTACACGCAGCTTCCTACCAGCCGCAGCGCGCAGACCTTTGACAACTGCTTCCCCGCACCACTTGATCTCGCACTCTCTACTTCGACCACAATTCGGAATCTCGATACAAACCATCCGCAGGATGTCTTCCTCCTTGTCTGCCATGGGCAAACGCCTGTCTGGCAAAACTATCCTCGTCACCGGCGCCTCCTCTGGCATCGGCCGCAGCGTCGCCCAGGAGTTTGCTCGCACATCCCCGCAAAATTTGAAGATTATCATTACTGCCCGCCGGGTTGAGACGCTCAAGCAAGTTGCCGCGGAGATTAACAAAGAAGTCGGTGACGGGGTAAAAGTATTGCCTGTCAAGTTGGACATCTCAAAATCTGAGGAAATCAGCAGTTTTGTGGGAAATCTGCCCGAGGAGTTCAGAAATATTGATGTCTTGGTGAACAATGCCGGTTTGGTCAAGGGCATGGACAAAGCGCCAGACATCAGACCTGAAGACATGGAGGTCATGTTCTTGACCAATGTGACTGGTCTGATCAACATGACGCAGGCCATCCTGCCCATCATGAAAGCTAAGAAGGGAGATAACGGCGAGGATGTCGGAGGCAGAGGGGACGTCATTATGATTGGCTCTATTGCAGGGAGAGAGGGTTATCCTGGTGGAAGTATCTACTGTGCTACGAAAGCTGCAGTGAGGACATTCACAGATGCCCTGAGAAGAGAGCTGATTGCCAGCCGCATAAGAGTCATCGAGGTGGACCCCGGGCAGGTCGAGACTGTACGTGGCCCTCTCCGCCTTGCACCTCCCTCGATGATCGCCAAAAGAGTTCCAGGAAGCTCCTGCTGACTTGGATTTTATGCTGACTCTCTTCGTGGCTTATTAGGAATTCTCCATTGTCCGCTTCGGCGGTGACAAGGCCAAAGCCGACGCCGTTTATAAAGGCGTGGAGCCCTTGACCCCGGACGACATCGCAGAGGTTGTTGTATTTGCTGCCGGAAGGAGGGAAAACGTCGTCCTTGCGGACTCGTTGATCTTCCCGAACCACCAGGTCAGGCTCTACCCCCTCTCATTCACACGCGTTGCAGTTACTTCGAAGTGTTGTTTTTGGCAGGCCATGTCTATTCTGTAGCATGACGAGATATCCCCCGAAAAAGGCCGCTGCCACCGATTACAATAAATACTAACCAAAATGTGAGTGTAGGCTTCTGCAACAGTCATGCACAGGAAATCAGCATAGAAGCTGTCCCCCCTCTTTCCTTCGGTCCAGTCACAGCAGCTCAGACTCGATGTGGAGGAAGAAGTCGAGGGTTCATCCAACGGACGCAATTCCAGCAGCGCCTCCTCGATCAACAAACTAACCTTTTCCCCGATCCCTGTAGCAGCGCAGCAGTCAGTTGAGAATTGTGGAAAAGAGGAGAGCCAGAACAGACAGACATGACCCCTCATATCATGTACAGAATCTCAAGACATATAGAACCGATACTGTTCGACAGAATCAAACAAAGATGAATTCAAGCTTTTTACTTCTAAAGAGGCCCTGGAATTTGGGGGTCCATGGATGGGAAGAATCTCGATCTTGTGATTCGCCTCTTCATTATTGTCGTTTTCTAGCGGGCCCTTTCACTGTCTTTTTAGATGACGATTACGCTGCGCTTCCTACAGGTCTGATCTGCTCGCCCCCGAGAGAGAGAGAGAGAGACAGGGAGACCATGCTGGATTGAAAACGGCGCACAAGCTCGATGTTTTGAAGCTGTAAGATGCTCCTCTGCACATAGCAAAGCGTCCTTTCCCGCCAAAGCAATGTCCTCGCAGCGAATACCATGTGTCTGTCTTGCCCCCTTGTTGCCCCTCTCCTTGCTCCAGCTACAAGACGGAAACGTCTATCTGTGATCTGCTCTGTTCTGCTCTGCTCGGTGGCTTCCTTGTCAATGTCCAATTTCCACGAGGACGTATGAGATGTCGCCTGCTGGCCCCTGAATGTTGCATTTGTGTGTCCTAAAACCCCAGAGCGCATATTCCAACGGACATGTGCCATAAGAGTGCGCCTCTTGGGCATCGCCGTCCCTGGTGCGACTGAAAGCTGATATCATTTCTTGCTGTCAACTTAACCTGTGGTTCTGTTCTTATCGCGATTGCCATTGCACCATGATTTACTGGGCGTTTGTCGCGATCACTGAGCCCTCATTACGAGTGTGTTCGAATGGTCATCGATCGCTGGGAAAGCTAGATTCCCCTTCTGTAGCACTTGGTGGGTGAGGACGTGGAGTGTGCTGATGCAGATGCTGATCGGATTTCCCACATGGTTTGCTGGCGTGCTGCTGCTTGCTCTTTCCTTGAGTTTTGCCTGCTCTGCCTCGGCGCTGGTTGTCCTTACCGTGCCCGAGTCCCATCCCACCGGTTCTCTCGCTCTCTCTGCTTATCGTTTGTTCAGCACTTTGAGAGTCTCGATGTCTTGGGTCTTGGTCATGCCGCCAATTTTGGGCCTGCATTGCTTGACCCACATGACTGTAATGTCGCTGGCGGTAGCTCTTACCTTCGTTCCGCTGTCCTATCATCATTTCGGGTGACCTCGATCTCGTCCGCTGCTCTTCTTGCTTGGGAATGGCAAGCCGAACTGGTTTGGGAGCCCCGGTTACTCCAAGAGCTGCAAGACGTTCTTCCTGCTCGATGGATAGGCCTGTCTCCAACGCTTGCTGTTTTGGAAATGTCTGAATGCGCTGTTGAACGTTGGCTGTTACCGAGACCGAGGGGCGGCGGTAAGCTCCAGCAATGTTGTGGCTTGAGACAATGGCGTTTTTACGTTGATCAAGTTCTTCAAATGCTACTATCTCCCCATCAGTAGCGATATCTGCAAACGCCGGATCGTCCTTGACATAGTGCCAGTGTCTGGTTTCGCGCACTGGTTTGAAGAAGGTGACATCCTTGTTATTGCGGAAATATTTCGAGACAATGACTGGTTGGTGCGCTTCCATCCAGTCATTCTCATCCATTGTTGCGCCGAAGGCTTGTATTCTTCGTTGGACTGGCAAGAACTGCTTTGCAGCCTCAAGACCTAGACCATCACAGAAACCGAGGGCTTGCACACTATCTTTCGAATGCATGTCATATCCGTGAGGTAGATTGCCACGCGATTCCTCATGAGTATTCCACTGAGAGAGCGTTGGGAGGTCTTGATTCAGCCCGTCCGGGATTGGTGGTGATACCGGTCTTTTGTGCTCATAAGTCGCACCCTGATGTGGCTTGATCAGTGGTCCTCCTAAATCGCTCGTTGGGATATGAGACGAGAAGCTAGGTGGAGCACGATTGCTGTACTGCGATTGATCCGTAGATCGTGACCTTGTGGACATGTAGCTCTGGTCGAAGCGATATCCTTCTTGGAAGCACATTCTTTGGTCGGGATACTGGGCAGCTTGAGTACCATGCGAGGGTCTACATGGGAAGATTGTCAACAGGCAGTGTCGTCTGACGGAGGCTCTCGCTTCGCTCACAGGATATATCCACCTTGTCGGCCGCCATAGGCTCCAAGATAGCTGGTGTGATCATAGCTTTCTTCACCGTGACTGTCTCTCAGATTGTTTCCGCCGTTGTAGTAACTAAACATGAGGTGATTTGGACCGAAACGTGGATCTGTCGTCCTGTCATACTGCCACTGCAGCATGTCTGCTTGACGACCAGGTTCCATCTTGAGTCAAGGAAGCGACGATGAGCAATCACCGGTGTCCTTCTTTAAAGAAATAAAACAAACAAAGGTTGAATGTGAAGTAGTTGGGTGTGAAACAGCAGTCTTCAAAGCGGCGAGGGATTTTGATGTCGAAGGGCTGCACGAGGCAGAGAAAGCAAACCGAGAGTCACCACCGAAGCGAGCAAAGGGAAGGAACAAAGCCGAATTGACATCTCTGTAGGAGAGAAAACCCAGTCACTGGATGCTGAGAGTGAGTGGATATCATGGCACCGCACAGAGGACAGAGAACAAAGAGCAGACGCAACCTCGGGCTTTCTCGTACGTTTAGAGCAGCAGCCCCGAGGGAGAGAGAGAGAGAGAAAAGAAAACCCTTGTCATTCTCGTGTTATACTGAGAGAGAGTAGATACAAACGAGTTCTTGGTCTACGAAGCGGAGACTGTTTGTACCCGAAATGCGACGGTTCATTGCAGGGTCTTGGAGGTTGTAGAGCCGCAGAAAGCGAGTAGCTATGGAGCTATTGCTTGAGAGGAGAGGCGACATCGTCAGAGAGGATGAGAGGCGATGGCATATGGCCAGGGTGCCGATGGCTGGATATGGATGAAGACGGCGGGAAGCTGGACGTGGAAGTGGTACATAATAATGCGAGGCAATATTCATGACGAGAATCTTAGAAGCGGGAAACAAGTGTGAACAATTACTTCTTTTAGAAAGCCGCGTTGCCGCCGCGTCGAACTTCACCCTGCGACCGAACCAGCCATTCTCTTCGACGACTTCTCATCCTCATTCTCCCTATTTCCTTCATGCCGCGTTCCCTCCATTCTCTCCTTCTGCAGCATTGCTAGCATTTTCCCCGGAGTCGGGCATCATGACAGAGCGGAGCGACTCCTGCAGCGTTTCAAAGAATTTGTCTTAGGCGCAGCCACTTGAACACCCTCCTCCCGTGCTTCAACACTTGTGGCGGCACCAGTGGCAGACTTGCTTTATTTTTTGCAATGCCTGGTCTACCAGGTAGGTCTTCTGAGGCTCTTACACGCAGAATATCACTGATGACGAAATACTACAGCGAGTATCGACCTGGATGAATGCATCGCCCAACTGTACAAGAAAAACCTCCTCGCCGAATCCCTGATCGAGGCGATATGTGCAAAAGCAAAGGAGATGTTAATGAAGGAGAGCAATGTGGTCCATATATCGGCTCCTGTCACTGTTGTTGGCGACATCCACGGCCAATTCTTTGACATGTTGGAAATCTTTAAGATTGGGGGCTTTTGTCCAGACACCAACTACCTTTTCCTCGGTACGAATGCGTCCTACGCGGTTCAATGCCCCATTGCTGATCGGTCGCAGGCGACTACGTAGACCGCGGTCTTTTCAGCGTCGAGACGATTTCCCTTCTTGTTTGCTTAAAGTTAAGATACCCCCAGCGCGTCCATCTCATTCGAGGCAATCATGAATCACGAGGCGTCACGCAATCTTACGGCTTCTACACGGAATGCGCACGAAAATACGGCAATGCAAATGTTTGGCACTATTTCACCGACATGTTCGATTTCCTTACCCTGAGCGTGGTCATCAATAACCAGATCTTCTGTGTTCACGGCGGCCTTTCTCCGTCCATCCACTCCATCGACCAGATCAAAATCATTGACAGATATCGAGAAATCCCCCACGAAGGACCCATGGCGGACTTGGTATGGTCAGACCCCGATCCGGAGCGAGACGAGTTTTCGCTTTCGCCGAGAGGAGCTGGATATACTTTCGGGGGCGATGTGGTGAAGAAGTTCCTGCAAGTTAACAGCATGTCTCATATACTGCGTGCCCATCAACTGTGCCAGGAAGGCTATCAGATTTTGTACGACGATCGCCTTAGCACAGTCTGGAGTGCTCCGAACTATTGCTATCGCTGCGGGAATTTGGCGAGTGTTCTTGAAGTCAGTGATGCCGGTGATCGCTACTTCAATATCTTTGATGCAGCACCGGAGAATGACATACATCGAAACGAGCAGCAACAGCAGCAACAACAACAGACGCAGGGAAAAGATGGTCAAGGTTCTCACATTGAGTACTTTCTCTAGTGTTTGGGTCATCTGACGTATTGGCTGGTGTTGGAGGCAACATCCACAGCAGAATCCCGCAAGCCAGTCGTGACGAACTCGTGGCCAAGATGACTCTCAATTGCTAAAGGCTCGAGGGCATCGCCCGTTTGACAACATCGTCGGATCCAGGCCGACATGCTGGAAAAAAAGAGGGTTGGGCCACCACGATGGCTAAACCCCAATCACTTCCAATCCTTGGCAATGTCGAATGACCAGTGGAATTCGAGATGTGTATGGTCATCATCGTCAGCAAATCTGGTACTTGCCTCGTAGTGGCCACGAGCGAGCATGCCGGAAGGAGCCTCTTCTTCGGTAAACCTCTTTTCATATGTGGGCTTATCGGTGGTGTTGGGCGCAAAACTGCCAATCATCTCCTGGTCCTTGCTGACACGGATACCTTTTCGCTTGACGACTTGGATGTACTTGAGGCCAGAAAGGACTTGGTGCTGGACGGTGAAGACGGCCTTCATGCAGTACTTGCAGCCTTCCTTGATGGTGAAGGGGTGTTTGTTAAGAGTTTCGAGGGAGCCAGGTTGAGTCAGATCGATGGTTATGTCTGGTCGGCCTTCGACTTCCTTTGGCCTGGGTCAGGTACTGTATATGATTTCTGGTTCGGATGGACTCACCAACGAAAGAGATTTAATGATGCACGTGCGGGGGTCGTTCGGGTCGCCGATCGGTGTGCCACTGCCCAGACCAAGTGATTGCTTCCACCGATTCAGGGCATCGTCGCCTTGGTCTGGATTGGGTTGAGGAAGTCAGTGTATGATCACAAAGCCCGGTGAGAAGAGAGCAGATCTGGACTCTAAAAGAACAGCGATCACAGTAGTTGTCTCAGATCTCTTGCCTGTATCTTGCCTTCTTCGCCATTCTTCTCTGCGGAATGGTGACTGTGGTCCACCATCCAGACACTTGTTGGAGTGGTAGACAGCAGGTTAAACTCACCCAGTTTCTGATATTCCTCCAGCGTCTTCTTCTCCCCCACCTTGAAACCGGGGGTATGTTCGGCCTGCAGATCATCCGCCATGTTTGCTGACACAAGACACGATTATCGATAAAGTTGTTCCAATCACCAAATCTGTCGTCGTCGATTGCTTTGGAGAGTGAGCAGTGGGGTGAGAGGAGAGTTGTGAGATGTTTGGAGGGGTGTGGGACGCTGAAGCCAGCGGCGGTTGTGGCGGTCTGGCTGCACAATATCACGCCAATTCCAAAGTAGAAAAGCGCGTCGCGTTCACGTCACTCTCACTTGCCCGAATGATTGATAAGTGAATCTCCGCGACTGCTCTTTCAAGCCTCCGACCACCACCTCTATATTCTCTTTATTCACAATTCTTTCTGTCTTTGACACCAGACTCGTCAAAATGCCTGGACGTGTTCTTGATCAACCCAAAAAGAGGGTCTTGACAGACACCACCAACACCCACAACGTCCTCAAATCCCCGCCGTCGGCGAAGAAGAGGAAACTAAATGGCGACCGACCCAATGTCTCTTTCCACTCGTCACAGCCCGGCCCAAATAGGTTCAAATCAAAGCTGGGCTCGTCGCAGCCCAAGAGCCAGTTTGAAACCGAAGTTCTTGAGAAGATGACACAGGACATTGCGGGCTTGAAAGAGAACAATTCCGAGAAAGACCAGCAGTGGGAGAGACCAAGTCTGGAAAACTTCAACGCGGACTCGGATCCTTTGCGTTTCCAACAGATTGAAATTGAGGAAGGCACATTACATGGGGGAAAGATTGCCCTTAAGATGTTTGGTGTATCGGAGGTACGTGAACCGTGGTGTTGTTGAACCACCATTCGCTAAATCCAGAGCAGACTGGCCACTCCATCCTTCTCCATGTCACTGATTTCCTTCATTACCTCTATGTGGCGGCGCCGGTCAACTTCCAACGGTCGGATGTGGAAGGGTACAAAGCATACCTCGAGGCCCAACTGGCACAACATCAACCCGCCATCCATTCCGTGCAGATGGTGCTGCGCGAGAACCTGTTTGGGTTTCAGGGCAATCAGAAGAGCCCCTATCTCAAGATTACGGTGACAGACCCAAAGTTTATCAACCGATTACGGACTGCGATAGAGGACGGACATGCCAACTACAAAGGGATGTGGAAAGGCGTTGAAAGCAAAATTTTGACCTTCGACAACATCCAATACGTTCTTCGCTTCATGATCGATACGGGCATCACCGGAATGTCATGGGTTGAGGTTCCCCCACAGAAGTATCACGTCCTTCCTCAACATGACGGCCAATCTAATTGCCAGATCGAGGCGTACTGTCACTATCGGGATCTTGTCGCACATGGACATGACGGCGAATGGGCAAAAATGGCACCACTTCGAATCCTGTCCTTCGATATCGAATGTGCTGGCCGCAAAGGCATCTTTCCCGAAGCCAATCAAGACCCCGTTATCCAGATTGCAAACGTGGTCACAAAATATGGCGAGTCGAAGCCTTTTATCCGAAATGTCTTTGTACTGGACACTTGCAGCCTGATTGTGAACACGAAGATATATGAACACAGATCAGAGTCTGACATGCTTATGGCATGGAGACAATTCTTGGAAGAAGTTGATCCCGATGTCATCATCGGCTACAACATTGCAAACTTCGACTTCCCCTATCTCCTCGATAGGGCCAAACACCTGAAATTGACTAAATTTCCTTACTGGTCACGACTGAGAAGTGTAGCATCCCACGCCAAAGACACCAACTTCTCCAGCAAGCAAATGGGTAATCGTGATACGAAGTCCACAAACACTAATGGCCGAATTCAGTTGGATTTGCTGCAGCTCGTCCAACGAGACCACCAACTTCGCAGCTACACGCTGAACTCTGTCTGTGCACATTTCTTGGGTGAGCAGAAGGAGGACGTTCACCACACCATGATCACAGAGCTATACAATGGAACTCCAGATTCGAGAAGACGATTGGCTGTCTACTGTCTAAAGGATGCTTACCTCCCCCAACGACTTATGGACAAGCTCATGTGCCTGGTTAACTACACGGAAATGGCCAGGGTCACAGGTGTCCCTTTCAACTACCTCCTCGCCCGAGGGCAGCAGGTGAAATTCATCAGCCAACTTTTCAGGAAAGCTCTAGAGCAGCAATTGGTCATTCCGAATCTGCGAAACGAAAGCACCGATGAGCAGTATGAAGGTGCTACAGTCATTGAGCCCATTCGAGGCTATTACGATGTGCCCGTTGCTACTCTGGATTTCGCTTCCTTGTATCCTTCTATCATCCAAGCCCACAATTTGTGTTACACCACACTATTGAACAAGAACATCATCGAGAAACTCAATCTGAAGAAGGACGAAGACTATATTCTCACTCCCAATGGGGATCTCTTCTGCACCGCCAAAGTTCGCAAAGGACTTCTTAGTCAAATTCTGGAAGAATTGCTGAGTGCACGAAAGCGAGCAAAGAAGGAACTCGCTGTAGAGACAGACCCATTCAAGAAGGCGGTGCTCAACGGACGCCAACTCGCTCTAAAAATATCTGCAAACTCTGTCTACGGTATCACAGGTGCCACTGTTGGCAAGCTGCCCTGTCTCGCCATTGCATCGAGCACCACAGCATATGGCCGTCAAATGATCGAAAAGACAAAGCATGAGGTGGAACAAAAGTACACAATGGCAAATGGCTATTCGCATGACGCCCAGGTCATCTACGGTGATACCGACTCAGTCATGGTCAAGTTTGGTGAGAAGGATCTTCGAAAGACCATGGAACTTGGAGAAGAAGCCGCCAACTTTGTCTCTTCTAAATTCATCAAACCGATCAAATTGGAATTCGAAAAGGTCTACTTTCCTTACTTGCTGATCAACAAGAAAAGGTACGCGGGACTGTACTGGACGAATCCAGAGAAGCATGACAAAATGGACAGCAAAGGCATTGAAACTGTCCGACGGGACAACTGTCGTCTCGTCCAAGTCGTCATTGAGACAGTTCTGAAAAAGATCTTGATCGACCGAGACTTAGATGGCGCGCAGGATTATGTCAAGGAGACAATTGCCAACCTTTTGCAAAACAAGATCGATCTCAGCATGCTAGTGATCACAAAAGCACTTAGCAAAAGCGACTACACGGCCAAACAAGCACATGTGGAACTAGCTGAACGGATGAAGAAACGCGACGCAGGCTCAGCTCCAGCACTGGGCGACCGTGTAGCGTATGTCATGGTGAAAGGCGCCAGCGGGTCCAAGAACTACGAGAACTCGGAGGATCCAATATATGTGCTCGAGAACAACGTCCCTATCGACACCAAATATTACCTGGACAACCAACTCGCTAACCCTCTGGGAAGAATCTTCGAGCCCATCCTCGGTGAGCGACGTGCTAATTCCCTACTTGCCGGCGACCATACACGCTCCATCTCTGTTGCTGCCCCTACCCTTGGCGGACTAATGAAATTCGCCAAAAAGACACAGACATGCATGGGCTGCAAGAAACCTCTCGTCAGCGCCCAGGAATCCAAGGGTGCGGTGTGCGAGAACTGTCGTCCCCGAATAGGCGAGCTGTACACCAAGCAGATAAAAAAGGTCGGCGAACTGGAAGTAAGATTTGCCAGGCTGTGGACACAGTGTCAACGGTGCCAGGGCAGTATGCACTCTGAGGTGCTATGCTCGAGCCGGGATTGTCCGATCTTCTATATGAGGATGAAAGCGAGAAAGGAAGTAGAGGAGTCAGGAAAAGAACTGGCAAGATTCGATGCCGATGTTGGTGCCATATGGTAGAGACAAGAGCGTGCGACTGGGAAATACAGATCGTGGTGACAAGCTCTGCCTACCAGTGAGTTTTGCTGTTATTGAATGGAAGTTTGGATGCTTTTCTCCAAAGCGGCCATGTATGGTCCACTGTGGCAGCTCGGTCTAGTCCCGGGAATACATGGTATCGCAGTAGGATTTGCGTTCGGCATTGCGTTTCAGTAATGAATGAACGGAGGTTTTCCTTGATCTCTTCAGCATGGCGATTTCATTGACATTTACGACCAAGCGCGACGAGGGAGACTGGAGGAGAAGCTTTTGTCGGTAGGAGCTCTACATAGATACATACCAACGACATGTAATAGAATGGAGCACTGTGTGCAAGTAAAGAAGAGGTCCAAGTCTGTACAGTCGTTGCAGTAGATCCGTCTGTCTGTACCTCGTAAAGCTGGATTCATCACAAGTACACCAACGACTAGAGGTCCGGGTCGTCGTCAACCAATTGTAACCTTGACAAAGTACTCGTTCCCTCGAAATCATCCTGCAGCATAGAATTTGCCTCTGACATTACATCCCAATCATTTCCACTCGTGTCACCACGGCTGAATCCATGGTTCACTTTTTGAGCCTCCTTACGCACCTGCATCGCCACAATTGCCACGCCTAGCGCATTCCATACATCTTGATCTCTTTGGCTGAAATCAAGCTCAGCAATGATGCGGAGTCTATCGGGGTTGACACTCGCGCCAGCCCGAAGAGGAGTTCCTGGGGTAGATGGAGAATCTGTTTGCGGTTTTGGGGGTCCCAGTGTATACCTCTTGCACGGGCTGAGTGTGACAATGACAAGTACCGACGAGATGATCACGAAGCCGACAAGGGTAGGTGAAGAAGCATCATCATCAGCTACCCGCGTTTCGTCGGTATCAATGAGATCTGGACTCTGAGTCTCGATGCTTGGGTGAATATTTTGAGCTCTTTGGTGTCGCACCGAAAGCCTCTGTAACCTGTTCGCGATCTCCTCAAGCGTCTGCAGCGTAGACCGATCTTTCTTCCTGGCGACGACAGCGTGGACTGGAATATAGCTGGTCTTTGAACTTGGGCGAAGTCCCACATCCGTCAGAGCCCAGTAGAGGTATCTCTTCACAGACTGCTCCAGAATCCTTTCTCTGGGGATACCCGGGCTGACATGTGTCCTGTCTCGTATATCATGGCCAGCCTCGAAGAGTCGACGCAGAGCATGGCTGGCCCTGAATTGGTTGTCTCGGATGTTTTGGATGAGTGGAGGTTCTGCCGAGTTCTCGTGTGCAAACACACTGATCGGTAATGTGTCGAAGTCAATCATCCAGTTTTGCGGCAGAAGAGGCTCGAAGCCACGATAGGCGAGGTGGAAAAATAATTCGCGTTCTGCCTGCGACCAGAGTCCTGAGTTGGCAGGCAAAGTAACCGCAGCAGCATGCCTTCGCGCTTCCTCCATCGCGTCGAAATCTACGGAATCTAGCTTTTGCCTTGCCATTGCGGTTGAAACGAACGATATCGAGTCATCGTCGTGAATTCCCGTCTGAGAACCCTGCATCGCTTCAGGGTCGGCACGCAGTGCGAGCAATGATGTCCTCCGGCTGTGATGGGTCGCTGGGGGTGGCATCAAGGTTCGATCTAGGTCTGCCTTCGTCCTTATTCCATCACTGGGGATCGACGGGCTCTGGTGCACATCACTGTCATCCCCGTATGGTGTGAAAGCGTCTCGGTCCATGCTTATCGCACGCTTCTTGGTCTTGGGCCCATAGTGATTCTCTTCCACAGCCTTTCTTTTACCCTTGCCATAACTGACAGAATCGTAGGACCCTGCACGTGTTCCAGGACTCGGGGTATAAGCTGTGTCATTTGCATGGGCTGAGGCTGTAATGTTATCAGAGCGGGACAGGAGAGTCGTGGATGAGCCCAACAGGCCTTGCAGGTAGCGAAAGGGAGAAGCAAATGCCGATTTGGCCATGATCGCAGACTGAAGCGTAGTCGAGGATTGTGCAGGATGTCTCGAGGATGGTGCAGGTAAGAGGGAGCGTGACGACGAGCTGGCGGTGAGGAGCAGCTAATCAAATCCGAAATGAATCGAGTGGTGGATGTTGTCGGCTAGCCGAAGGCCTGTAGCGGATTGATGGCAAGGCGGGTGAATCGCCGTAGCCTTCTCGGAAACATCGAGGGCATGACTGAAATGTCTGGTAGGATGACCATTTGTCGGGCGCGGTGACCTGGTACGGGCGTATCCCTGCGCTTTGTTCCCTGACGTGAAGTCGTATCAGGGAAGTTGGAAACAGGCAGCCTTGGGCCGGTTTCAGTTTCAGGTTGACGTCGTTGACATGCGCGTATTCAATTGGTCGAGACACGTTGGGCAGCAGGAGCTTCGCCGTATAAAGACTAGCGTGCATCAACCCAGGCGCGGGTCATCACGTGTCAGGCTCGCCCTTTCTAAATGTCCTAGTCTGCCTATCGACCAAGTAACTCATACCAAGTATATGTCCAGCATAGGGGTGCGGGCAGTATATAAGAAACAACACTATATCCCGCTGCTCTCAGCCACTGTGAAGCCGTCACAGTTCTGCGCAAATGGATGCAGCTGAGCATGATCTCGATGCCAAACTCTACAAGGCTTCAGGAACCCTCCTTAACGAACTTCAGCACAAGCTCCCACTACTATTATGCCACCCCGTAACGGTGCCACCAAGACGCCGTCTTCGAGTCCTCGACTCAAAATGTGAGGAATTGAATCTGCTGGTTTGTCTCCATGAGTGTGATGGTCTTTGAGTGCATAGCTGACTCTGTATTAGCTTGACCGTTTTCAGGAATGGCCTCAACTGCTTGACCCGCATCTTTCGAAGCTGATCCAGCATCTTACCGATGCCTTTATGGGCTACCTTGCAAGTTCCAGCGATCAGTATGGCCCCACACAACGATCTGGAACAGCTAGTGTCAGTCCTTTACCTCGAGCGATATGCAGACTGCTGTACTCTTTCTGTAAGGTTAGGGGCTACAAAGTTATTGTTCGTTTGCTCAATAATGAGCCCAAATATTTGGCTCCAATGTTGTCCGCTTTCACATCTTGGAATACACCGTCTAAGGGTATGACCTGGCAAGAGAGATACATCATGCTTCTCTGGCTGTCTCATCTGATGCTTGCGCCTTTCGAGCTGGCCACTATGTCGGTCAGCCACACGGTCACCACTCTTCCTGGTGATCTAGGTAGTCTTCCTGGCATCGCCGGCGGTGTCGTTTCACTTGCTTTCGACCAACTGGAAAGCCCGGGCAAGGAGCGTGAGGCTGCAAGTATTCTGCTAGTACGGTTGAGCTCACGGAGAGACATGCTAGCCCACAAACTGCCTGTCAAGCTTGTGCAATATGCCTCTTATAAACTCCTCAATGATGTTGATTTGGTCAGCCTCAGTCCCTACAAAGCCTTGGGGCTCCTGTCGCTTCTTTACGGTATCACAAACTCTGCTTCAGATAGCGAGGCTGCTTCTTACCTTGAGAACAACTTCGGTGCTATATTGAAGATTGCCACAGCTGAGAGCAGCCATTTTGCTGCTATCAGAGACTCGGCCCCTGCACGGAAATGGATTTTGAAAAATTTGCGGGCCATTCTGCTACATGCAATCTCCTTGAGCTCCAAACACTCATCTGTGCAACTGGATAGCTCCAACACCATGCTCGAGGAGAGCATACAATACTTCCTAGATGCCCTGAGTGACAAAGACACACCGGTCAGGATGGCCGCTGCCAAAGCACTGAGCGTCGTTACCCTGAGACTAGATCCTGACATGGCAGCAGAGGTCATTGAAGCAATTTTGGGGTGTCTTGAAGAAAACGTCCTATTGGAAGACCCTCACCGTCATAAGCTCCTGTCAACAACAGACAGAACAGTCCACGATACTGCTGGGATGAAGAGAGTCATATCCGCGGTCGACCCGTTGAGATGGCATGGTTTAATGCTAACACTAGCACACCTGCTTTTCCGCCGATCTCCCCCACCCACAATGCTATCAGAGATCATCCGAGCCTTACTCCTGGGCCTAGAATTCGAGCAGAGGTCCAATGTCGGCACTTCAGTTGGCGTCGGTGTACGAGATGCAGCTTGCTTTGGCCTCTGGGCTCTTGCTCGGAAATACCGCACTTCAGATTTGGATCTCGTATCTTACTCGGATCATGCTGAGCAAGGTGGAACAGAGTGTCAGAGTGTCCTACAACTGATAGCTGTCAAACTGACGATCTCTGCTTGCCTCGACCCTTCAGGTAACATTCGCCGAGGTTCGTCGGCGGCTCTACAAGAGCTCATCGGTCGGCATCCAGATACGATCACCAATGGTATCTCGTTAGTCCAAGTTGTTGACTATCATGCTATTGCGCGGCTCTCCCGGGCCATGACTGAAGTCGCTCCACAGGCCGCGGCCCTTGGAAACGTCTACCACAGAGCTCTATTGGAAGCCCTAAGAGAGTGGCGGGGTGTTTGTGCCGCCGATGTCAACCAGCGTCGCTGGGCTGCCTCGACCATTCACCTCCTCACGAGGTCACTTCCCGTCCCAGAACTCTCTTCCTTCGCTGAAGTTGTCCTTCGCCAGCTACTAAATCTTAAGTCAATCAACATGGGAAGCACTGCAGCAGCCAGGCACGGATTGCTCCTCGGGCTCGCCTCATCCCTTGCCTCACTTACGGTGCTTGAGCCTGTGACAGCGTTGTCTTGGTTGGAGAGAGATGGCAACAAGATTCTTGAGTTGAAGCTGTTGACAGGCAAGCTCGAGGGCCGGACGACAGCAGACATCGAACTTGTGATGGAAGGAACAGCCACGCTTATCTCTGAAATCAGCAAGTGTTGCGCCATGGCAAAACGAACACCAGCGCCTGTGCTGCAGTCATGGATATCGGCCGCCGCAGGAGTTCTGAATCACTGCACCACAGCAGGGATCAGGGAAATTGCCGTCCAGACGAGCGCTGAGGCGTTCGTGGAGCTATTCAAGGTTCTCCCACTTTCCGCGGATGCCACAATGATTCAAGGATGGCTCGAGGACAAAAGACAGACATCCGCAGCTGCTACAAGCAAAGGACGCCTCAAAACACTGAGTTTGCTACACGGATATCTGGCGCAGATTGGATTTGATCCCACAGTCCGTCACAGGATTCTGTCGTACGCGATGGATATCGTCCAAGGCTCGTATAAAATCGAGACAAGGGTTGATGCCATGGAGGCACTGGGCGTCATCCTCGCGAGTGAAATACCAATGATCGACGACAATGTCACAACTCGACTATACGGAGTGTTCAAATGTGGTCTAACAGACTACACCAATGACCAACGAGGAGACATTGGTTCAACCCTCCGATTGCAGACGCTCGAGACGGTCGACATATACCAGAATGCACTTGGCTCTCGTGAACAGACTAGCACGATGTTAAAAGACGTGTTGCCGCTCGTCGTGAAATTGGCAGCGGAAAAGCTATCCAATGTGCGTTTCCGAGCCTGGAAATGTCTAGAAAGCCATTGGAAGAAGGATTCCTCCTTTCCAGACCTGCAGAATGCCTTTCAATATCCTGCCGACGTCTTGTCGGTCACATACTTCCAGCAACTGATGGTTCTAATATCTATACCCTGGGTGCAAAGGGATCTCATCCTTGGACTTGCTTCGTCGGCAACATCCGGAACAGAAGACCTGTGTCGCGCGGCCAGCAATGCGTTTGTCCTGCACATGCAGTCGCTAGACTCTGGGACTCAGATAAGGCTTTCCGAAACAGTTTCGACTGTTGTTGTTGAACAGCTTGCGCTAAACGCTCAGCAAGATGATCGCCAGGTTGTCCCTTTGCTTGACTTTCTGTGTCTCATCATTGATCAAAACCTATTCGCTGTCGACTCGAGCGAGCGTTCGGACACCGCAAAGGCTGACTTGTGGACCGTGATGCAAAAAGTCCACGGGCCCATGTCAAGCCTCCAGAGAATTGAAGCATCGCTGAATGTCTACTCGAGGATGTTGTCCATGGATGCCTATCGTATCAAGGCGCTGGATAAATTGACCAGACAACTGCTCCACCGCTGGCCAAAGGTACTTTCCCTTCTCGACCCTTGTGGAATACAGGTTCACTAACTTATAAGATTCGTAACATTGCTGCCGACTTTCTCTATGTTGACTTTCCCAACAAAACACTGGCGTCTTGCGATTGGAACGAACCATTGGCCGGAATCAAACCCCTCGTTCTTGACATCCGAAAGCAGGTTGGCGTAGTCGGAGTAGGCGGCACTAGGTCAGGTGTTTGACGGCGCCAGAGAGGATGAATTGGTGAATTGCCATTGCAACTAGCTGTCCAACCCACGCGCCTTCATACATCGAGCTACGGCGTCTTTGACTGACTTCTCGTTGTACTGCTCCCAGATATCGTACAGGCTGATCAATTCCTGGGTGCCCTCAATCATCTGTTCAATGTTGATGCCGGACTCGACCAGGAATTTGATGGTATTCTGCATCTTCTCATTATCCTTGCTCGGGTTTATCACCTTCTCTCTGTCTCCTGGCTGCTGCGAGGGTGTTTCGGTTTGATTGAGAAATGATGCTTTCCCATTGAGGTGGGCGTTGCTTTGGGTGGCCATGAGGTTCGACATTTGCAGATTGCTCAGGACGCTATTGATAGGAGTAGACAGGCTCTGGCGCCCGCCGACTCCAAGCGATGAAAAGTGACCGGCATCCGGGTTTGATAGGGTTTCATGAGGCAAAGGACGTAGTGTGCCGGCGGCCTTAGCAGAGGGTAAGAAGACCACGGCAAGAAACATTGCAATAATGGCAACAAGGTGAGGAGGACAGGTCAGTGGCAAGTCGGTCATGTAGCTGTCATTGATGATGGACCAAGCCAAGCCAAGTTCGTCGTTGGTCAACTTGAGCTCTTGATTCTCCTTCAGCGTGATCAAGGAGCGATAGGGATGCCAGACAATTAATTCGGAGCGCATCTCTGAGATGAGGCAGAACTCCATCTCCCCGAGCCTCGAGACATCCCCCGGCACGAATTCGGGCCATGCTTGGCGTGCTTCGGCCGCGACAAGGCGGATGTGATGGGGCGATTCCTCGGTTTTGGAGGCAAGATAGAAAGCTGTCGCAACAAGCAGGTAGAGGTTGACGTTTTGCATCGGTGTCGAGAGGAAATAGCGCTGCATGTAGACCATGGCAGTGGCAACGCATTGTTGGCGGAATTGCAGCCTCTTGCCTAGCTGTAAGATTCTGTCTCGCAGGAAGATGAGCATCAGTCTTCTATCCGGATAGGGCCACTGGTCAAGAACTTTGGAATTTTGTCTGTCCAGTTCGTCGCGGATCTCGAGCAGCTTTTCCGGCGTGAATGTCCAGAATTTGCGCTGTGTCGAGACCCAGTAGTTGGCGGCCATCCTGCTAGAAGATAGTGTTGATAATCGTCACGAATCCCCTCAAGAATCGGCCCGGCATGTCCTTTCGAAACATAAGGCTACGAAGCTGCCTCATGGCACCATCCTCCTTCACTGAATTGATAGATGACAAACATTGGCAGAAGGATAGAGCTTGAAAAGAACATTGACAACAGCAGTTGAAGTTGGGAGAAGGCTTGGCAAGGCTGCGCGAGGCTGACCAGTAGCCTTTGTCCACGCCTTTGACGCTGCGGGCTAGTGAGGCCGAGCAGGAGCGCGTAAAAAGGGGGAGAGTTTCGGGGTTTGAGGTGCTCTTGGGTGCTTTAGGCTTAAAGATCCTCGTCAGTGGCGCTGATATAAGCTAACAGCCAGTTAACTAACGCCCCCACAGCACGTCACCCTTCCAAAGCACACCCACCACACATCAGCAATCAATCCATCACCAACTGCCCAGCTTGTTTTGCGGCAAACAGAGCTTCGGATTCTTCGTCTCTCTTCGATCCTCTCCTTTCACAGTCGGCTGGGCCACTACTGATCCTTCATCTAATTGTCCCCAAGACAATCCTCACGCCTCGCCAACCTTTCAATCAGTCACCTCCGAAGCTTTGCTTGGTGAAGAGAAGCACACAATCATGCTCCCCCACAGATAGTCCCATCTTATCATTCCCACCAACGGATGTAGTATGAACGGAGAGTCACACGAACGCCGCGATGAGCGGATTCAAGACCTATGGCGCAACCTCGATACTCGGAACGAGGGTCAGCTCGACCTTCCAGCTCTCAAGAAAGGCTTGCGCAAAATCGACCATCCTCTTAAAAACGCCGATGACCTACTCCACGATGTTCTCAAAGCGGTCGATACCTCTGGGGATGGACGCATACAATATAATGAGTTCAGAGTGTTTGTGGAACAAGCGGAGCGCGAGCTCTGGCAACTTTTCGAAAGTATAGACAAAGACCACAGCGGCGCGCTGGATAAGGCAGAGCTTCGTGCCGCATTTAGCAGGGCAGGTTTGACAATAAGTAACGCGAAGCTGGATCAATTTTTTGACGAGGTGGACGTCAACCATGACGGGCAAATATCCTTTGAAGAATGGAGGTCTGGACATGCCCTCAGCCGTTCTTGGTCCGACAATCTCTGACGGGCGCACAGGAATTTTCTTCTCTTTTTACCTGCGAGTGCACCTACTCTTGGATCTCTGATATCCTATTATTCGGCGACAGCAAATGTTAACCAAGAAGGTGATGTTCACATCAATGACACCCTTCAAGGATTTGGTAAGGGCTACTTCACCCCTTTGCTCGGCACCTACATCCCAGTGGCAACTGAACATCGATTCTACCTTGCCTTGCTTCACACTGCCTTTTAGGGCTTTTGAGCAGCTGAGTGCCAGGCACACCCTGACTCAGGTCCTGTCCCTTTTTGGGATTTTGATGTTCAGCACACGATTTCTGTTCATCGTCTCTAACCTAATTGACGATGCTGACAGAAATCCTCATCCCACTAGGCTATTTCATAGCAGGTGGCTTAGCAGGCATGATCTCGCGGACAGTAACAGCACCGCTAGACCGACTCAAGGTCTATCTAATCGCTCAAACGAATCCCAAACCGGCGGCGGTAGAAGCGGCCAAAAAAGGGGCACCTCTTGAGGTGGTCAAGAACTTTGCCCGGCCGTTGGTCGACGCGTGCAAGGATCTGTGGCGGGCTGGCGGAATGCGAAGTCTGTTTGCTGGGAACGGTCTCAATGTCGTCAAGGTCATGCCGGAGTCTGCCATCAAGTTTGGTGCATACGAGGCCGCGAAGAAGATGTTTGCCGAGTTTGAGGGTTCAGATCCAAAGCACCTCTACCCGACTTCGCAGTTCCTAGCTGGTGGTATTGGTGGTGCAGTCGCCCAATGCGTGGTTTATCCTCTCGATACTCTGAAATTGTAAGTAACGACTTGGATTTTGCCACCATGTACTAACTGGCGATAGCCGCATGCAATGCGAGACGGTCGAAGGTGGCTTGCACGGAAACGCGTTGATCGCCCAAACCGCACGAAAGATGTGGAGACAGGGCAGACTCATGCCCTATTATCGGGGATTAGGAATGGGTCTCGCTGGCATGTTCCCCTACAGCGCTATCGACCTATTCATCTTTGAAAATTGCAAACATTTTGTCCTAGCACGGAAAGCCAAGAAATATCGCTGCCACGAGGAGGACGTGGAAATGAGCAATCTTCTCACAGGCGTCATTGGAGCAACATCAGGAGCGATCAGCGCGACCGCTGTGTACCCGATCAATCTATTAAGAACGAGGTTACAGGCTCAAGGCACAGTGCTGCACCCACCTACCTACAAAGGCATTGTCGATGTCACGATCAGAACGGTTCAAGGAGAAGGAGTCAAAGGACTGTTCAAAGGCGTGACACCGAATCTGTTGAAGGTTGCGCCAGCAGTCAGCATTAGCTATATTGTCTACGAGAACAGTAAGAAGTTGATGGGCCTCCATTGATCTGGGACATAACCCTGTCTCCCCCGAGATGGACACCTCAAGCAACGAATATTATGAGAGAATGTTTAAACAAGACTAAATAATAAAGTGGCTCTGTCCTTCTACCCTTTCCTTCCAACATTTGACAGATGTATGTGTATCGAATCAGAATTGCATCTAGTCATTTATTGATTCACCGTTCACGTGGTACGGCGGATCAGTTTTGGCCCCGAGGCTGCGACTGGATTCTACACAATCCCTATTGTGCAACGTCCTGCAGATAGTGATGTGATGCGATTCTTGATGAATGACTGGAAAAGAGATGCTTCTTGAGTTCCTACCTGTGACTGCCCCTTGGTATGCTGATAATCCCTAGTCAAGTACCGCTCCCAAACACATACTCCATGACATCGCGCAAGACGACACTATTGTCCAATTCCTCTTCCATCATTGTCCATGACCTCTTCGCCGAGTGATGGAGATCCTCTTCAGACGCCTGACATTTTGTCCTCTCCCACGATCCCGACACTCGAGGTTAGCAAGACAAGACCGCCCGCGAGAAACGAATCACCTGAGACATCCACTAACAGTCTCCCTGTCCGCACATCGAGCCCTCCCGCCCTAGGTTCCCGCACCAGCACCTTTTCTAGCGTTCTATCTCGCTCTAGCTCCCCCAATGGGAGGTTGTCGCTGTCACTATCGAGGTTTGGCAGATCACGAGCGAACAGCCCCCTAGGAAACCCCTCAGAAACATATGATGACACACGGTCTCTGATCGTACGGGCGTTTTCTCCCACTGTTGCAATCTACGCTTCGCCCGAGGTGGACGAACTCGCCGCTCGCAAAGGACTGAGAAATGGCTTCGTCGAACTGGTTCGCCCGTTCGGCGACAAGATCAACGGCAAGGTAGTGGTGCGAGACAGCACAGGAGCCAGCCGGGCATGGGAGGATTTTGGTGTGCACTTTGCAGACCTTGGCCAACTAGTTCAAGATGGCACGTCCGCGCAGTCCGCGTCGAAATCCACAGACAAGCTAGAAGAATTGATGGAACATTTTGTGGGCGATGGCTTTGACCAGACCGAAGATAGCCTGGGACGAGGCGAGACCTCTCCCTTTTACCGGCTGTTTCTGGCACGCCTTCTGGCGTCTCAAACTATGAGCGCGCATGAATCCTTCCGCCATCCAGTTGGTGCGGTGATCGCCATCAGTTCTGCCACCAAACAACCCATCGAGACCCTACGCAATCTCTATCAGCAAACCGCGTCGGGTTCGCGAGCCTTACCTGTTTATGCCAATCCGGAATATCTAAGATATTATGTCCTTGTCCACGATGAGGACCGAGATGATTTCAGCAAGTCGTCTGCGCTGTTCGATCAGATGAAGCGCCATTTCGGCCTCCACTGCCACCTCCTCAGGCTGAGATCCGCGCCATGCACCCAGACCGACGACGACACGGAAGAACTTCCTGCCAGCGAGTGGCTATCTCCTACTGAACAACTCTCCCTCTTACGCGACACAGCCGATCTGATTGATCTCGATACCTCAACATCTCCCTATATCTTTTCGTCAGATGCGACGGCATTGCGCGCATTTGTCCGCGAGCTTATTGCACAATCAATAATCTACCATATGGAGCAAAGGATTGCTCTGTGGAACGATCAAATTGCCTCGCGTCGCCGCGGTATTTCCGGTCGGTTCATGTCACTCTCTAAAAGATGGACCGCAATTGGAAGTTCTTCTCGAAGCTCGTCATCAACCACCAATGTAGGGTCAAGCGGCAATTACCACAGCCTGCAAGGGATATATCGCTATGATGCTCCCGAAAGTCTCTTGCGGAAGCTTGCTGACTACGCATTCATGTTGAGAGATTACAAACTGGCGGGATCAACCTATGAGCTGCTTCGAGGAGACTACTCCAACGACAAAGCGTGGGAACACTTGGCCGGAGCGAACGAAATGTGCTGCGTCGCTACTCTCTTGAACCCGCTCACGAGCAGCGGCAGTTCCAAGTTCAAAATCGAAACCTTCGACAACATGCTCGAGACTGCAAGCTATTCATATTTGACCCGGTGCACTGAGCCAGCCCTTGCGTTGCGCTCTATCTTGCTGGGCGTCGAGCTGTTGAAAGTCCGAGGTCGAGCAGCTGGCGAGCTCGCGGCGAAGTGGGCAATCCGCAGCCTCGAACTGGGCCTGGTTGGTAGTATCGGACATGTCTTGGTCAGTGAGCGGGTTGCATCTTCTTTTGCAGACCGCATCGGCATCGGCAACACAAGTTGGGGTATGCGTAAGCGAAAAGCTGCACTATGGAGTATCATGGCTGCTGACGAATGGATGAAACTCGGCCGAGCCGAGATCGCCGCTGAGCGACTTGATGAAGCACAAGAGTTATATGGTGAGACGAAGAACACTGAATCACACAAGCAGTTTCATGAGCTTGCCGAATACCTAGATCAATTGCGACTGGCTGTGAGGATGAAGCTGGGAGAAGCAAGGAGAAGAGGCTTTAGTGGAGCGACGAGACAGATCGAGCTGGAGGGTCCGGTGGACGCCCAAGCCGACGTGGAAGATGAAACAGTGGAAGAAATGAATGCCCTGGAAAAGGTCGACAGCAAAGGCCACCGAAAAGTTACTCCAGGAGGGGGCCTGGGAACAGGAGCCAGTCCCCTTGAACCCGTTACGCCGTTGAGTCCGGCGCGGCTGAGTAGGGGCGACACATTCCGGCGCGATGACGATTTTGAATGAAGACAATAAATGCACTGTCCAGCTAGAGGTCCAATCAAGCGTGGAAATCCAGGCCAGCGCAATCTGATTCGATCATCCGGGTACTGAGCGCGAAAAACAACCTGCCAAAACCATACAACAAGGGAGCAAAATATGATGAAAAGGCTTCGAAGGGACGAACAACAAAAGCTCGAGAAATTCTCCACTTCTACAACCTCCGACGCTGATCTAGAGAGACACACTCCCGGTTGGCCTCTCTCTCTAGACCTGCTCTGTACTGATGTTCAGATCCGAGAGCCCTGCGCATCAGGCCAACGGTTGCCTCACTTGGAGGGGTTTATTGAAGTGTCACACCCGATTTTCACCTCCTTTGGAAGAGTTTAGGTCTGCGCAGAGGCCTCGTACCGTCTGCCATCATAATTCAGCATCGAGATGATACTGCTGCTGCACACAGACGGATTTCAATATCTTGGCATTGGAGCGGACACTGTTGATCTGTTTCTCCATGGCAGATTTGACGGTAGGGACAGGATCTCGACGTCGCCGTGCCGTAGGGACTCTCCATCCAGGTTCTGCTGGTCCTCTAAAGAGTATTCAACACAGGCGATTGTCTGATAGCTACTTATTCTAAGAAGAAGGCGGGGCTCAGATTCTCTGGGTGAGTATTAGAATAGATGATGGCAGAGATATTTGGTCAGGTATGGGATAACATATTGATTAATTCTTGATAAACTTGACAAAATCTCCATTTTCTGCTACGCGTCACGCGACTCGAACTGCCACTTTACGCGTGACGAAAGAGTGAGAGAAAAAAACACGCTAAGCCTGCGACTGCGACCCGCGCCATCCATTCACATCAACCCGGAACATCTGTACCAGCACCAGGAAGTGCTCGGTACTTTCCAGTCTATTGTCGTCAAAGCCCATCGCTGGGCTGACGCACACTGTGATCTGAGGTTCGGTTCAACACTCAGGCGACTGCAACATCTCAGCCGATACCGAACTCTTGAGGCCTCTGATGGCAGACCGCGATGACTTCACGGACAGCACAGACTGGTTGCAAACCCCTCTGGCCGCCCTCGCCCCGATCGACGCCTCGCTGCGATGCCAAGTATGCAAGGACTACTTCACAACTCCTGTGATGACTAGTTGTTCCCATACGTTCTGCAGCCTTTGTATACGAAGATGTCTATCTCAGGAAGGAAGATGTCCGGCGTGTCGAGAGGAGGATCAGGAAATCAAGCTGCGGAGAAATTGGGCCGTGGAAGAACTGGTCGCCCATTTCACTGCGTCGCGCAAAGGGCTCCTTACCCTTGCGACAGTGACATTGGCTGCGGAAAGAGAACGAAAAGATGATCTCGAGTCTGAAAGACCAAAGAAGAGACGAAAAGTCGCACCGGAACCGACCAGCAACGGCGTTGAACGACGGAGTACTCGAAGCCAAAGTAGGAAGAATGCCTCGGATCCCGCCAGCCAACAGAGCCTCGCGTCCACTCCGGAAATCATAGAAGACAGCGAAGAAGGAAGTGTGTACGAAGATCCAGACAGCCACAAGAGCCCACACTTCCTCAATGGGAATGGAAATCCGGAGCCACAGGATGGCCTCGTCCAGTGTCCCTGTTGCCACCGGCGCATGAAGGAAACAATCATAAATTCACATCTGGATAAATGCATACAAGGCGACAGTCACACTCCGGTCGACGATGGCGGATCCGCGTCTTCTCCTGCTCCGCCTCCTAATTCCCGATATATCGCGACACCTGGCACAATCGCTTACACCCAGAGGAAACCCTCCAAACAACAGGAGCGGCTGCCATTCATCAACTACTCCCTTCTTGCCGACAACGCGTTACGGAGAAAGTTGCGTGATCTGGGGATTCCGGATCACGGCTCCAAAGACCTCATGCGTAGACGCCACACCGAATGGGTGAATCTGTGGAACGCCAACTGCGATTCCAGTAACCCAGTCACGAAAAGGGAATTGCTCCGTGAGTTGAAGATCTGGGAGGATACGTTAGGACGGCAGCTGGACAGGTCATCAACCACTGGATTCATGGCAAAGGATTTTGACAGAGAGCATCATGTAAAGAGTCAGAAAAGCAATTTTGACGATCTGATACGTCAGGCTAGGGCAAGGAAACCCAAAGTGCCGGAGGAACAGACATCATCTGCGGCAGAAAACCCAACGTTAGGTTCCGTTCCACAACAACTAACAGACCACTCGGCCCTCAAGGACCTTTCTGAAGCTCGCCCAGCACCTTCCGAGGGTCCAAATGGAGCTGGGGCAATATCAGTTCCCGAAAATGCAGTCGATGTACAAGAGCGAGTGCGAGCCGGAATTCCACAGGCTCCCACCAATGGTCTAACGCAGGAGACTGCAATAGCGATCCCATCACCCACTTCATTTGAGACCGCATTAGAACCACGGCTGGACCTCCAGACCCCTGAGAGACCTCCTGGGAGGTACTTTGTGTGAGGGTAATGATGTTCCACGAGGGTATATATGGCAATGACACTCATCAGTCTACTCCAAATAGAAAGAATCTACATAAACCCGAAACCTGAGTAATGCAGGTCAACGTCGAGGCTCGATGATATGACAACGCCACAGCGCCCACGATGATTATTGATGAATGAACAGCACCACGTTCTGAGACCTCCTCGAAGGAATTGACTCCCCAAAACTCCATAGCCCAATCCACTCTTCCGGGTTTTATATGGTAATTACCCCCGTCGGCAAAACTAGGATGCTTCTTGGGCGATCTTCTCTGGATGCCCATCTCTTTGCGTGTCGTTCCCGGTCCGCTCATCAAGTTCTAGTCTCTGCATTTTCTCGATGCTCGACGACAACAGGGCCTCTTCCGAGTCTTTGTCTTGGGCAAGGTCCTGTTGCTTGATTGCGAGGTCACGGCCTTGCTCTTGCTGTTGCCTTTCCCTTTCTTTTTGACTCTCCCTTTCCCGCTCTCTGCGCAGCTGCGCGAGGGCATCAAGCTCCTGTAACTTCTGCCTGGTCTTTTCTTCCTCGATCTTCTTCGTCTTCTCGCGCTCCTCTCTCTCCATCGCTTCAAATTCCTCATCCACTTCGTCCTCGTCGAGGACGGCCTTCGAATCCACCGGCTCTGCCAGGACCGTGGAAACTTCGTCAACTTTGCCGACTTCCTCTCTCAAGCTTTCCAGGACGTCCTCTACGCGCTCGACCCCTCCGACGCGCTTGTTGAGCGTCTTCAGCACCGATGCGGACGATTCCATCACAGCGAGGATCTCGACTTGGTCCACGGCGGATTCGATCTTGGTGTAGATCTCTTCCAGCTGATGTAGGGTGTCTAGACGCTGCTGGAGCGCCCGCTCGGCGAGTTTCTTCGAGCGAAGGGCCGATAGGGCGCTGGCCTTGTTGCCGGTTTTCACGGCAGTCGAGGCTTGATCTTGCAGCGCCGTGATGCGAGCGGACAGGGTCGCGGATTTTTGGTGGAGGTCTTCGATAAGCGATTTCAGAGATGCGATTGACCGATCTTCTTGGGTGATCAGCTCAGGTATAGCTGTAGAGGACGGCGGTTTGAATTTGACGGTGCTACTGTCATAGGACAGGACTTGTTTGTCACGGGAGAGGTAGCGGAGCAACACTTCCAGGTCTTGACTCGACAGCGACCCTGTCATCTCACCGGCCTGGTTGAGCACATCGTTAACGTCTTTCAGGAATGTTTCCCGTGTCATGACTCTATCAGTCAGAGTCTGTGCTTTCGTGTCTTTTTCCCTTGCAGCGGACAATCTCTTCCAGACCTCTTCTAATGCTGGAACCAACGCGAGGTTTCCAGCCTTTAACCTGCCGCCGCTCACGTCGAAGCTCCCACTGCTCCACGACATTCCAGCCTTTTGTAAGCCCCAGCGCAGAATGGCCCACGGACTCGCGATCCAACCTCTGGAGTATATGCTCTTCTCCGAGCCGAGAAAGTCTTGTAGATCAATCATCTTCCCCTGCCGTACACATTCGTCCACTACACTTCCGAGCCCGCTGGGCCTCCCGTACGTAGGACTCGCCAGCGCATTGAGCAGCTCGTCGCTCGTCTGCAGAATCAGATGGTGTTGACCGTGGGGGATTTGTCCCGCGAGTGCGGCGCGCGTCAGGGCAGACGACCAGGCGGTGACATTGGCGGTGTGGCCTTCGGGGTTGGAGGTGCGTTGGAGGTTGAGGTCCGAGTAGAGCGAGGGGAGACGTGTTCTGTTACAGATGCAAAGGTCCGGGTCAGCAGCATGTCCATGTGCGGCAAATGCCCCAATTCGCTGATCAGAGATGTGGCGGAGGGAGAGAAGCGGACTTGCGAAACGAAGGCTCATGCTCGACTAGCCAGTCGAGGAGAGGAGACATGGCGGTAACATTGTTCTCCTGTCGAGGACAATGAGGACGAAGAGGGACCCCTCTCTCAGAGGGACTTGGAAAACTAAGTCTAAGGGGACCGTTGGAAAGTCGTGAAAACAGATGGCAAGTATTGACGACCAAGAGAGAATGTTCGTTAATAGTATGAGGTACACCACCCTAGCAAAAATATCCGTCCACACCCCACCATTAGGGTTGAGTTTGCTATAGCCGACCTTTTGTTGTTTGAGACACGATTGGCAGATGACAGATCGCTTTCTCGGGCGTGGTAAGCGTGACGCATGTCGCATGCCGACTTCCCCACAGTTGCGACGCAGTTCATGATGTTGATGTTTTAAACGGAGCTACTACAGACGGACTACCCAGGTTATTATAGTCTCTCAACACTCCTAGGTAAGATATCTCTTTCAGTACAACAAATTCCATGCTGATATTGTTGCCGATTATGAAATGCCCAGGACCTAATCTACCTACTTTCTCATTACATAGGGATCTTGACAACAACCATCGAAACTTTGTGTTTCCCTGTAGGCTCGGCTCACGCATTGGGCTCCGGCTTCTTTCTTTCCGACGCACCCTTGAATGTCGTACTCAAATCTCCTGTTGGCAGCCGCAGTGGAAAGTCTACAGCCATGAGAATCATTGTGAAAAATAGATACCATCCGAATACACAGAAGACAAATATAAAGGCTCCGGCAGCCTTGCCGCATCTGTTAGAATTTTCTTCTCAAGACGAACAACATATCGACCAGGGAGAAAAGACAGGGTTCACTGATAGAAAAAAAGCTTGTGATTGAAACTTATATGACAAAAATTCGAAAAGGTGGACTGACTTACCTTTTGACACTTTCCAGAAATCGCCGTTTTACCTTCAGCGGCGGACCAGTATGTGGCCATCAACATGATGAAAGCAAGATCGATGAAGAGGAAGACCAGGACGAATATGACATTAGTCCGGAGAGAGCCGATGAAGAAGAAGAAGGTGACAAGAGCCATCACCATCCAGAAGAACGCTAGGGATATAGATAATGTCGTTAGTAAGTTTATACGTGTCTTTCGGCGGGAAAGATGAGCGTACTCACAGAAACTCGAGTAAAACTGTGCAGTTCCTCCGGGCTGTGAGGCGTAATATGCTTGTGCGTTGAACGCAGGCTGGAGCGTTACTCCCATCGCCAGCCAAAACGCACCTGTAATCCCAGGCCGTCAGTCTTGTGCTGGAACAAGATCTCTTGAAATAGCCATCCAGCGGTAGTAGTTACCTACCGTAGCAAGCGAAGACAACGAATGGAAAGGTATTGCCGATGATCCATTCCAAGATACATCCAAGGATTTGGAGCATTCCACCAAAGAAGAAAAAGAGTCCTCTACCGACATAGTCGTGGTCAGCATAAGTGTAGAAGGGGGGGAGGGCAAGTGATTGTAAACAAAGCATATTCATACTTACATTATGGCTGCTCCATCGCCACCGGAGCCTCGCCAGCCCATCAGATTACATCCTAACGGCATAGACGCGATCAAGAAACCCATCAATGGCCTTTGGTTATTCGTTAGTGGATACAAAGCTGATGGCTTCATGTATAACTAACATTGGCGTTGGGTTTCCAAACGTGCTGCGTAGATGTCCGAGTCTCTGTGTATATGGAGAGAGGTACATTGACTCGAAGACGTCTCTGGGAATAACCACGCTCGAAGCTGTCTGGTAACGAGTCAAATACTCATTTTGCATGTCAGTCGCTTTACTCCCTTCCGGTAATGCGTCTCCGTTTTGGTTGTTGTTGTTGCTGGTAGCGTCAGTAAACCCTTGCTCATGTGTCGCCATGTTGTTCGAGTGATGATACTGAAGTATTGCCACGCCGTTCAGAGGGACTGTGCGAGCTGCAAAGAAGATTGAGAGGTACAAAGTCGAAAGCTTGCTGCAAGTAGTCTAGAGCCATCTATATATTTGCTGCTGGGTTGACTCGACCCTCTCTCCATTCCTCTAGCTGAAAAGGAGTGGCCTGTCTGTTGTCGGTCGTCCCTGATGTCTGGGGTCAATGATCAACCACCTGTCTCTGGATCAGTCAATCAGTAGAGAAAGCCAAAAGCCGGCCTTTCCATCAGACTAACAGCACCGACGGATGTCGCCTCTGGGACTTGTTCGACCTTTCCCGTCTGAACCGTGACACCCAGCTCTGGAAATACAGACCCTGTTAGCCTTAGCCGTATCTAGTCGAGACCCCGGAAACTTTAGGAACTTGTCCATATTGGCTGAACCCATTCTTCCGACAGCACAAAAGATGAGGTAGAATACCAGGAGATGGAGGTGATCTTTGACATTCCTACGTACGTACTACCACCCCGTCATACTTCTTTCTATTCTGGAATCTACCATACATCCAGACCAACTGTGATCCAGATGACGAATGGATCGGGACAAACGTGAAGACGAGTAGCTACCTCATGGCCAACGAGTCAACTGCCGAATCTTTTGAAGGCGCCCACAATCAAGGTACTGAGTAACATTGCAGTCGGTGATACTAGGATCAGGTCCATTCACAGAGCCGCCAGGACTACGAGCCATCTTCGGTGGAAAGGGGGCAGCTGTTCCATTGGGACACACTGTCTGTTAAGCAGTGTAACCAGGCGGTGGAATTTCCGAAACGCAATCTCCATCGCCACCTGGTTCTGCAATGATAGCTTGTAGAACTTCTCTTGTATGATCTCCAGTACCACTTGTATTGGCACGATAATCTTGCCACTGAATCCCGCTCAGGTAGCACCCGTACTCATCATCTTCCTCTATGCCTTCGCTCAATCGTCTTTCAAGCTCTCTTTCAGACTGAGCAACGACCCGGAGAGGAACATGGCGTAAAGTGAACTTGTGCTTCTTCTTTCCGTATTTCATGCGAAAAGAAATCTCGAGGCTGTGAAAGCGAGCAATATTGTAGGTTGAAAAATCTGCAGTCAGTAGATCGGGAGGAAGGGACATATCGGTGGCGTCGCAGAGGTTGACCGATGAGGTCGGAGTGCTAGTGGTCGTTTGAGTTGCAGATGGCTCACCGTGAGAGACAGGCACTGTAACCGATCCTCTTCGAATGAAAACGCGGTGGGAAGATGAGCTGGTATGGGACCCGGCTCGTACCTGTGTATGCCGCACTAGTGCGAGCTTGAAAGAGCACACAACAGCGTTCGGACAATATTCGTCTGTCAATGGCGATAGCTCCTGACCTGCTGTAGAGCGGGCCATCGTGCAGGAAATTGGGACGAAGAGCGCTTGCTGTTCTTTGATTTCCACTTTCTTTGGCAACCAGACAGAAAAGAAAAGCTTCGCTTCGGATGCCGAATGTGCACTTGTTCTGGGAAGGATCGGGATCAGGCGGTAGATAGACCGAGATGCAGAACGCCCAGGGGCACAGCACATCGTGTGACGATGAATACTATACGGCCAGTCATCCCCAGGCTGTGTGCGGCAAGTCATATCCAGGCTCTGAACAGGTATCGATCGAGATGCTTGCAGTGTAGCCCCCTTCCTTTTGAGGTGGTTGGCGGCTAGAGGTCGGTACACGAGTGTCGCTTCGAGGACATATTGTATAGAGCAAATAAACTTGCCGCTTTGCTTCATACTAGGAGGCAGAGGGTGGGCAACCCGTGCAAGATCACCCTTCCAGGGACGCATTGGATAGAACGAGTCTGTCGTCCCGGGTGCAACAGCTCGAGGTGCCGCAAACAGTGGAATCCGAAAAGCAAAGGGCCAAGAGTAGGTCCCTTTATCTTCAATGCTCTCACCACTGTGTAGACTCATATGCCGGCTGAAGAGGTAGCTCTCCGATGTATAGTCTGTTCTGGAGACAACTATGTCGCTATAGTATTGATTGAGAAAGACATTAGTTCGGCCTTTGAAGTCGATGTTCAGGGATTCGATGATTCGTTCTTCGTGGGTAGTGAGCTTGACTACGCCCAGAACCATGGATCCAGGTGTCAATGGCTTCTCTTCACCAGAGGAAAGTTTGATGGAAAGAGCCATGGGAGAGTTACAATGAGTCAACAACTCTTAGTAGTCCAGCGTTTTTCGATATGTCTGCACCGTCGTGAGCAGATCATCAATGAGTTTCCCATACCTTGTAATAGCTTCATATATCATTGCGCGATTTGTGGGTACTGTATCAATCTACGTGAAGCAATAATCGGACGTAGGCTGTTCAGGTGACACCCTGTTATGGCGAAAGACACAAGTGGTTGCCGGCCATGGTTCAAATGGAGCAGCCCGCACGAACAATGGACCTTATTCCCCGCTTCCCCACAATTATGAAAGAGCTAACTTCCCTTTCACCTAACCTATCAGCCTATGCCGCCCGGCCCGTACGGAACGAAAGTCTGACTTCTCCCGCGGACTTTAGGCTATGCCCAAATGGGAGAACACCAAGCATGCAATGTTCACGTCACACTGTGCGACATGTGCACAAGAGTATTAACACGACCGTTCAGGGGAGGATAGTAGGTACACTGGCTTCCCACTATCGTTGGTTCAGAGACAAAGATGCAAGCCGTGCTCAATAACTGGGTTGACTGCCTGAACAGCACTGTCATTCTTCGGTTGTAATGGATCAGCACCATGTGCCTTCATATCGTCTTCATTCACTTTCTGGCTGCGGAGTTCCTTGGGTGTTTCCACCAGGCGTAGCTACCACGTATTCCCTCTTCGCCTTTCCAAATGGTGGAATAAGCTTCCATAAATCAGGTTTCGAAGATGGCTGGGACTCAGTGTTTTGCTTCACTCCTCCTTCGAGCCCGCTTTCAGGCCGATGTGCACCGTCACTCAATGAGCGTTTACGGAGGATGCCTTTAGGGTGCAGCAAAGACTTGCGATGCGCCGACTTGTTCGCGCCGTCGTCCTGCGTCTGACGGTTTTGGGGCCATGTTCTTGGCTCCGTTTGATGCGCATTCGTCGAGTTCTGTCCTTGATCTACAACTGAAGCTGGGCTTTCATCGCTGCGATCTATTGTGATATTCTGAGGTGCTGTATGTGGTTCGGCGATTTGTGCAACCTCCTCTGCCGGTCCATGTATCTGAGATCAATTTAGCTTCTTGTTCTTGAAACGTTCGATTTGCTCAGCTGATGTTGTGAATCCGACCTACTTACCCCAGGTTTCAAGCTTCTGCGGTGGAGGATTTTGTCAAGCATCTTTCACTGATCTCAGGGCGATCTTGCCTTGTGATGAGGGCAAGAACGGTCAGTCCTGGTGACCTGTATAGGAGACAACAGGGCAGACTCGGCCTTACATTATGAGTAGTGCTGCTAGTCTATCATCTAATCGAAGCGCTGGCCAGCAGAAGACAACGGCGGGCGGCTCTGACGGCTGGTGCTGTTCCGGGCAAGATAATGCGAACTTCACTCTTTCTAGCCACTTTCTGATGGAAATTGGAAAATCCATAGCTTGAGGATGGGAAAAGCAGAATGCGAGTCCCGGTACCATGCTAGTAGTGCTCCACAAGATTTTAATCAAAATTCAACATCATCTGAGATCGCCATATTTGTAACGTAGTCTTTCAGAAATCTACGTTATCATCAGACACTCACGTCAACGACATAGGTATCAGCGAGTTTCAAAACAATACTGGACCGTTCTGCCCGGTCGATCCGAGGTAAACTATTATGTCGCCTGGCAACAAGGCTTTTCATCGAATACTGCACCACTAATAGAAGTGTCTCGAAGATGACGTCCAAATGTGATCCATTTCATTGAACACCAGAGCAGGTGTTACATCATGCAGTCGCATCTATATATCCTTCTCCCTCTTCTTCAGAGACCAGAGGATTTAACAGCACCGAAGCTATTGAGACCGTGAAGTTCATCATAAGTCAGTTCAAGATATAAGCATCAAGATGCAGCAGACCAGTCGAAACGGGGAGAGACAGCCTATGCAAAAGGGAACACAGAGGACTACTCATAAAATCAAGTTCCGGAGGGACTACCGAGCTGATCTGCCACTCATTGTTTCCCGGTTTACAGGTTATCGACCGCCAAACGCTGAGCCTCCATATGAGCCTTTGCCATTTCCGCCATTCTCATGGTTGGAGAAAATCCCACTCCGGCTTGAAGTCTGGCTTTTTGGTTGGATTGGCGCTTTCGGCGGTATCCTTCTCATCGAGGCAATCATGTCAACCAGCACCGCTTTTCGCGACATCTATCACACACCTACTATCATCACGTCATTTGGTGCGTCCGCCGTTCTGCTTTTTGGGGTCATCGAGTCTCCAGTAGCGCAACCACGAAATTTTGTCTTGGGTCACTTCATCTCGGCTCTGGTAGGAACCGCTATTACCAGGTTGTGGGTCTTGAACGCGAGTTATCAGGGGTACCTGGAGAACACCCATTTTCACCCTTCGACTTTTATCAACGGAGGACTATCCATGGCAACTTCACTCCTCGCCATGCTGATCACGGGAACGGCTCACCCTCCGTGAGTGGTTTCTGAAGAGGTAACAAAGGACACATATTAACTGTTGCGCAGCGCCGGTGCTACGGGTCTCAATGCGGCGGTTCAATCGGACGTGGTAACGCTATCGTGGCGATACTTGCCCACTATTCTTGCCTCATCCCTCATTATGCTTGGATGGGCTGTCATCATCAATAATGTCGGACGTCGTCGTTATCCCCTTCATTGGTGGGCCCCTGGTGCAACATTCGTTCATGCTGAAGAAGATTCAGCGCTGGAAAAGGCGGAAGAAGGAGATATTGAACGTGAAGAGATGGAGGAGGGTGAACTCGAGCGAGAAAGTACTGCTGCTAGTGAAGGGCTGCCTCGGGATGGTGAAAAGCATGGAGAGATGATGTACCGGCCTTCCTCGAGAAGGATGAGGCGTGCAAGCATTGAGGCAGAGCCAGCGTCCTTGGAAAGTGCGGTGGATGCAAGTCCGGGAGAGTTTTCGAACCGTCGGCTGAGTTCCAGTCGGGAGCGGTATCGGTTGGACTAGAGATTTAATTGGAAGAAACAAGCTTGACTGGAATGATTCGACTGCTGATGGTGTTATCATTAGGGAGTCCGTATTAAAGAGGCATAGAGTTCTATCTTGAGGAGGTCTTGTGGGACATGGGCTTCATAAAGCATTGGCAAGTTCTACCAAGTGCTCTAGGCTTCTTCAAGATCAAACCCATGCAGAGTATACCAGATCTAGGAAGTTAATATTACCGAAGAATTCTGGCAGCCCTTGACCGAGTCACTGTTGATTGATTGCTGGGGACTGCTCTCGCCGTCAAACACCGCGTCCGTTCACCGTAGACCCTTCGCGCACCCCGTTGGCAACGAGGTGGGCACGGCATAGGACGCTCGCTAGACATGGAAGGGGATGCTTTGATTCAGCCAAATTGGCGATGCAGGCTTATCTATATCTCATCCCGATTCAAAGTAACCATTTGTAGCAATCAAGTACCAATATCCTGCGAGGTTGCGAAGAATTCTGAGGAATATCTTTGTCCTGCAGTGCCAAGGCGTTCTCTCACGTGCCACCGCATACCATAGATTCGGAAACCAAACACGTGATGTTTGTGTTGTTCCTGCCCTCACACGCCATAGTCTTTGCGTGCTAGACCCATTTCAGGTCATTGCCCCAGAGCTTGAGGCACGGTGGTGTTCAGAGGAGAGGCGACGAAGTTCCTGCGACTGCCGGTTCATCTCCCGAGTAAGATCTTTCGCGAGCGCGAGATTCTCTTCGAGGGTGTGATGGCGAACAAGAATATCTTCTTCTCCATCCTCGGCATCAACGTCTTCACCCTGTGAACTTCGTTCAAGGTTTTCCTCCAGAGTGTGGTGGCGATAGACTTCAGAATCGTCGCGATTCTCAATAGGCGGAGGCATTGCGAGTTCACTTAGGCTTCCAAGAGTGTCGGACTGGCGCTGATGTTTCGATGGCTGAGAAGATCGGTCCAGTTTGAAAAAAGCACGGATTTTCTTCCACATGATTCTCCTTGCGTCATTTCCTTGTTTCGAAAAAAGTTCTTTGTTAACAACTGAAATTCTCGAACGGAAGATATCTTGCCTAGACTATAACCACGACTGGTGTCTCGACTTTGCTCGCCTTCAATAAGAAAACCTTCTCACCTGACCATCCTGGGAAGTCTTCTCACATTGTGAGTGCATGAGACTAAACATACATTTCCGCGCGATCCGGGTGGATAGGCCCGGCAGATGTACTCCCCTGACTTGTAACTTTCTGTGACGCCACGGCTCTCTACCTAGGCATGGCACAAGATGGTTTGAAAGAGAACTTTGGCATACTCTCTCACTCAGCTTTTGGCTGCTAACCTTGTACTATATCAATCAATATGCATAAGCTACAACTGGATGGTTATACTCTCAGCGCGGTGGGCGCCCCCGACTCTTTGGAGTATCGGTCATATTTCTCGAGCAATGGATCACCCGTTTCGATTTGGCACGACGTACCGTTGTACGGTGATGGTGACAAGCAGAGCTTGAACATGGTGGTCGAAATACCTCGGTGGTCCAACGCGAAGTTCGAGGTATGTATTAGAGAGAATTTACTGGCCCAGCCAAAGATATCATGGATATGTGGATGGGCCACTGACAGTAATGCCGACAGATTTCTCGGAATGAGGCATTCAACCCGATAAAGCAGGACATCAGGGAGGGCAGAGCCCGCTTTGTACGGAATGTGTTTCCTTACAAAGGCTACATCTGGAACTATGGTGCTCTTCCAGGAGTAAGTATCGGGTCGTCCAGTGCAGCGTTTACAGAGCTCGAACCATTGACTCGTCCAGACCTGGGAAGATCCCTCCCACATACATCCAGACACCAAGCACCCAGGCGATAACGATCCTCTTGATGCCCTTGAAATCGGCGAGGAAATTGCTTATACCGGCCAGATCAAGCGTGTAAAGGTGCTTGGTGTAATGGCTCTCCTGGACGAAGGTGCAACAGACTGGAAGGTCATCGTTATCGATATCAACGATCCTTGCGCTAGAGAGGTAAACGGCATCGCAGATATACAACAACATTTTCCGGGCCTCCTGGATGCGACCCGAGACTGGTTCAAGTTATACAAGGTTCCCGACGGCAAAGAGCCTAATAAGGTCGCCTTGAACGGAGAGTTTAGAGATCGAAAGTGAGTTTCTTCCTGCTAACACACATTAAAGAACCGTGCATGCCACAAACACACAAAGGCATCTGACGAGACCCTAGTTACGCCATGTCAATAGTCCAGGAATGCCAAGAGGCATGGCAAAGACTGATTGATGGCAAGACATCTCCAGGGGAAATAAGTCTTGTCAGGGGAGACGAGAGCCATAGATTGTCAGGTTTCGCCAATCCTGTAGGAGACGGTGGACATCGATCAACAGACGGGAATTTGGATAAATGGTTCTTCGTAAAGATGTAAATTGCGTATGTCAGCTCAAGTTTCTCTGGGCCACAGATTCCATGCCGGCTTCTATGAACGCTGCCCAGAAAAAAAATGCATAACATCCTGAATCTACTAAAGATATGATGATGGTTGAGTACTCAGTAAGTTCTGAAAATCATGCGAACTTAGCCTGGGAATAGGCATACCGAAACGACTCTCCAGCGTAGGAAGAGTCCACTTTCCGTGCCTGCAATTCCTCTTCGATATCCATTAGCCGGTTGTACTTGGCCACTCTCTCACCGCGACAGGGTGCCCCGGCTTTCAAATGGCCACAGCCGATGCCCACTGCCAGATCTGCGATGAAGTCGTCTGTGGTTTCCCCGGAGCGATGAGACACGAAGACGGCCCAGCCAAGTTCGTACGCCCGTTTTGTCGCCGCGAGAGATTCACTGACTGTGCCGATCTGGTTGACCTTCAAGAGCAGGGAGTCGCACGCGTCAGCTTCTGCGGCCTTCTCGATTCGTACGAGGTTGGTCGCTAAGAGGTCATCGCCCACTAACTCAACATTGTCAATCTTTGAAACCGCATGAAAACGTTTCCATGACTCCCAATCGTCTTGCGCAAAAGGGTCTTCTAGCAAGACGATTGGATACTTGTCGACGAGACTCCGGTACAGATCTGCCAGTTCCGTACTGCTGAGTCTCCTTGGCTTGTTGGACTTGAAGCCCAAGTCGTATTGTCCATCGCTGAAGAATTCCGACGAGGCCGGATCAATACCGATGGTGATCTTCCCTTCATGTCCTGCGCCCTTGATGGCGGACATTATTAGATCCAATGCTTCGGTAGGTTGAGTGATGGGCGGCGCGAAACCCCCTTCATCGCCAATACCAATAGCTGCTTTACCGAACTTTTCGATGATGATTGATCTCAATGTCTGATACACCTCGCTCGCCCATTGGATGCCTTGAGTGATGGAGGTAGCACCAGTCGGCGCGATCATAAATTCTTGGAATGCCATTGTATTCCCCGAGTGAACGCCACCATTGAGAACATTGAAGAAAGGCACCGGAACGATGTGATGCTTGGGTGACGATTGAAGCTCGCTGGCCAGAAAGTCATACAATGGCATTTCCTAGCCAATGACTCGTCAGCAGTCTGTTTGATGACTTCGAACCCTGTGGCTCACCTTCGCAGCTGCACATGCCCTGGCACAAGCCATGCTGACACCGAGTATGGCGTTTGCTCCCAGGTCACCCTTATCCGAGGAGCCGTCCAGCTTGATCATGAAGCTGTCGATCTCTTTCAACCCCATTTCCAGATCATACTGCTTTTCGAGAAGCGCAGGACCGATCGTCTCTCGCACGTTTCGGACGGCTTGCTGGACTCCAGCTCCTCCGTATGCCTCACCCCCGTCACGCAGCTCGATCGCTTCATAGTCTCCTTTGGACGCGCCCGACGGCACAATGGCGCGGAATTTGCCGTCTTTTGTTTCCACCTCGACTTGCACAGTGGGCTTGCCCCGCGAGTCGAGACGTTGAAACGCTTTCACACATGTCAATATGGTCGGCATCTTCGAAGCGATAAACACACACGCGTAATCACGTGAGACTGCAGCTTCTCAATGCTCTTTGTCCGCGCGTTAGTAGTTCCATTTTAGATTAATCAAAGAACATAGAAGCATCAGATATATATATATATATAACGTAGCGCGTTACCTCACCTGAGGGCGATGTCCTCATATTGTTAGGGTCTAATAGGCAAACACGGTACGGCCGGGATAGTAGTCTAATTTTCGTCCCGTGGAGTGGGCTGATCTTGACTCCCCATCGCCATGTTAAAATAATAACGATTGGGCGAACGATTGGGCGCACGAATCTCATAGGTGAAGTGGCCCGCAAGATGTGACCCAAGGATAAGCATATGCCAACCGATCTTGAGCATAAGACGGGCGCAAAGGAACTGAAATATTCCAATTCGGACTATTTGCCTTTATCACACGACAAGAACACATCTTCTGTTTTTCAACATCACACAATATCCCAGATCTAAGTCTCCGAAGGCTGTAGGAAGGGGTTGTACGCTGCATTCACAAATTGTGCCGACCCTGCCAATGCGTAAAGCGTGTTAGCTTGAACTAAATGCGAGTGAAAGGCTACGCAGGGATCGAAAGAATGACAACTCGATAGGGGTTGATTTCGTTCCAAGTGGAATGCCTCTGTCGCCGTCGGGGAAATTTGCAGAGAATCACTTACACATTACCGGCTCTGAGACCTCGTAGGGCATGGTCTGGAACATGAGGTTGAAAGACTCTTGATTTAGTCCCATAGAGTCAAGCTGTGACGGCATTGTGGCCTGGAAGAGATCGTCGGATGGTAGTGTATCTGATATATTATCGGTCCCATTCTCTGCTGTAGGGACAGCCCCGAATGCAACACATTTCATCGTCCCCCCTAAGACGAGCAAGCCGTTAGTTAGAACAAGATTCTATAGGAGGATAAAGGGTAGACTCTGAGCATGATGAATACAGGACTCCCTGACGCGGTAGCCGCAGGATCAAGTCAGAGACGGACACGGATGCCTCGTCACCACGACGAGAATGCAACAGTAGGGAGCAAGGGCACAGCTGCTCGTTGTTGGGATGGATGTAGTACTTACCTTTGGAGATCGTCCTTGTTTTCTTGAGCCTTTGCATCATGTCGCTCGCCAGCCTTGCTGCATTTGAGTTAGAGCTGAGAGCTTGACAGACCTTGAGGCAAACTTCGGCATCTTCGTCCACCGCTGCCCAGTCTATGTCTCTGAAGACCTCTTTGTCTGAATCCAGATTCACGCAAATGCTTGCAACAAGAAGGATTGAACTGGCACAAATGAGACATGATATCATTTGCCACCAGGGAAAGCCATAAACGAGGCTCTTCTTGTCGTCGAGATTGTGGAGTAGTTTTGCAGTGTGTTGCGCAGCAACGATGCACTTTCTTTGAGACATTGAGATGCGGCCGCCTTCTGCTTGATAAAATACCACAGGGTTGGGAACCGTTCCCAGTAATTTGGCGGGCGATAATAGGGGCCGGTGAATCAGCGCTTGAAGGTTGTAGAATTTTACAGCAAGCATATTTCGCTGGTCTGCTTATCAATAAAACAGACTGTTTGACTTCGTACATGGATACGTACCTGTCTTTTGTAAATGATCGACTTTTCAAATGTATGAGACAGATCGAATCTCAAATTTCGCCGCAAGTTGGATCGCCATTGAGACAATTCGTCATCTAAACGATCGATGTGTGATAGGATCAAAGCCGGGTCCTCGGCTCTTCTTGGTCCGTACAGACTCTCGAATACTCTTCCAATTATTTCCGAGAACTTGATCATTTCAATAAAGTAGTCTCCCACCCAGTCTGTCCCGTGCATGCCATGCTGACTACTTGGGCTGGCTAAGTCGACGTCCGACTGTTGAGATGGAAGTTGAACATTGAAGCCTTCCTCGCTGATAGCTGGTGGACGCCCCAATTGCAACGCCAGGAGACGATCCAGCACAAATATGGAGTACCAAACTCGACGACACATTTCTTGTGGCGCCGGGTCATTTCCACCACCCGTGCGATGAGCATCTTCAACGTGGAGACCGATGCTTTGGGCAATTCGGACAGCCGAACCCAGTGTTGTCCAACATCGGTCGGTCTGACAAGTGGCCAGCAGATAGAAACATTGGGCGAGGAGAGCACAAACATGGTCGACCGTGTGGTGCGAGCTATAGTTTTGCGCAATAGCTATCGCGTGGTCGAAATGACGTTGATGCTGACAAGACGTCTGCGGATTGGAAGTTCCACCTTCGGCTTCGGCGATCCCCGTGTAACAGGAACCGATGGCGAAGATGGTCACTAAGGAAAGGTTAGCGTTCTTTGATCGAAGACATCTACAGGTTCAAAAAGATTGCAGAATCGAGGATTCTGAGATACAGCCAAGACGTTTTAGGTACATTGGCGACCAGCACCTGCATATTTGTTTCGGGGGAGCCGCGCAAAGACGGCTGTCAGACAAGAAATCTTCCGAACTGTTTGGCGATTCTTCTTAGAAATGCACTTACACAGCAAAGATAGCCAGGGGCCCCGGAACCCCTCCAGTGAGTCTGATTGCCAGAAAGATTCGTACGTTCGCCTGAAGTCTGGTTGCGAGATGAAGGGATAAGCAATATGGATAGTAGAGAAGTATATGTCGACGAAACTGTCCGCAATGGCCCGAGGCGGCAAGGAGCCCTGGTTCTGCTCCAAAGGCTGCTGGCGAGGGCCTTCTTGTTCATAGCTCTCGACTCGCACCTCGGAATTATCTTCTTGCTGGACAAATTCGGTTTGCTGGCAAAGGGCCGATTCCATAGCATGGAAAAAGCGAATGTCACTGGCCTCACCCAAGTACCGTCGGAAGGCCGTGGGGTGGCAATCACCAGCCACATCCTGCTCTGGCGACGGTGGGACACTTGTGGCATCGTTTCCAGTCTGCTTTGCCAAGTAGTCGGGAAGCTGAATTGATGCAAGTCGCAAGTCGACCACCTTGCACTCATCCCGAGACAGGTTTTTGCGCAGGTACGCAATCAAGCTTTCGTATATGGCAATTGCATCTCTTACTTTTCGGCCGTCAGTCTCTATAGAGAGCTGATTCAGATTCGCATCATGGCCATCGGAGCCAGACTTTCGAATCCTACCCTCATTCCAGCGACAGGCATATCCATAGCCAGCGCAGCGTCCACAAGTCGGATGGTTGCCATCACACTTCAAGGCGAACAGATCAGCTCCAGCCCTCCAAGATAACAAACAGCATCGTACAACATCAGGCATGGCTTTACCTTTGCTTTCAGGGTGCGGCAACTGTCGCAAGCGCGTGAGACGCGTCGTCGCTTCAGAGACGAAATTGTAGCCATCTGTTGAGACACTTCCGTTGTCGGAATATTGGATGCGGCGGGAATTCGTTCGGGTTATGGAGTGGCATCAAAGCCGGGTAAACATGGCACTCTGTTTCGAATCAATCCGGATGACGTCATGGGCCGCCAGTCCTCATCGACCCTGTGTGGGCAACGACTAGTTGAGGTGTTTTGAGGTACATCCCAGAAGCATTATTGGGTGTCCCGTTTCATGAAGTCCTGGGTGCCTTCCGAGGTACATCAATAATTAATCATGCGTCAATTTAGACCACTTTTTCTGCGGGGAGCAATGGAAGCCCCACAACGTCTTCCGGAACACACGCATAAGCCGGGACAGGCGGAAACACACGGAAACCACCTACTAACAAAGATACTTGCGAGAAAGTTCAAAGAAAGGTTCCTTCACGAGGTGTTTTTTCCTTGTTTCGATAATCATTCGCCTGGTAACTCACCTGTCTGGACCCCTTCCCGTGTCGGTGGTCGACTTGGACTGTTTAAGAGATATGGCAGAAAAAGACCTTGAGAACGGTCAGCCAGCAGATGACAATGTCGACGCTATCAACGCGTGGGATCCCAACAAGGACGAGGGCGAATACGTCAATCTCATTCGATCCATCTCGACCTACCGGGACGGTCGATTCTCCCAAGCTCAGTCACAGGTGTCAACAGAGAAGAGAATCAGGTAGCGTGGTAGTCTTCAGCTCGTATCATATATACTGAACACAGGATTCTGAGCCGAGGGCCGCTAGACATGAGTCTATAGCGGAGAACGCCTGGTCTACAATTCAGCTCCCGTGTCAGTGATAACCTTGAAGCCTTGACACAAGCAAGAAGGAACAGAAGGAGAGGTAGCGCAGTTCATTCTTGAACATTATGCTGTGTTCCAATCACCCTCGCGACTTGAGGCTCTGAGCGGGGATTATTAGACACTGTGCTGCATTGAGTTGAGAGTAGTACATTCCTAGTTTCCAGATATTTTCAGAAAATTGGACCTCTCCCCAAAGCCTCAAAATCTGTTTAGAACAGTGCCACTGGTGAGAGGGAGATGGAAAGCTGGGAATAGCTTCTTTCCGTGTTTCCCGCTCGACCCGTGACATGGTGAATCGGAGATCGGATAGGGGGAGATAGCGTGTAGCTAATAAAGCCAGATCGTGGCGTCAAGCCTTATGACGACTCTTGTCTCGCTGCCATCTGCATCTGTCTCTGTTGCCAGAACAAAGTGTGCCATGCCTCTGCCAGGCCATGTCTCAACCACTCGTACCCGAGGTGGTCAACCCGGCCATGCTATGTGCAGCTGTTTAGAAGTGCAGCATTTAGAGTCGGGTCAAAACCCACAGTCGCAGGCAGATGGCGATGATGTTGCGTTGTCGGAACTGGCCATCCCTCAACCTGTGGAACAACCCGGAGACATGAGCCGCGAGGCTTTCGAAACAGGCGAACAGACGGCGCACAGGCACTCAGTAGCCCACCGAAACCTCGGGGAGAATGGAGAATTGACGGAGCTTGCGATACCTGCGCCTATCCCTAGCCAAACCCGCGCAGACGAGCAGGATTTCAATCTGGGGTCGACAAATGACTCGCGATTCTCAGGTTCCTCAACCTCGCAAGTGTCATCGACGCGACCGCAAGAGGAAAAGCCCGCAAGGCAGTCAAGAACGGTTATAGCATACACGGAGCTCTGTGCAATTAGTTGGATGATCTTCTTTTCTATGCTAGGAACGCTGGCTCGCCTCGGGGTTCAGGCTATATCGGTATATCCTTATAGCGTCTTTCCATCTCCTGTCCTTTGGGCCAATCTTGGGGGTTCCCTTTTTCTGGGTCTTCTGCTGGAGGATCGATCTCTGTTCCGGTATGCTGTCAAGGTCGACACTGATTCCGAATCTTTTCACAATGAGGTAGACAGGGTAAAAAAGACTCTGCCCTTATACATTGGATTGGCAACTGGGTTTTGCGGCAGCTTCACGTCCTTTTCAACTTTCATCACCGATGCGGTCTTCGCCCTCACAAATCAGCTGCCACCATCCGCAGCAACATCGCCGTTCCACAGCATATCCCAGGAGCAGATGCATTCACGATCAGGTGGATATTCTTTCATGGCCCTGCTAGGGATCCTGATCATACAGAGCGCTGTCAGCCTGGCCGCCCTTAAAGCTGGTGCCCATTTGGCCGTGGCTCTCCAAACGATGATACCATCACTTCCTACCACCCTTCTCCACCGAATTCTTGACCCAATCTCCATCCCACTGGGCTGGGGATGTTGGCTGGGTGCGGTTGTGATCTGCATCTGGCCTCCAGAGGACGAATGGCGTTATCAAGTGTTATTCGCCATTGTACTTGCCCCCCCTGGCACTTTGCTTCGATTCTACCTGTCTAAAACCCTCAACGGCCGCATAACAGGATTTCCATTGGGGACCTTCATTGCCAATATCTTTGGGACGATCATCGAAGCCATGTGTATGGACCTGCAACATGCCAGCTCCATCATGGCGGACATTTCCGACTTCAATTCCGCACCATGTGCGGTCCTGCAGGGCGTCATGCTCGGTTTCTGTGGCTGTGTCACTACCGTCAGCACTTGGGTGGGCGAGTTGAATAGTTTACAGAGGAAGCATGCCTGGATCTACGGCATCATCAGCGTTGGTGTCGCGCTGGCCTTTCAGATCGTGATTATGGGCACCATGATTTGGACGGTAGGCTATAGCCAACACTGCTCGTCGAGAACAATAGCCTGAGGAAAGCCGGGGGGGAGGGGGGGACCTTTTTTTACCCCTTCATCTAACATAAAGATAGTGGCTAAAGCTCTTCTGATGTTTGAGTTCGCCAGTTATAGAGTAAAGGTCGATCAAGGTGGCGGCGTCTGCAATTGACTTTCACGGCACTTTTCTAGATATCAAAAGTCTGGAACGATAAAACAACTAGATACGGAGACATTAGTCGCGCCCTGAACGATCTGCTATCAAGTCCTCGAGAAGTGGGCCACCGGTGAAAGCGCAATCTTCTGGGTATCTCGAATGCTGACGTTGTTGGCGTTGAACATCGACCGGATCTAAAATTGGATCTTAACGTACACTACACTTAAGCCGCAGCGTATCCAACAAGTCATTATCTGACCATCGTCGTTAAATTCAATGTCTACCACCCGAGAAGGGTCTGCTTTCGAAACTAAGGTGTCTTTGAAGCAAGAAAGATCTACTTGAAGGTAGCGCCTTTTGCGTGGACAGATCTTTCAATCGACGGCAAAGTAGTAAGAAAGGATGGCCAAATCAGCTCAACATCGTCTTGTTTCCCTTCACGACAGTAGTCAATCCATATACTCCAAGTCATGTTGACATAGTGCGCTAGAGCAATGCTTAAGTGCCTGGAGCAATGTCACTATCACGACAGATGGATATCAAGCTCTGGGAGAGGAGAGGCACTCACCACCATCTTTGGCCAGCTAACAGGTGAAACCACCACGTGTGAATCTCTAGATGGAGTTCCTGTACAAGGAAATGTAAACCACCGTCCGGGACGAAGTCAGGAAACCCCAGAAGGCTCAATCCCAGAGCGGCGGGAACCATCCTCTGCGACATTGTGTTCAGGATTTTCCGGTCGCGACATTCCTGCCGTAGGCGTTCTATCCCGTAAGTGGTGGTGGTTGCAAGAAAGCCTGATCTGACTCCCTTCACTCTGCGTCGAGGCTTTCGACGCCATGCTTCCAAATAGTACATATTGCAGCAGAAGACGATCATCGGCGACAGAGCTATCACACTTTGACAGCACCACACACCCCTCAACTCCACGAGGCAGGCTACCATATACAAGGTGATGCCCAGGAAAAGGGCAGCGACGGACAAGTAGATTGTTGGAGACTTTTGGTACTTGTGTTCTGCGCAGAGTAACGCACATGTCGAACAAGACAGGACGGCTGCTTCTAATGTCTCGGCACCACCTGACCACGGGGTTAGTGATTTCCTTTGGGAATGAAGGGATTTCATCAGTCCCCCAGAGCCTTGTGTGTACGTACCATTCGAGGAAGAGGGCCAGAATAGACTCGCGAGACTGATAAATAGATGCCCGATGAAAGCAGCAAGAAATACTCCAGGATGACCATTGAAAAGGCAATTTGATAGCCCCTTGCATGCGACATATGCGCAGCACAGATCTGCTAAACAGTTCGGCCTCTCACTCCAATGCATACTTGAGGGATCTTTTCATCGAAGTCGTGGCCATATACGGACTATAAGTCCACAATGGAGAGAGATTCAGAAGATCGCCTGCGAAAGATCCGTCGCCCGGTGCCGTTCACGGTGCAGGCCTGAGCCACGAAGCTCACATTAAATCGGTCCTAGCACCCTGAATCACGGTTGTGTCAGGGCGTTGCAATGATCCGTGGGATCCGTCTTTTCCGGCGAGGACTACCTAGCCTGAGGAGGAAGGTGCACGTGACGCCTCTCCGCTTGAGATGACTTATCATTCTACTGTATGGAGCGCCATACCAGATCTAACCAAATACAGTCACGTGGCTGGGCGTATCGTTCCGATACGCGTCGACGCGAACATGTCTTGGCGCGGGTCAAATGTCACAGAGGCTCTAGTTGGAAGCCCATTTCGTGAGCAAGATTTACTCATTGATTAAATTCGATTTCTACTTGCAAGAAACCCTCTCGGTGCGTGAAAGGATATCGAAGAACAGTATGAGACCGTGTGAGAACCACCTGTTAGTAGTTTCGCTGCTATTACTATTACTGTTTGACTAGACGCTACCAATGAGATGAACGCCAACCGTCATAGAAAAATGAACCCTGACAATCACATACAGAAACCTTCATTCGCTCCAATAGGTTCCCCTGCCTCTCCAAAGGGTATGAGGCCCTGTTTTCTGATTTTTACGGCATCTGCACCTCAATTTGCTTGGCCGTGAAGCTTTATGCCTGACTGACGGGCTCAACTGCTTCCGGGCCAGTAGTATCCTGTACACCATCTGTTGTTTCCACAGATTGGCGGGTCTTTTCTAGGAGCATCGAGTGACGGACGTCCCGTTCACTTCTGTATATCAAGACCTGAACAATCGTGGAGAAGACGCAAAAAGCGCTAGGACCCGCGACATTAGCAGTGCTTCCAATTACGGAGAGCAAACCACACGTACACAGCAATAATGCACCAAGACTCAAGTGCGTACTTCAGCGAGCATTTTCTGACGCCTGGTGGCGAGACGCTAGAGCAAGGATGTCGGTTGTAGTCTTCCGCGGCAAAAATGAATGCGGTCACCCACAGATGGGAGTAGATGTAGTCCAAGGGGATGAGTTGAACTGTGAAGCGTTTGTGAAATGCCAGGGGGATGGTGGGCAAGAAGAAACCGATGCTGGTGCAAGCAATGATCTCTTGATATGTTGTATGCAAATCCCTCGAATAATCGTGAATAAAGTAAGATACAATGGCCATCACAATGCAGGCGCTGGCCCATTTGATGAAGTTGACCATGAAAAGAACGATGCGCAGTCGGGTGAAGGAGGTGTTAGACAACCCAGAGTTATCGGCTCGGGGCAGTCTCAGGCTGCGACGAAACTTCATGTTGGCAAACTGGAATTCTCAATTGCTTGAAGCGAGTTCGAAGAGATTTCCAAGCCCGTCTTTTGCAATGTGGGTAGATTATATATTCCATCCTCAGTTTGTAATCTCCATACCCGTCAATCGGCAGTAGTGGAAGAGACGGATAATGGACAGACCTTACTTAAGTAGGTGCATTGTATCACAAGACCTGTCTGTATTCCGGCTGTGGACTGATGTGTCGGATCTTTTGATCACTCTATACATGCTTAGCGATATATCATTGCATAGGTGATGCAGATCACTGAGGGGAGCAGCGGCTGCGACGGATTAATGCAGCGACGTTCCACATTCGACAATCATTCTGTCGCACAGACGAAGGCTAGTGGGGAATCATTGTGATCATCAGATGTCTTGGAATGAGTGATGTAGCCTAGTATGAACTCATTGCGATACAGGGTGAGCAGTATGCGTGATTCAGTGCTTAAGTGTATGTATAGGCCCTGCTATGATAAAATCTTCGCCGAACATTGAGATAGAGCCCGATGTTTTGCTCAGCATTCTCCCGAATAAGCATCGAGTTGTAAACCCATCTAAGTTTAACATAGACATTCCGTCACTGCAGTCATTCCACCTTTTCCCCAGGCCCTAGAATTGAAGTGCGTCGTCTCAACCCGGCGAAGGAGTAAGAGAGTGCCGCCAACTCCGGGGCCAGCTTTCTTACAGTAGACAAGATCCAACACTTCTCCTCCATTACAGACGTGGAGCGGGTACCGATTCCGCAAATATTTCCAAAATTGTTCACATTTCTTTTTGCTGCTAAGCAGTATAAGCTGATTTGCCTCCAGGTTAAAGCACAGAGACCTCCCAATTCTCCCCAGCGCTTGGTATCCTAGCAGCTTCATTGAACGTATATTCATCTCTTCACGTCTCGACCCATCTTGGCTTGTACCCTCGTAAAACTCATTGAACCAAAGGTGTACATCAATAATATGCCTCATCATCAAATCCTTGAATCTGAGAAGAGCGTTTAGAAGCTCCAGGCCCGCCCATACCCAGATTTCCTATGCCAGTCGCCAATGAACCGTTCCCGCTCGTATTCATATTCATTCCTAACTGTAAGCTCATGCCTGGTCCCATTAAACCGTTCATTCCATTCGTTCCGTTCGTGGGAAAGCCATCAATATCCGTGTCGGTAGTGGTTGGATACCTGTCTCCGGTAAGTCCAAATCCGTATCCGGCCTGGCTTGTCACGACGCCCGGGTTGGTTCCTCCGTCTCCTCCCCCCGAATCATACGAGTACTGCAGTCCATTGTAAGATGGTGAGTTACCATTCGTATTCGCGTTTGTACTGCTGCCCGTTTCTGGTGTGTCAAAGAAGCTCAGATCTAGGGTTCCCCAATCTGGCGGCTCAGACCCCCAATTTTCGAAACCCACGGCCAATTGGTTCTGATCCTTAAAGAACCAGTCTTGTGTCTCCTCAATCAGACTTTCAACTCCACCAAACAATCTGGCGGCATTCTGGTCGCTAGCAGTCCCTGCTTGGTTAGAGGATGTCGCAGCTGTGTTGGCTGCGATTCGAGCTTGGTGTGCATTCCACGCATCTTTTTGTGCTTTGGTAAGGTAAGTTGAAGCCCGAATACGATGAGAGTCTCGAGAAAGGTCGGCTGTGGACTGTGGTAGCATCGACGGTCCTCCGGATGTTCGTCTGGAATCAATCGCCTCTGTGGGTGAGGCAGCCATGGGCGCAGAATATCCGCCTGCATACTGTGACATTGAAGTCCCACGCTGAGCCTGCGACTGCTGTTGCCTTTGAACATTGATTGCCATCAAGTCAGGCACTGGCTGCGACACAATTTGCTGTGCCATGTTTGCCAGAGACTCGGGCGACACCGGTGAAGGTGCACTCGCTGCGAGACCCCATTTCGCCCGAAGCCTTGTATAAACCATTTCCGCCTCTTCGGGCATTTCAATACTCCACCTGTCGGCACATAGATGCAAAACTCTGAGCGTTCGCCGGGCGGCTGTCCAACATTCCCCCATTTCCTCCAGATGTTTGACGCCGTGGATGATATCTCTGCGAGCGTTTTTGTCTGGTAGATTCAACAAATGAATCGTACAGGCTGAATGTACAATATAGATTGCAATGTTACATATTTGTCGAAGGCCATGTGTTCGCTTGTACAGTCGAAAAAGCTTAGAAATTGCTGTGGCTCCCTGAGTACAGTACTTTCTCGGGGATACATGTGCTGGAAGTGGTGAGGTCGTTCGGGTGTACTTCAGGAACGGTCGATATAGATGAAGATACAAGAGTTGGTAAAACATACTGTCTTTAGTCAGTACGCCTCTTGAGGCTTATGGAACTTCAGAGACATACTGCATCAGCAGGACCTGGGGGAGTTGGCCCTCCCTCGGTTCCAGTTCAGGCGGCAACCCTTGCTTCCACGCTTCCAATCTAGTATGTAGATCGCTCAGTCGTTTGAGTTCGGTTTGTCTCGGAGGAGGTTTATCGAGCATCTGCGGATTATAGAACGATGTCAGGAGATCGCTGGAAATCTCGGCCAGTTTAGACAGTTGCAATGCAACAGCTCTGGTACGCGCCGGTTGCGCATGGGCCTGAATGATGCCCGAGTCTGTATATGGCGACCACATTTCACTGTCTTCCGATGGGAACACGTCAGGCTTCTTCATGGTGATGTTTGGCGTTAAAAGTTGAGGTTGCCGTCCCAGGTAGTTAGACCAGCACCTGATACCAGTTAGCAAAAGTGTGTTGTTGAAGCAAAGATTCTCACTTGTCAAAGAGGAAACAACCCCAGAAGGTTATCCGCCTCGCATCAATGTCCTCATCTGTCAAGCGTGACATTTCATTGATAGGCACCGTATCCACGTTCAATCCGAGATCACAAGCCATTCGAAAACTCATGCCACTGTATACCCAGCCCTTGCTTTCATGACCGCATCCGGCTTCTCTGACGGACATCAAAGCCAGAGCCTGGACTGTACATAGTTTCGCGTTGGCAAACTCGTCGTTCTCGTAAAGGAGCCTTTTAGCTTCTGCAAAGAAGTGGTCACCAGTGGTCCCAGAATCCGCTGGATCCGCTCTTGCTTCAGGTCGGGATGAGAAGTGGCACCCGAGCGCTAGCATAACATTGACAAGGAGAGGCGAGCAGTACTGTGAGGATGTCCCGGTGAGGAAATCTCGATAGAAAAGTTCCTTGGCCAAGGTCGTGAAGAAGGCGTAGTGCCAGCAAAAGTACATGTTCATAAAATGGAGAATTGCCTCTTTGTCTTGGGTGACGGTCGTCCATGAAAGAACAGCCTCTTCGTGAGGTTGCACCACGACCCGCTGGTAAGTTGGTGAGCTGTGTGTGCCTCGATGTTCATATTCCTCAGGAAGCCAGATCAAATTCGACGTTCCCCCAATGAATTTGACAGACCCGTCCAGCATCAGATCGCCCATCTTCCCAGAAAGTTCGGCTTCAAATTTCGGTACGCCAGATTCAGCCTCATACATTGGAGAGTCATCGTGCCCTTCCATCAGGCCTTTCTCTTGAGCGTCTATGGTAACCGCAAGTTCTTCTAGATTGTCGCATGTCCGTATCTGCCGGACCAGATCCATGACATCCTCCTCCTCAGCATTCAGGATAGCCTGTACGAGGATCTGGAGTGTGGAATTCTTGGTCTTGGAGGCATCCACATCCTTTTTGTAAACCCCTTTGCGCCGATGGTCGGTGTGTGGCGCATATTCACATTCGGTCAAGTAGACCGATGCGCAAGCAGCGCATTTGGGCAAATTGCCATCACACTTGCTCTTCCTTTTACGGCAGGCAATGCAAGCCGTGCTCACACATCGCCTTTTCGTAGCGGCGCCTCCAGAATCCTTATCCTTGCTCTTGTTCTTGCCTTTAGCCGATGGCTGCGCCGAAACGTCTGTGTGCTCCAATATATCCTCTAGGGGACTCGGATGTTGAACTTGCTCCGCTTTGATATCCCCTTCCATCATTATCGTTATCGGGGAATAGTTGTTTCATCTATCGGTCGTTATCGCGACATGCGGGCTAGTGGTGTGTAGCCATCGCAGGAGCATTCTCTACTAGTGAACGGATTCTGCAGGATGAACGAGGCCCAAGTTCAGACGCTGCAAGCATGGGCTGATGCGCTCCGCGGCTTTTGCTTCATGGAAAGAATAGTTCGATTGGGTCAAAAGCTTTGGGATTGTCGCGCAGCGGGGTGAAGGACTGTGCTGATAAACGTTTGAGGGAGGGTTAGGACCGGTTGGGTTGGAATTGCAAAGGTGCAAGAGGTAAGTGAAACTGCTGGACGGGAAAGGTCTGTATCCTAGACTGTGACTCAATGTAAACGAGATGCAATGAGAATTTGGATGAGGCACATGAGGCTACCGAGAGGAGAGGATCTGACGAGAGTGGGCATCCCCCACTTAGCCATCATGTAGGGTCGTACAGGGGCTGCACAAGGCTTGTCTGATTAATAAGTCTGGGAGCGCAGAAAACATGGAGTAGCAACTACGGAGTACCTCGTACTTTCCCCGGGGCGTCCAGAACCTAGCTGTCTAGGCAAGTACTCAAGTAGGCACTTGGCTCCGCTGGATAAACGGCATATCGGCTTCTCCGCCACCTCCGGGCGGACCGGGATTCAACCAGCAAATACTGGACTTCTCAAGCAGAAAATTCTCCTCATCGGCAACTCGATACAAGTAGAAGTCTTGCCGCAATATCTTCGGTGTGGAGTCCCTCGGCACCCAGCGGCAGCCTCTGCAGATCTCAATGCACGAAAAGGATATGGATCCAACCAGCTGTAGAATCGCAGGATCGAACTTTAGCTGAGCCTCGACCCTGACACAATGTGGGGAGGCACGACATCGTCAAATTGTGAAAGCAGTCTCAAACAGATCCAATATCTTATTTAACTAGGTAGAGATCAACTCTGGAGTGGAACCTCGTCTCTTACAACTAGACAGAATATTAAAGGCTGAGACAGCTGGCGAAAACGTGACCTGACAAGGCTGTGTCACGTGATGACCAAAAACTTCTAGTCGCAACTTCGCAGCTCTTATTTTACGCGTGAACTTCAGCTTCGCAATGATTTAGTACATGTTCTGTCCTTCTCCCATCATTCACAAACTGAAGTGTTTGGTCAGCATCTAGCCGGTCTTGATACCATCTGCCCAGTCCAATTGATGCCGCACACATCGGCATCGCGCAGTCTGCTGGGGCTCGCGAGAAGATTCAACCAGCTAAATGTCGCCGATCCCTTGACAGTGCGAAATCCTCCCCAATTCTGTGGTAGTGGCTGTTGTTAACTCATGTATAGCAATGTCTGGCACCAAGGCTAGGTTGTCGAACAATCGCTTCTCAAACTCAGCCACCTATTTCCACCCTCACAACGGACTTTGTAACAAGTCGTGATTCCTCTCACCTACGAAATCCCTCCATTGTAACCTCGCCCACCCCCGGCTTGTCGAACTCTGCGTCCTCCGCCGAGCTCCATGCTCTAGACCATCCGGTACTAGCGACCCTGTATTCGTGGCCTCACATCGAACCTGCTCGTCATGCTCTGTACGGCTCACGATACCTTGACGCCCCTTTGCGCAGAGACATTCTTCATCGCGCTGTCATCTATGAAGCGGACGCGACACGCCAGGGAACGGCGAGCACGAAATGGCGTTTTGAAGTCCATGGGTCCAATCGCAAGCTGTACCAGCAGAAAGGTACAGGCCGTGCTCGTGTGAGGGACAAGAAGTCCCCGATCAGAAGAGGAGGTGGTGTTGCCTTTGGTCCAAAGCCCAGAGATTTCTCGTCCGAATTACAGAAGAAAGTCTACCACCAGGCGTTTCGAATCGCGCTAAGTTACCGTTTCAGGAGGAACGAGTTGATCATTCTCAATGACAAGATCAATCTGCCAACGGGAAACGGCGCACGGTTTCTCAATAACATTTTCGAGGCCAATTGCTGGGGCCAGGGGTACGGCCGCAGCCTCCTCGTCACAAGTACGCCTGAATCAAGTGGAGCACGAATCTTTGAAGAGATGGAAACCATTGGCGAGCATGGAGATCTGAAAGACATCGAGGACGTGGATGTCAAGGACCTCCTCACTAGCGGGCGGGTAGTGATTGAGAGATCTGCCCTGCTGAGTTTGCTGTGTAAGGAACAGACGTTCAAGGAGAACGGAACAGTGTTCACGTATGAGAAAGCGTTGAAGGATGTGAAACTAGCGAATAAGCTTCAGGTGCCTGAGAAGATTGTACAGTATTTGTGAGAATAGTCCTTCAATCTATATAGACCTCAGGCGCAGACTGGGATGTGTTTCTCGACCTCTGTTTCTATTCTACCCTCAGTGGCAATGTGTCTCCTCAATGCCGGTAAGACGACTCGCTGCTCAGCTATTATGAAACAGGAATCCAAAAGTACAACACGAGTTTACGTAGTCAACATCATAGGGACTGGTCAACCACACTGGAGCATTACTCCAATCTCTTCGATATGTACGACAGTTCGAACAGCCATGCTGCTTTTGCTGAGAACTGCATTCGTTATATTGGGACCAATAAATGTCCAGGCCGCTACCCCGTTTGATAAAGCAGCGCTACTGGACCCCTAGCGTGGACGGAGCCCCCGCTGTGGACCTATCCGATCTTGGCTCGAATTTTCTTTGTCCAGAGTTACAAAATGTGGTGGCCCTCTGAGGTACTTGTCTAGGTTGTGCACTCTGGTCCTAAATTTCTGGGGCGAACATTGAGGAAGGCGCTACGAGTGAGTCTCTAGACCGTCATCCGCAATGGCGATCCAAAAAAAGCACGGCAAAGGACGGCTTGGTATGTGTTCCACCATCGATCTGGCAATAACTGCACGGGAAAAAGTGGCTGACTCCCTCTCTCAGACAAATGGTACAAACTCGCCAAAGAGAAAGGCTACAGGGCACGGGCGGCGTTCAAGTTGATCCAGCTGAACAAGAAATATGGGTTCCTGGAGAAGAGTCGGGTGCTGCTGGACCTGTGCGCCGCACCGGGATCTTGGTGTCAAGTCGCAGCAGAGACAATGCCTGTGCAGAGCCTGATTGTCGGTGTGGATCTGGCGCCCATTAAGCCCATACCTCGAGTCATCTCCTTTCAGAGCGATATCACCACGGACAAATGTCGAGCGACTATTCGGCAGCACCTAAAACATATGAAGGCCGACACAGTGCTGCATGATGGGGCACCCAACGTTGGTGTGGCCTGGGTCCAAGACGCTTTCTCGCAGGCGGAGTTGGTTCTGCAGTCAATGAAATTGGCGACAGAATTTCTGAAAGAAGGAGGCACATTTGTCACAAAGGTGTTTCGGTCCAAGGACTACAACGCGCTGCTTTGGGTGTTCAAACAGCTGTTCACATCGGTCGAGGCTACAAAACCCCCTTCGTCCAGGAACGTGTCTGCGGAAATCTTCGTGGTATGCAGAGGTTTCAAGGCACCAAAGAGACTGGATCCCAAGTTTTTGGACCCGAAACATGTTTTTGCGGAGGTGCAGGAGCCCACACCGAACAACGAAGCCAAAGTCTTCAACCCCGAAAAGAAGAAAAGGAAAAGAGAAGGTTATGAAGAAGGCGACTGGACGCAACATAAAGAAGTCCCTGTCACCGATTTCATCCACACGACAGACCCGATTGCGATTTTAGGCTCCATGAACAAACTAAGTTTCGAGCAGCCATCCAACGGCGATCTCGCATTAGCTACAATAAGTCGACTTCCCGAGACGACAGCCGAAATCAGACAATGCTGCGCAGACTTGAAGGTGCTAGGAAAGAAAGAGTTCCGGACGTTACTTCGGTGGCGGCTGAAAGTCCGCGACCAGTTTGGCTTGTCGAGTAAAGCTAAAAAACAAGAGCAGGAAACACAGACCCAAGAGCAGGACGGAGAAGAGGTGGCACAGGTCGGGTCGATGGACGAAGAACTCAAACTTCAAGAAGAGCTGCAGAAATTGAAGGATCGAGACAGCAAGGAGAAGAGGAAAGAACGACGCAAAGAGAACGAAAGGAAGCGAAAAGAGATTGTCCGGATGCAGATGCACATGACTGCGCCGTTTGACATTGGATTGGAGCAGAGTGGCCCTGGGGCGGATGGGACCATGTTCAGCATCCAAACGGCTGACAAGGCTCAGGGCTCTGGTGAGATTGGCAATAACGACATGGAGGACGAGGAGGACTCTGGGTCGGAAGACTCAGAGGTTGGCTCCGAGAGTGATGATGACGACGCTGGTGACAGGCTTGAAAGGGAACTAGACTTAATGTACGAATCCTATCAGCAAAGGCGGGAGGAAGCGGACGCCAAAGCACGAGCAAAGCGAGCGAGAAGAGAAAAGGAAACCGATGAATGGGAAGGTCTATCCGATGACGACGCCACATCTGCCGATGGAGTCACTGACGCCGACTATGATGACGAAGAGGACGGCTACCCGATGAAAAAAATCCCGAAAAGTGATGGTCTTTCCGCCAAGGCGGCCATGTTTTTCGACCAAGACATTTTCCAGGATCTGGGCATTGACGATGAACAAGAAGACCTGGACAAGGACAGTGCAATTGAGATGGACGACGACTCGTCAGACCACGCAGACCGGACAGCCACGAAGGCTCGTACATCAAAAGAGCAGCAAGACAAGTCCCTGAAGCCAGCATTGAAAAAACAAGGACCGTCGTCTCAATCCGCAGATGATGAATCCGAATCCGAGGCTGAGGCTACGATTAAACCATCTACCTCTTCCACCACAAAGCCTCCGCGACCCGAAGACCCATTGACACCATCCGGCCATTTGGACGTCGACATCATCACCGCGGAAGCCATGACGCTTGCACACTCCCTCGCAACTAAGGAAATCACAGCCAAAGACCTGATCGACGACAATTTCAACAAATACACCTTCCGCGATACTGACGGTCTCCCCGACTGGTTCTTGGACGACGAAGACCGACATTCTCGCCCCATTAGACCGATCACTAAGGCCGCCGCGGCGGCAATCAAGGAAAAGCTGCGCGCGTTGAATGCCCGGCCCATCAAGAAGGTCCTGGAGGCCAAAGGGCGGAAGAAGATGAAAGCGGCTCAGCGGCTGGAGAAGCTTCGCAAGAAATCCGCGCTGTTGCTCGAAGACGAGGGCGTGAGCGAAAAGGACAAGGCCTCGACCATTTCGAGGATGATGGCCCGCGCGGCCAAGAGGGGGAGACCAAAGGAGAAGGTCAAGCTGGTGGTCGCGAGAGGTGCGAATCGCGGCGTCGCTGGACGGCCGAGGGGCGTCAAGGGCAAATACAAGATTGTGGACGCCCGGTTGAAGAAGGACGTGAGGGCCGAGAAGAGGCTCAAGAAGAAGTTGAAGAAGTAGGAATCTCCGTCTAGCGATGCATGCATAGCACTTATAGACGACAGCGGAAGCCATGCCTTGGTCAACTTCTTGATTGATTTGACGACCTGTTTTGACAGTTTTATTTGCGACGCCAATCGCGTGCCTGCTTATACCATAGTCTCTATCCCCATAGGATTGGGATTGCGCCGGCCAGAAAAGGAACCAAAACCGTCCCATAATCAGTGGGTTTTATTGATAGTACATCACCAGCCTTTTTGCTCCGAGTCTCCTTCGCCACCATCCAGCCATGGACTCTTTAATGGGCAACGAAGGTCCGCGTCTTGTTTCAAAACAAGTGGTAAGTCATCCGTAATGGTTGTGACCTGCTGCGACCTTCGCAAACGGCATCAAGCTGGTCGAGCCATCAGAGCGTTGTGCTCTGTAGAGTTACTGGGCATTGCCATCAGTGGTAATCCTGCTCCTCGCACTAGATGACTAGTGAGTCGAAATGCAAAGCAGGACACTCTCTGCGGAGCGTGAAACCGGCTCTCATTTGGGGAATGAAGTCTCCGACATTCTCCTGAGGGCGTCTCTGTCCATGGTTGTTCACCATCCTCCGATACCCCAGCGGCCTTCGTCCTCTTCACCATCATCAAATTTGTCCAACTCACTGCCATCACCAGAATAGCCAATAAAGTCCCGGTTGTCGTCAATCAAGCGTCCATACTCCAGAAGTAACCTGAACATGTATACCTCGATATCCTCCCGCCTAAGCACCTTATTTGCCCACTCGCGGCCCTGCCGAGCGAGCGTCTGTGCCTCCCTATCATGCCGAGCAATGAAGACCCGCGGATTCAAATCTTCGCCTTCCTCGGCATGTTGTTTGTAAGGTTTGCCATATCCAATAAAATATGTCAGGAGTCCGTAGATGTCGTCGTATCGGTTGTCCACGGGAACAAAATGGCGCCATGCTAGAAGTCGACTGTCGTGCCATTCACGGAAGATGGTTGCTTTGAGTCCGAGACTCTTGCTTTGCAGGAATGCGTGCCAACGCCCGGAGAATGAATGCCCGTCGACGTCGATCAAGTACCTCGATTTAAATTGTGAAGTAAGCGGGACTTGTGGCTTCCAAGAGAACACACTGTTGTAGAAGGAACAATTAGGGAGACAGGACATTGGCTCCGTGAATCCGATGTCGCTATGGCGGTCGGCGAATTCTGAAGGCTTGAACCGATCATAAAGCTCATAAGTAGTGTTCACTTTGCCCGGTCCGTCGTCTTTTTCGGTCAGAGTTTTGACCTCTTTGCCAGTCATTTGCATGTACGTGCCGTTGAAAAGCTGAACAAGTCTCTGTCGGTGCATTCTGTCCCAATTATCCTCGAGCTGGACACCACCCGATGTGACGCCACGCCAGATGGTATTATCTTGCTTATCGCGCCAATCGACGTCTTCCTCCGCACTGTAATCATATCGCACATCATGCTGATAGTACATGTTTGCTGGAAAGAGAATATCGTTGTTGACACTGACTTTACATTCGCCGAAGATGGGCACCAGCTTGTGGGAGGCAATGACGCTGCTTGCTGAATACAGCATACCGTGCAGATCCTGGATAGTGGGACCCACTGTGCACAGATCGGTTGAGAGGTTGAAGTTCTTCACAAACCCGAGCTTCGGCTCTTTGTACAAAGCATCCGCCTCGGCGACAGACATCTTTGCCCGTGCCGGGGACTCTGGGGGGCAGCCTTTGGCGGCAAGATTCATGTACTGCTTGCCAGGAGCAAATATCCAGTCCTCACTGAGTCTTGTGGAGTGGTCGAGCTCCTTGTCTTCGATGCTCATATCCAGGAGCTCTGGTAGATCCTTCGTAAAGCTGTCGGTGACTTCGGGTGCCATGACACGTGTGTGGTACTCCTTTTGTAGAAACTCTTGCATATCCTCCCAAGGAACGATCAGACGCGGCTGATCCAATCTGTTCATGGGGATGTCCATGTCGGGAAGGAATTTGATACACTTCTCGATGACTTTTTCCATGGTTTCAGACCTCCAACTCGGGTTGTCCACCCTGACCACCTTGTGATTGCGGATATGAAGAACGGACACTCCAAAGTCAGGATTTTCCCACATATGTGCAGCGTGGCTGCGGATCACAGACGCATTGATGGCCCAGAAGGGGCGCAAGTCGTCCATGATTTGATCAAAATCATCAATGTTGAATACGTTCCTCTTTCGTGCGAACTTATACCAGTCTTTAAATCCCGGCGGAGGATGTCTGCCATATTTGCTTCTATATTTTTCCACTGTCTGCCTAAATGTTGTCGAGATATCGGTCTCGTAAGTCCGCCATTCAGCATCGGCTTCCCGCATCAACTGCGCAATGGGGTGTAAGTCGAAGTGCTCCACAGGTTGCGATTGGGGAGGTGTCGGTTTCTCGCTATCGGTGTCATGTTCGGGTTCATGCTCAGGCTCGGGTGGAGGAGATGGATCGGGACCTAGGTCCCATATCGTGTCTGGATCGGGCGCTGGAGGGGGAAGTTTGTGCTCGGTTGGGTTCAAATGGCCTGGGATGGGGATGTGGGAAGCAACTTCTCGAAAGTTGTCACCAGAGGGTGAAAGGCCATGAAAGACGATGTAGAAGGCGATGATGCTGGCGATGAGCAGGATGATGCGTCGCTTGTTAAACTCGATGGGGCCCATTGTTCCGGAGGCTGGGGTAGTTGACGGGAAACGTATATTACCAGAGGGTCTCAGGGTCTCCCTACGTGGTCATAACTGTTGGATAAGGGACAATATAGACGATGCAAGTCCAATGCAGTAATTATGCCACCCGGCAGCGAGAGTCTGATTGACTCATTGTTGAAGTTGAACTCCGGTGATGGATTCTTCAGGAGGTGATACAGGGACCTGCTGCGCAGTTTGGCAAGTTGCAGGTTACAGGGTGCAGGGGGGAATGGGGAATTCGCATGTGGCGGATGAGAATTTCTAGAGGCGATTCCCATTGGCGGACTGGAGGGAATAATCACGCCAACCATGACTGGGGCCGCAGTTTGTCACTCTGGCCCCCAAGGCTGCCCTCCTTTTAACCAAGTCTTACTTCTGCCGCTTCTCCGCAGCCCTCCGTACAGTAGGGAAACTGAGGTGAGTTGAGATGAAATACGAACCACCGACCAGTCTCGTCGTCTTGCCTTACCAAGATCCAGGCACATGTTCACGGTCTCCCACGGCGCCACATTGATTTCGGAGACTGTCCACCTGCGATGACCATGAACACCAGGCTCAAAGCTCAATTGTCTCCCACACCTTGTCCGCCTAGATAACCCTCCAACAACATCACACATGGCGATACATTGTTGTCGAACCAACTCCACTGGCCTCGCTGTGAGAGGATCTAGCTTCACGCCTCTGTTGCTATAGGTCTAACAAGTACAGCGAGTACCACCATCTTTGGAGGTTTGCCAAGGCAAAATGAATAGGGGGATCAGCCTTGCTACCCACTGCCTGGTTCGACATGGACAATTTGCTCATTACCTGGAGAGATGCAGGTAGAGATAAGGAAAGCATCTTCTTGGTAAGGAAGTTTGGATGACTGGACAGCCGATAAGGTTCGGAGAGGCTCTACCAGAAAACGGTGTCTTCCCGTGCTCTACATGGTCCCCAAGTCACTCCAAAAGTCAAATTCGGTCATGGTTGCTGTCCCGTGGCGAACAGGACATACTCTTCATCAACAGCAGACGCAGCAATCTGCCGACATGTGGACGAAGTATCGTCTAGTCTACTATTCCCGTATCCTCGGATAAAACTAAGCCTTGGTGGCCTTGCCCCCGCATTTCCATCCCCAGTCTTGCAGACACGACCATGATTGGCCTTTGGATGATGACCATCCGTGCTATGTCAGGGTAGCGATGGCTGTCCCTGCAGACGGACGTCAGGTGCACGATGTCAACAGTCCCAACTAGCTAAGCCAGGCGATCCGAGTACGCTGTCCCTAACAAGCATTTCAATGTCTCGATACAGAGGTATTAATGTTAGTTGATGCCAGTTCTGCCTATCTCACTTTGTCGTTATAGTCACCCAGGTGAAAGTCCTGCCTTCACTCAATGTCGACCATGGACGTCCTTACACTTCTGCAGTCTCCACAAAGCTACCTGTGGGCGGTACTGTTGGGTGTTGTCCTCCATTTGACACTGTTCCGTTATGGCGAATGGGACTCATCTGCACCGTCTTTGATCTCGGCATTTTTCACCACGCAGTTGCTCCTCCTTGGGTTCTTGACTGCATATACGCCATCATGGACAGCAGTCCTCCTTGCAGTGCTCCATGTGTCGGCGCTAGGCATGTGTGTTCTAGTAGGCACGTTCACTAGCATCTTGATATATCGTGGATTCTTCCACCGGCTGTCCAGGTTTCCGGGCCCCTTCTGGGCACGGCTTTCTACCATATATCCAACATCACTTTCCGTCAGGTCCAAATTACATCTTTATGAAGAGGTCCAAGCCTTGCACAGACAGTATGGAGATTTTGTGAGACTTGGTAGACCCTCGCCTCCCACCAGTCGAAAGGAAATTCGGACGCTGACCTTTGACCAGGACCCATGGAGTTGTCTATTGCAGATCCTCGGGCGATTCAAGCAGTAAACTCGGCGCAGACTCCCTGCACGAAGGGACCCTGGTATAATGGAATGCGACCACGGGTGGCTCTGCAAAACAGCCGAGACAAGCAGGAGCATTCTCACCGGAGGAAAGTTTGGGATCGAGGCTTTGGTGCCAAAAGTAACCTCCACCTGGGTCGCCTCAAGGAAAACTCGTTCATTGAAGTCTAATGTGCTGAATCCTCAGGTCTTCGCGATTATGAACCCCGGGTCGTCTCATACACCACGGGACTGATGAATGCTATCGAGGCGCAAAAGGACACACCATTAAATGTCACCGACTGGTTCAACTTTTACAGCTTTGATGTTATGGGCGACCTAGCATTTGGAAAATCTTTCGATATGGTTAAGAATGGTGTCAAGCACTACTTTATGAACTCTCTCAAGACAAATATGACCATGGCAGGCTACTTTAAACACGTTGTATGGGTTGCTCCAATCTTCAGGTCCATACCGATCCTTAATTTCGAGCATAAGAGATTCTGGAAGTTCGTCAATAGCCAAGTGGACGAGAGGATGAAGGTGGGTTTCAATCGAGTCACAAGCGAACGTCCCTCTCTCTGACTGATGCCCGCCAGATGAAGCCTGACAAGCCGGATGTATTCTCTTATCTGCTTGAGGAATATGAAAAGCAAGACCCGAAGACGGCTCAGAGCCTGCTGAATCTTCAGGCAGATGCCTATTTAATTGTTGTTGCTGGGAGGTAATGAATATCCTCCTCCTCCTCCTCCTCCTCCTCCTGAAGTGCCGATCGTTGTTTTCCTGAAGACTACATCTGACAGCGTCTTCCAGCGATACCACCGCCGCGACTCTGACGACGCTCTTCTTTCATCTGGCAACAGAACCGCATTTATTGATCAAGCTCCGGGAGCACGTGGATCCGCTATTTGAGTCCGACGAGGTTGATGCTGGAGCACTCTCGAAGAGCAAGCACTTGGATGCTTTCATCAATGAGACATTACGTCTTCATCCTCCTGTACCTTCGGGAGTCCAGCGATTGACACCTCCCGAAGGGATGATGATTGGGGACACTTTTGTGCCCGGGAATACGATTGTATATGTCCCCCTATACACTGTATTCAGAGGTATGGTTCTCTGTTCATAACACTTCCGAAGCTGGAGCAAGTGAATACGTTCTCATTCTGGTGCAGACGAACGAAATTTCAAGAGACCAGAGGAATTCCTCCCCGAAAGATGGACCACAAACCCCGAATTGACCGTGGATGCCTCTGTTTTTGTTCCCTTTTCGTCAGGTAAGTCCACGACATTGATTTTGCAGACCAGCCATCCACGACTTTTCAACGAAAGGAAAGATCATGTTGAGCGCAGTGAGCTGACAAAATGCTTTCAACATCAGGCCCGTATAGCTGTATTGGCAAACAGCTCGCGTTGATGGAGTTGCGATATGTCACGGCTTACATAGTCCACCGTTACGACTTCGCTCTGGCACAAGGGGAGGATCCAGCCAGGTTCACTCGGGACATGACTGATGGGTTCACTCTAGCCTGTCCACCTTTGAACCTCGTCTTTACTGAAAGAAAAACGGCTTGAGACTTCTCAGTTCTGGGAAATAGTACCACAATCACGTGTATTGTGAAGGGTTGGCCTCGATGTATTTGCACTGGCTCTGCCATATGTTCTGTTTAACCACTCTTGAGCGTAAATAACAGTATGATGCACCAATCCCCTGTCAACCGCGTCAAGGGGATTGACTCGCAGCGTCACGGGTTCAGAGCCTTTTACACATGTACGCATACCAATAGCACTTCCAACCCACTTTTCCCGAGTCAACATGTCTCAGTCAGAGACGCCCCAGAAAAGACCTGCTCCCAATCCCTGACAATGGGCTGCCTGTCTAATAGGGTACGTGCCTCGGCCTCGGTAGCTGGTGATATTGAGCATTGGAACCCCGCAAACTCCCATGCATGGGTGATGGAATCGAGCGCTTTGCAACGTCGTAACCCCGACCCCGCCTGGCTCCGGGGTTAGATTCGCGTGGGAGCGAGCGATATGTAAAAGTTGCCGAGAATCCTCTTTCGAGGTGGCACCGGATAGGTACCTTTGTTCTCGCAGTCATGGTTGCCGCACAGTTCGAACTCTCGCCAAAGTGGCTCTCAAAGGCCCTGGGCTTCGACGTGGTCGGGGCTAGGCCTGTCCGGATTGGAACCGGCCAAATCGGCGAGGTATATCGCATCGAGCTCGAGTATGGCGCAAAGACACGAGCAGGCCCAGCTTCGGTGGTGGCGAAAATGGCATCCCTCGACGCGGACTGCAAGGCTTTCGGGCTCAGCTCTGGTCTGTACGAGCGAGAAGTCCGGTTCTACCAAGAAGTGGCTCCGCTGATGACGACGGGGCCCATCCCGACTGTTTATCGCGTGGAACGGGACGAAGAGTCCGGGGAGTTTGTCATCCTGATGAGTGACAATGCTGGGAGAGTGGGCAGCGACATCAGCGGAGCAACGCTTGAGGAGGCCAGCTTAGCCATGTCGGAGCTGGGAAGACTCCACGGGTTGATCTTGAACCATGTGTCTGTGGAGAAGCACGGCTGGATGAGGAGGACAAGACCATGGGCACCGACCGAGAACATGGTCGAGTATTGGAAACGGTTCAAGGAGCGATACGGAGATCGCATCAAGCCAGAACACCGCGAAATCGGCCAGAAATTCATTGACAGCTTCGAGGCGTACCATGCCGCCCTGGATGCTTCTTCCGCCCCTACGGGGCTTGTCCATGGAGACTACCGACTCGACAATATCCTGTTCGGAGACAGCGGAGGCCTGCCATTGACCCTGGTGGACTGGCAGACGTGCTATTGGGGACCTGTCCTTCACGACCCATCGTACTTCTTGGGCCTAGCCGTAACGCCCGAGTTTCGCCGTGAGCACGGAGAGGGGTTGTTGAAGATATATCATGAGGCGCTCTCTGCAAGTTCCCCATACCCGATCAGTATCCATGAATGCAAGGCGGGCGTCCGGATGCACAGCTTTACAGGAATGCGTCAAGCCATCACGGCGGCCAGTCTGGTTGAGAGGACAACTCGAGGAGACGATCTGTTCCTGACCATGTTCGAACGGAGCTGTGAACACGTCGTCGATACAAAGGCGCTTGAGGTGCTGCCACCACCGGTCCCTGTCCCCCATCTGGAGCCGAAGGAGTTGGACGAGGAGATGCATCCGTTCAGTGACCATCCCCTTCACAACGAGAGCTGGTATTTCGACGTGGTTGACATAGACCAGCAAGTCGGAGTGTGGGTGAGACTCGGGGTCATTCCAAACCAAAGCGGCTCGTGGTACCACGCGTTGATCTGTGGGCCTCACATACCCACAGTAGGAGTCATCGACTTTGAAGCACCACATCCCGCAAAGGACCTGGTAGTCCATGGTGGAGAATACACGGCCACCCATGAAGCCGAAGTGCCTCTCCAGAAATATCGCACCACTGTGAAGGGGAAAGGAGTGTCATTCGACGACCCGGCGGCAATCTTGCAGGGTGGCGCCGGGCGACCCGTTGACGTCCAGATGGATCTCCTCTTCGAAACCGACGGACAGCCATATCAGTGGCGCCGCGCCACCAGATATGAGATCCCCTGCAAGGTCACTGGCACCTTCTCGTGGGACGACCATTCATTCACCTTCACCAAGGCTAGAGGCCAGCGGGACCATTCCTGGGGTCCCCGAGACTGGTGGGCCGCCGACTGGGTGTGGACTGCATTCCACCTTGACGACGGTACTCACAGCCACCTCGTGCATGCCAAAGCTCGAGGAGGAGACTATCCCCACCTTGGTGTAGGGTATGTCCAGAAAGAAGGAGAGCCCCTGGTCGAAATGACTGATGTCAAGGCAGCAGCAGAGATGGCAGCCAACGGCTTGGGCGTGTCAACGACCATCACAATGGCTCCTCTGCCACTCACCTTCTATGTGAAACCTGTCGGACATGCTCCTCTCTGTCTCATGGCGAAGGACGGGCGAGTTGCCAAATTTCCACGCTCTTGGGCTACAATCACCACTAACGATGGTCGCAAAGGTGTTGGTTGGCTGGAGTGGAACATCAATGAGTGAAGAGGAGCAAGCTCGAGTCTCTGGTGAGCGACCTAGGTCGAGAAGCAAGTAGCAGTCTGATATGAATCCTTGCTCTTATGTAAAGTATGAGATATGCGATACTTTGATCTGGCCATTCCCTCGTCGTCAACGTAAAGCTACTTTTTCGTCCATGCCAGTTCCGTCACACGGCGAGGCTGAGCAAGGCTGAGCCAAGCAAGGGTCATGACATTGACAACTTTTACATTCTTCTTCCCATATATGAAGTTATTCGTCAAGAGCTCCTCTCTCATAACAACTGAGAAGAAATCATGCGCCATTTCAGACCTCTCACTGAATCCATTACTCCACTTGAATCGCAACAGGGGAAATGTCCGGGTCTTGGCATCTAGCGCTTGGCGGCCGTAAAGGGCAACTATGCCTCAGCAGTCGATGCTAGAGCTTTCAATCCCGGCCCCAGAGCATGAAAGATCTTGGAAAGACCAGTCCACTCCGACCAGACAATGCCGCCTCGACTACCCCTGCGGCTCTCGCCGTCGAGGGCACTGCAAGCGGATGCCGTCAATATAAAATTCGCAGATACAAACTCCTCCATTCCTGCCTTCCTCCTCCCTTTCCTCCAAACGCAGTCCCAAACGCTTCCGCAACGCCGATATGCCTCAATCCTAACCTCCCTATCCGATCGGCCCGGGGCCTATAACAAGAGGATTCGTCGCGGACGAGGTCCTGCTTCTGGCAAAGGAGGCAAGTCCGGTCGCGGGTCTGATGGGCAGAAACAGCATAGCAAAGTGCCTGAAGGGTTCAATGGTGGTCAAACACCCGAACACATTGTGCACGGAAAATATGGATTCAAGAACTTGTCTGTCTGCCCTGCTCCCATTCACAATGGCGAAGTTGAATTGACGTGTGGCCTCCAGATTTGCCAATGAAATGTCCCCAATCAATTTGGACAAGATTCAATCCTGGATCGACCAAGGCCGCCTGGACCCTTCCCAACCCATCACACTGAAAGAGCTCTGCTCCTCCGGCGTGCTTGGTCGCATCAAGGATGGCGTGAAACTTCTCGGGAACGGGGCTTCTGAGCTCAAAACACCCATCCACATTGTTGTCTCGAGGGCGTCCCAATCTGCCATTGCTGCAGTGGAAGCCGTGGGAGGAACAGTGACAACACGCTTCTACACCGAGCAATCGATACGCCGTATAAAGAGCAGCCAAACTCATCCTTTCCTTTCTCTCCGGTGGGATCCTTCAGCGCTGAACAACCCTCACCTGGCTGTAGAAGGGTCCGAGGTGGCCGAGAATCGTGCCAGGGGCATGGGCTTCCAGTACAGACTACCGGATCCAAGCTCACGGAAAGACTTGGAATATTATAGGGACGCGAAACATCGCGGCTATTTGAGCCATATGGTCAAGGAAGGCGAGAGCGCCAGCCTGTATTTCAAGCCGCCAATCAGCGAAGAGGAGCTGAAGGCCCTGAAAAGAGAGAGCGCAAGGAGTGGCAGGGCTGCGAAACGGAAGGAAGGAGATAAGTTGTGGTAAGGGGAACGCGGAACATATGTATTATACCTCGTACAACAATGTCCTCTTTGGCGGCATCTTTTCTCCTCGAGTTGGAAAAAGGATGCAGACAGAAAACAGGAGATCCAAATATTACACAAGGGAGAGTGCATGTGCGATTCGAACGAATGCGGCTCTCAGCAGGTCGAGTATGTTTAAAGAAAAAGCACGCGAGCGACTACTAGATTCTGGAAGGTTTTTGCAGAAAATAGACGCGTTATATCGTTTGATGAATCTCACTTGAAGAGCCCGGGGTGTCAGAAAATCTTGTTCGACACATGCCGACATTAAGAGGCGCAAAAATGAGGATTTGCTCAGCGTAAAAAAGATAAAATAATAACAGGGTAGGTAACCATACAGGCAGGGCTCGGCCCCCAAACAACGCGGCCATCTAAAAGTTCAAACAGTTTGTGGTTTTTTTCCTCAATCCGAGCGACCCCAAAAACAGTCCCTGCGAAGAATAGCGTGGATACCTCTCCAAAATCCAATCGTCCAGAGGCCTAGTAGGCCAAAAGTCAGGTGTCGAGGGCATGTGATGATTCATTGCTGCTTCGCGGAAGCGCACGTATGGCTTCTCACGTTACGTGCCATTAAACGTTTCCAGTCTTGCCTCTATTCTCTCGACACGTCTCTGCCGAAGAATTTGGCTTTGGCCCAGTCAAAGAAGACTAGGATGCGGTTGCGCGCTGGCAAGTCAAAGGTGTCAGCCAAAATCCCACAGACGCAGCAAGGATGGTTAGGGAAATAGTAATGGGATAAAACTCACTGCTAAAGCACATGCTCAGGTAAGCACTCTTCCAGAATAGGTACGTCATGGTACCTCCACTTGCAATATTTCCGCTGAACCAAGACACATCGGCAACTGCTTTCTCAGCACCAATGTACGCAAGCGATCCTTGATGCGAATAGCTGAATGGGCCGATCTGCTTGATGCGACGGAGCTGGCGCTGGCGTTCGTTGATCTCCTCCAGGATGACCTTGCGCTGATCGGGGTTCGCAGTAGCCTGCTTGGAGGACAAGTCGCGCAGTTCGGCCTCGATAGCGTCTGTCTTAGCCATGGTGTTAAACAAACGAGCCAGGAAAGCTCCCTCTTGGGCAGCGACTTGAGCAGTGGGTGCATAGTTGGCCACGGCGCAGTCGCCAACTGCCCAGATGTTTTCGGTGCCATTAACAACAAGGTATTCGTTGACTTCGAGGCCACGACGAGCCTTCGCTTGAGCTGGGATTTGGGACATGAGATCCTTGACCACGGGACGGAGAGCATTACCAGTAGCCCAGACGAGCAGTCCATAGGGAATCTTCTCCAGCGCTTTCGAACCGTCGGGGTTCTGGACTTCGGCTTCAATGTATTTGTCGGTCACATTCTTGACCATGGTCTTTGTGCGGATCTGGATGTGCTCTTCCTTGAACGAAGATTCAGTGTACTCGATGAGTTGCTTGCTGAACATAGGAAGCACATTAGGCAGAGCTTCGACCAAAGTGACATGGAAATCGTCCTTGATTTGAGGAACCCATTTCTGCAAGTCTTCCATGAAGAAATCCTGCAGCTCACCAGCAAACTCGACACCAGTTGGACCACCACCGACGACCACCATGTGGAGAAGACGCTTGACTTCTTCGGGGCTTTGATCCTTGAAAGTAGCCGTTTCGACACAATCCATGATTTGTTTGCGGATCTTTTGAGCATCACCAACCTCCTTCAAAAAACAGGCATGTTCACGAACACCAGGGATTCCAAAGGTGGCATTTTCTGCTCCGACACCCACGACAAGCAGGTCGAAGGGAATCTCGGTCTCCATGGTGTCACCCTTGATTTCCGAGTCATCCTTAGCATAGACGATCCTCTTCTCGTAGTCGATCTTTGTGCATTCAGCTTCGTAGTACTTGACCTTTGCCTTCTTGTGACGGAGGATGTTCCGGATGGGTTCCATAATGGATCGGTGCTCAATGGTGCCCGTGGTACACGAGGGTAGCAGAGGAGTGAAGAGGAAGTAGTTACGGGGCGAGACGACGACGACATTGTAGTTCTCCGTGTCAAGGTTTTTAAGCAAGGAGACGGAACCCCAACCAGTACCTAGGCCATGTCAGCATTCAGGACTAGTTTCTGTGAGAGGAAGCTCGCGCACCGAGAATAACGAGCGTCTTTTTGCTTGGATCGGGGTCAGCCTGCTCTTTTGGATTGCGACCCTCATAGACCTGATAAGCAGTGTATCCCAGGGCGGCAAGCACGGAAAGATAGGTCAAGCGCCAGGTCCAGAGGAAGAACCGGAAGCGCCTCTTGGGTTTGGGTTCTGGAGACAGCTGGACTTGGGGAGCGTCGGCGTAGTTACGACGGAAGGTTTGCTGAATCAGTGGCCTGGATACCAAGGAGGACGATCTGGAGGCGACTGGAAGCGAGAGAGTTGAACGGCGACATGTTGAGAAAGCTCGCATTGACCAAGGCCTGAGTGACGCCATTGGAGAGCTGGGCATCATGCGCAGGGGAAGTTTGCTCGCCATGGCGGTCGCAGCGGTCGAGACGGGTTGGAGGGGAAGGGCTAAGGAAAGATCATGAAGCCCATGAGGAGATCAGACGAAGACAAGAAGAGAAAAGAAAGAAGAGGATCGAGGGAGAATTTGTAGAATGGGTGAACGCTGAAGGTGGATGTTGAGCGAAAGTTGCAGAGGAACCAGCTTCGAAAGGCCAGAGATTAATATTTTTGGGGAAAAGGGAAAAAAGTTCAGAGGACGTCAGGGTCTGAGGCGATTGGAGTCATACAGGCAGATAGCTGCTTTTTGAACTAGGATCGTATTACGAAGGAGCTCCATGGTAGCCTTTTGGGGATGAAGTGGGTCGGAGGATATTCTTGCTTTACTGTACTCATACTCGTGTACGAGGTACTTTGATGAGGGAAGCTTTGGAGCTGAAGATGATGATAAGCGGCTAGATTGTCCTTCCTCAGCCCAGGTAATACCTACTAGGAAGTACCTGGTGCACGGGCCTGCGGTACAGACCAGGACTAGTACGAGTAAGACCCCCTAATAGGGCAGAATGGTATTCTCCACTAACCTTTTCTGGTAATTCAGGGCTACTACCGAGTTGACCTGGACGAGTATCCGGTACTACGCCTGTAATAACACTTTGGCTCCCGACGATTGGCAACACTGGGTATCGTACCTAGTCCAGAAACTGTTCCGCAGATCCGTGACTGGACCAGACAACCACTCGCCTTGTTCATCCTTTCTCCCTCGCCCTCGTTGACGGGGACAAGGTACCGAGTACTCGGTTCGTGCATACTGATGATGGGATACCTTTTCCAACTAATTACTCCCAAGTCCACGCCCCCACGTTATCCCATATTCGATCACTTCGGTGACTTCTTCGGCCTCCGCTCCGCTCTACCTCCTGCATCCTTGCTCCCATCCGGCCCCATGGATCATACTGACCACGAGGCAGTCTCCCAGTCGAGAACGCCCTTACATAATACAGAGTCTCCGTTGCCCCCCGTTAACAAGTCAACCTGTCTCTGCCCGTCGATCTATGCGCCGAACTCGGCTGAATGGGATCAGAGACGATAGCCCAAAAAAAGGTGGATACGAGACACTCCTAACTAGCACACTTCACGCTCGACCAGTTTGTCCCGTACCAAAGGGACCAATCCCTTGTCCCCGCCTCCATTAGTCCGGACACCTCTAGTGCCCCCTTTTTATCATTCCCATCCAGCCTTGTCTCAACCTCGACCGTCTCACTTGCTGGTTCACGGTGGTATTGAAGAAGGGAAAAGAATACTCAAGAACGTCCCTTGGATCAAAAACAAAATTTATCATTCAAGCACAGAGCTTCTCAGGGTCTTCCCACCAGACACCGGTCAAGCACTCAGTCAAGCCCTTCTCTGATCTGAGAAAGGGTTTAAGAAGAAAATCTCAATATGCTTGCTGTGCCTCATCTGCCGTTTTCGAAAACTCCGCTGCTGAATCTCTCCACCGTTGGTCTGCTGGTCGCGCCCTTTCTCCGGTAACAATGGAAATGCATCCTGAAAGTGCTTCAATCGTCTCAGATTGCGACTCATCTCCGATCAAGACTTGGTCTATCCAAGACCGACCACAGATCCGGATGGGGTGTACCAGTCAAGTTTGGATATCCGTCTCAACAACACGGGCTTAATTGGTGTAGACTCTCCATCCCGGCAACGGTGAGTGGTGCATCATGGCCTTCTGTGCGTGCGTTTGCCCTCATCTCGTGCCAGACAAGTCATCTTTTCCTTCCCGTAGTTTTACTCCAGACAGCACCCAACATCAACTCAACCTTCACTGGGCTTCTCCTGCTCCGTCTTCTTCTCCGACAAGATCTTCTCAGCTTCAGTCTGTCCCTCTGGCGTATACTCTGGCCCCGTCTCCTGGTCTTCTTCATCCTGTTCCTGGATCACGCTCTGCCTCAATTCTTCCGAGTCCTGGTCGGAAACTTGCCCTTCTTGGGCCAGAGAGTGCCGGCGTGCTTCTCCCACGAGCATTTCCACCTCACTGATCGCAAGTTTGTCCTTGGTTGTGTCCGTCTCTACTCCAATGTCCATCTTGGTGTTCTGCTGAAGCTTTTGCGGATCGAAGCGCACCACCATGACAGACAGGTTGTCGGTCGAGAAACGGGCCAACGCATGGTCCACCAACATTTTGGACGCAGCTTGAGGGTCGTGGACGTTGCGAACCAAGTCTACCGCTTCCTGATCTGAGCAGACATCCCATAACTATTGCGCATCAGTATGACATGCCACACGTGAGCAGTTGGTTTGTATCATGAACTTACTCCATCACAGGCCAAGATCAAAAACTCGTCTTGGTCAGGTTGAATCACAGTCTCGGTGGTATAAGGATGTCCGGTTACCAAGTCTTTTAGATATGAGTCGCCCAATGCTCGCGTCACCGCTAGCACTCCATTCACCCGGTTGTTCAATATCAACCCTCCAGCTTTCGATATCCTTCGTCCCTCGTTTTCGTCCATCCCCTTGTGATCGTACGACAAACGGAGCGCCTTCCCGTTGCGGCACAAGACGATCCGGGCGTCACCAACATTAGCGGTGTACAGCACCCTCTGTCGCGTAGCCTTTTGTTTTGCTTCCTGAATCGCTGCCGCCGCCGCTTCAGCCGTTGAATTCGACCGAGGCGTCAAGTCTTTTCCGTCTTTCGATGACTCGTTGTTTTTCTCATTCTTCTCCGCTTCTTTGGCTGCGGCCGCGGCCAAGGATGCGATAGCCTGAGACCCCGTCGCAGAGTGGTTGGTGGGAACGCGGTCTTCCCAACGTAGCACTGCCGTGATCGCAGTACACCCACTGTTTTTGAGTGGCAACCTTTCCAATTGGTTGTCGGCGGTGGTATATGTCTGATCAAGCAATTCTGGGACGGGTGTGTTGGGGTACTTGCGCATCAATTCTTCCAGGATAACGTGCAGTTTCTTCCCACACCACTCGGCAGCAAAGGTACCCGCATGCCCGTCAAAAATGGCAAAGTAGCCATTGTCGGTCTCCACCACATGTTGGGCAGGATTGGACGCGATGGTGCTGAGGCTGTTCCGATCTTCTCGGGAACTTTTCTTGGATAATGAGCTGTCGGAAGAGAGAACCGGCGCCGGCGTACCGAGAAAGTTGTAAAGATATGAATGAGTGTCTTCCATGGTACGACGACATTTCTTGTTCTTGTCTTCGGTCACACCAACTAAGAAGGATGAATTCGGTGTAGGCTGCGACTCGCCGGCCGAGTTATTCAGAGAGCCTTGAGGCACGCTGAGCGCGGCATCGGTCTTGGACAGTCTCTGCATCGGTGTTTGCGGTCCGTCCTTGTCGCCATGTATTAATGAATTTTTGGCCTGGGTAAAGATCTCCTTGGCTTTGGCGCTGCTACTCCTCCGCTTCTTGGAATCGGCAGTAGGCGAAGCAACGGCGGCTTCATCTGCGGGCTTTCGAGTCTCGGATTTGGGGCTCAAGTCGTTGGTCTTAACTGTGATGCTGCCACCGGGGGAAGTGGGGCCATTGTGGTTGCTGTCAGTACTTATTCGAGAGGGTGTGCTCTCCGAATCTGTATCCTTCTCCTTCTTGCCTCCAAAGACGCGATTGAGAAAGCCTCCCGAGGAGGTTCTCCGATCGGTTGTGCCCGCCAGCTTGAAAGAGACAGAAATGCGCAAAGAGCCTCGGACCGATTGCCAGGAGCGCCTCGCGCGAATATGCCTGAGAAACAAGAGGGAGCTTGACGCAGGATGGGAGAGATGGCGGTCGGACCGGGTTCTAGTCTCTGCCTGGGAGGTAGTAATACCAGGTAGCTTGAAGTTGAACAAAGAGCGCGAGGTGGAGGCAAGTGGTGCGGATAGCGAAGGTGGCGATCCGACGAGTACAAAGGATTAGGTGCCGGTCTTGGTAGTGGTACCTCGGAGGGTATGGATGAGGCGTATCTCTGTGAAAGCACGAGAAGAATAAGTCGACTCGAGGCAATGTAAGGCCGATGAACCAGCGTCGCAAGCTGATCACGCTGATTGCAGCAACAGTAGCGGAATAATATGAGGTCGATAGGAATAGCACTTGCTTGAGGGAGGAGGTAAGGGAGTGAGGGAGCGAGGCAACGAAGTAGTGCAGTAATCTACTGGTTGGAAAGGATGAGGATGAGAGATGAAGGCAGCAGTGCGTAGGGTGCGATTCGGTTCGAGAATATAATGTAGTAGGTATGGAATGATGAAATTGGGTGCCAGTGATGGGTAGTGTTGGATGAGTGAGGGGTGTGGCTTGATTTGCGGGCGTGTCTTCGTCCTGCTTTGCTTGTGTCCTGTTCTTTCCACCTCTCCTGTGCTCTTCTCAATCGGATCGCTTGTTGTGTGCGCAGGACGGGAGGTTTGTGGGGGAGGGGGAAGACCGAAGGTGGGCGAGAATCAAAGAGGCACCCAGAGGTATGCTGGGGGTGCCGCTTGGTGCCGCACCAGGATGAACCACCACATCATCAGACGTCAATTTTCGCCCCTGGGGGCGCAGCTGCACACTGGTGGTGATGCTGTCGTGCTAGTGATCTAATGAGTTAGGCAGTCCAGTCAGGAACTGCAGCAAGGGACTCTACAAGCAATTCATAACTACGAGATAATTGCTCGCTACTTGTACTCACTTAGGTATCTTCCCAAGCCCCTGCAGGTCCGTTCTCTGATGATGTGTTTGTCTGCATTATTAACCTTGATATGTACGAGGTACCCACAAACGCACAACCGGAGACCAAAGTATGTAAGGTGCAGGTTGCCCTTTCCCTACCTAATTTTCACTCTTCTCGCCGCGCACACCTTCACCCCCCGACGCCGTTAGGGACTGAGACCCTTTCTGTTTCCACCATTGGCGAGTTCAGACGGTCAATCTCATCTCATTAGGCGCCTGCCCCGCTGGCTACCTGTCAAGCTTAGCCCTTGCAGCTGTCCGGCCTATTGAGTGCGTGAGTGGTTAGCGGTAACAATGATTCGGCCGAGTTGCTCGGCAGCCGCGGTTCAACCGATACATAATATGCGGAGTCAAGACTCAAGAGGTGCCACGGTGGAGAGGTGAGAACAATCGCCATTGTCCCTCACCAACCTGTGTGGCGAGAATCAACGCGGTTCGCTTTCATCCGGCGACAACTATGTCTCCATGGCTTACAAACTTTCGAACTGGCTGCGGGCCCTGTGCCTAAACGCCATTGAACGTGTTAATTCCGTTGCCGAACAGCGAGCCTGCCTGTATGAGTACACCTTGCCTGTGGTGGATGCTTGGTGTGGGCCTTGTGCTTGGTTCAATGAGAAATCGCAGTAGACGGATCTCGCAGAAACTGGTCATATTATCCACCCAACCCTCGACCTGCTGTGCAACAATGACATCCTAATTTCGCAAAGATTGCTTTCTTTACCAGTATGTTTACTCGTGGCGATACACGTGTCAAAAAGAGCTGCTAAGCTTGATCAAGCCAGCCGCTGGGAGGAGGGGGAAATGGTGACGCTGGCAACCCCTAAGCAACGGGCGAGGAGCCAATCGCACAGATGACCACCATCGATCTCATCTATCAAGCGACAGGGCTGCCAAGCTGTCCGTCGAGGTGACCAAAGATCACGATAAAGAGGCCCTATCTCAGGACAATGCCGTGAAGTAGCGATAGCTCGTCTATAACACAATCTTCCCGAAGCGCTCTGTGCATGAGGGAAGTGACAGAAAGAGCATATTTCACATTGAGGATCACCTCAAGAGCCGTATACTTCTTGTCTGTGAGATTATGGGACAGCAACATCGGGGTTCCTAGAGCGCCTCTCTTTGCGACAGGAAGCCCGAAAGCTTCCACGAGAGTTCGGTACATCACCTTCAGTACAGCTGGGCCAGTCGTCTCGTTATTCAATAGATTTCCCTATTTCGATCCACGATTATTTCTCAATGGCGGCTGACCGAAGAGTTGGGCATAAACGCTAACGCCTGTAACGGATATGTGCGTCGCCAAGGAGGTGCAGATTCGGTGCGACACGTTTCTTAAGGAGCTTAGGAGTTGTCGAGCAAGGACATATCGGTAGCGGAGGTAGTTCTGGCGCAAAGGGAGAGGGAGGCATCTGCAAGCCCAAGGATGTGGTGAAGGTGTAAATCAACGCTACCGCCAGAAACTGCAGCCCGGGTCGTGAAGCTGGCCACAAAAGGAGAAGGGATTGGACATATATCCACAAATTTGTCCAGATGTTGTTGTTTAGTCTTCCACCGCATGAGATATCCGGAATCAATGACCCCAGGCTCGAGTCATCGACAGTGATCTCACAATGCTATTTCTTCATCGCTTTCTCTGGACTGTTTGGTCGTTAGCCTTATAGACAAGTCTCATAGGACGTCGCATCCCGGAACAGCGCATAATACTTGGAAAGAACTTACTTCTTCTCCAGCAGCCGGCACCACTTCCTCCACTCACTCGCTGCTTTCTTGAATACGGTCCTCAAGTCTTCCTTGACCTCCTGGATTTCCCAATGTTCATCCTCCCAATTTTTCTCCTCGATATCACGACTGGGAGTCCATCCTATTGCCTCTAACACTTCACTTTCCGTGGGAGAATGCTCATAGTGCGGGAAAAGCTTGGAATCAGCCTTGTGGCATTCCGCATCGAGATATCTGCGAAGGACGTCAAGACGCTGGGAGTGTGTAAATGTGAGTTTCAGCTTATTAGATTCGTCTTCATGGTTGGGCGAAGATTGAGTGGAGCTAGCCAGCCTCTTCGTCACGGATCTTGCAGTCTTTGCGCCACGGAAGCTCGCATATGCCCAGACAGTGTCGATCTCGCCCAGTCCGCCGAACGGCCAGATGAATGTAGCGAGGATATCGATGCCGTAAGCCACCGGCATGAGGCCTGTCGCAATAATAGTATCTCTCTGCGCCTTGGATTTTGTACGCAGCATTGTGTTCACGAATTCCTCACGCATTTGTTGGTCAGTGAGGTTGAGGGTGGGTGGGTAAACGAGGACCATTTCCTCAACCGCTACCGTCTTGTGTGTCTCGGAGTCTTGGTGGTCTCTCTCGTCATCGGAATGTGATTGCTGTGGACCGGGAGACACACGACCTAAGAAATCTAAATTTGAGGTGGTGGTTTTGTGTATAGCCCAATCGATCCCGCGCGTCGCTTTAGACTTGGCACCTTTCCAGCTGGCAGTTTTGGCGGTGCTGCTCTTTGCGGAACGGACTTCTTCTTGCCATTTCCGCTGGACTTTGTGCAGTTTGCCTTCCTTCACTCCTTCGGCCGGTTTTTGCAATGGAGGTGGGGGCGGCGTGTAAATCACAAAACGAGCTGGAATACTTTCTGGATCAACATTGGGAAGCACTGGGCGTGGAAAAGGGACCAGGTATCCTATGAGTTTATGAGGATCGCGTATATAATGGACCAGGCTGGATGGGTCATCGTCAGCGGCGAATGTTTGTTTGTAGCGCTGGGGCGGTGGTTGGAATTGGTGTTGCTGACCGGGTGCGTACGAAGACGGGTTGTACACAGGAGGCGGTGGATAAGAAGTCGTTTGGGCTTCAAGATCTAAACTTCCTTGGGCATTGGGCCTCTGTGGGAGGGGGGGTCCCGGAGTGTCGTATCCTGGTGCTGTGGTTTCATGCGGTCGCGGCGGCTGAGGGGGAGGCGGTGGATAGCTTAGATACTGTTCTTGTGGCTGGTATACATAAGCTGGATGATTCATGTCCACAGGTTGTTGTTCGGAATAATACTGATTGGGACGTTGCGAAGGGTCTGCCATTGCAATTTGATGGCGGGCTTGGGGGGTTTGCTGATTTCTCCGATTGAAGGTGTAAAGTACAATCCGATAAACAGAGAGTAGTTGCCCTCTGGGAATTTAGGTGGTTATTGAGAGCGACGAGGCGGCCGCTGCCAGATCAGATATAGATAATATTTTCGATGAGGATCAAGGTTTTATTATACCTAATGACGGTTACGTCTATGTCAATAGTGAATCGCTCCTCATTGCTATTCCTCGTCACTTGTGCCGCGGCTCGGTGGGTAATCATCGTAGGTGAACCTCTAACAAAATGACGTCAACTTCGAGGCTGCGGCCGTTGAGATCCACTGAGTTTGTCACGCCTGCACGCTTGTCTACCTAAATGTCTTTAAGCTCTTTTAGGCGGCACTAGCGTCCAGGCGTCTCCCATCCCGCTGTTTCCGACAGGACAAGGCAACCACAATTCATGTCTTCGTCATGCTCAACATCAGCCTCCATCAGCCACGATAGCCGTCGTAGTCCTACACTAGGCAGACAAAAAACCCCAACCGGTGAATATCCAAAGTGAACAAAAGCTTCATATTATCGCTAATTTTACTGCACGGAGGTTGGAAGCTGGACTTGTACAAGCAGACAGTAGTCAAGACGAGACCAAGGGGAGAATGTCCAGCATCGCTCATATACATGCCCATAATAGTCGTAATGCTCCATCGGCCCCTCCATTTTCCATAATATATCCTTTTCAGAGCGGAATCACAGGCCGAGCACACCCGGCTACAAAACATAACCACCGACTGCTCCAGGGGGACCTCCTTCGAGATCAATCCCTGCCACTCGCCTCCTCGTCTCGTCGCTTTCCCGCACAAGATTCCCAAAGTATTTCCGTGCAACCTCACTCTCTTTCTTCGTCTTTGTCACGTCTTCTTTTCTTTGTCTTAGTTCTTCCACATTCTGGGCGAGATCTGCTGTTAACTGTTGAGCTGGAAAGCGAAGCACGCGACGGACTTCGGAGGCTATCCGGTGGGCATTGCTGTGCGTGTAATCCATCTGGGCGAGAGTGGCTGAGAGTTTTTGTGCAAGACGTGGTGGTAAGCTTTGCGGGATGGCGGAGAGAATGTAGCTCACCGCCAAAATTACTGCAAGAACAACTTGTTAGTTGAAATCGATTATTTGCAAAGAGACACGAGAACTCACCAGCAGCAACAGCGCCTGGTACAATCAATCTCCTCAGATTCCGACTCCCAAGGATTTTAGCCGCGCCGAATGCACCATCAATCCAACCAACACCACCAACTGCCCTGGTGCCTAGTGTCCCAGCAACGGTGAGCGCAAGCCCGGTACCAACGGTCTTCTCCTGTCGCTCCCAAAGTCCAGCAACGTCGAAAAAGTCCCAGATATCCACGTCCGTGTCCACAGACCGTACCAGTGCATCCTTGCGGCGCTGGAACATTTTGTCTGCTGCGAAGTTGAGGTTCTCGTAACTGTTACCGACATGCAACAAGCCAAGGGACTTGATGGTGTTGACGCCCTGCACAGTCCTCGCTCGACCGTAATTCTCGCAACTGGTAACCGCGGCAGAAATTTGATCAAGCATTGCTATGCGCAAGTCTTCCGCGTATTGGAATGCAGAGAATATCCCAGGGTATTCGACGCCGTGATTGTGATTGCCGATATTGGCAATGGTGTTGGTCAAAGTCGATCGAGTATGGTTGTACACCTCGGTGGACGTAGAGTCAATATCTTTTTCGACTTGTTCTGAAACTGTGACACGGTGTTTCTGCTTCTCTTCAAATTCCGGCTCTATCTCCGAAAGTTCTTTGGATACCCGGTCCAGCTCTGATTGCGCGACGTCACGGTTCACTGTAGCGAGAACATTCATGTCACCTAAGCAGTTCATCAGATAGGTCTTTGCGGGAGCAAGTTTCGAGCGTGCTCTCTTCTCCAACACAAACCGCCGGAGCGCACTCTCCAAGACCTCGAAATCTCGGATTTTTTCCTTATCCTTCCCTTTGCCTTTGTCTGAATCATCGTCGTCATCGTTTCCATCGGAAGGATCTGACCCACCGCCCCCGCCACTGCCACCACTGGCAGCTCCATCGTTGAGGAGTGAAGGTATCATGGGAATGGCGTTACTAGACACAAAATGGACCAGTTCCTCGGCCTCCTTAAATGTCTGGGGGCTCAATTTGGCCAACTGGTCCAGGATCATCTTTTGGCATCGTTCTTTATCGCGGATGTTGTCAAAACCGTTGACGACCATAAAGATGTACGCTTTCTCATGCGCGGCTTGCCAAATGAACTCCTTGGCAGACAAGGTAAAGTGATTTGCTGCTGAGACCACGAAGACAACCACGTCAATTTCCTCTTGCCGGGCGAAGACAGCCGTGGTCTTGACTGAGTCCGAGTTCAGGCCAGGAGCATCAATCAGCGCGATGTCGACGACGCCGTTATTCAGCAACGACTGGTCAATCGTCCTGATATCCTTGACATAGACCTTGCACTGCATATATCGGTCGTTGTCAATGACTATCTTCTCCAGCTCTTGTAAGGAATAAGAGTCGTAGGTACTTTCATCATTTCGGTCATAAACCGTATCTTTGTGAACAGCATGGACTTCTTCGATGCCGCCATTCTCTTTTGCGTCCAGTACTTCACAGAAAATACTGGTACAGGGCTGCTGATCCTCAGGCAGAATCTTGCGGCGCAACAGGGCGTTACAGAACGTGGACTTTCCTGCATTTAGATCACCAGTGACCAGGACTTTGCTCGAGGTATCCTCTATTCGGTCCCGAAGCGCCAGCAGGTGCCGGACGCTCTGGCTTATTTTCCCATCCAGCAGTGACGCAATCGACTTCTTCTCCAGAGAATGAACGAGTTCCGTTTGAGACAGTGCGCCAACTTTGAGATCGAGCTTCAGGATGGAAAACTCCTGTGCGATTTGTGGCGTGATAAGTCGTGGTTCGGGTGTCTGCCTGTGCTGTGCTTGTGAGCTTGACTCTCCTGTCGCATCTTCTCCAAGTGAAGTTCCAGCTCTTCTTAACACTCCTGGCCGATCTTGCGCCGCCTTTTTAAGAAACATCTGGCGTGACAGATCCGCCGCTTGCCTTGTCGACTGGACTTCTCGCAGGATCGGTCTGACAGATTGACTTTCTCTATCATCTTTCTGGACAGAAGGGTAGTGTGCAGGCCATTGGGCATTCATCTCCTGTAATTGTTTCAACAGTTCGACGGTTTGCGAGATCGCCTTCGCGAGAGCGACGCGATTTTGATTGTAATAGAGTTGATGTACATGGCTAGCAAGAGATCGTTTCTCTGTTTCTGACATTCTTGCAGGTTGTCCGTTGATTTGGGGAGTATGGGCAGGCGTTGGTCTGTCTCTGAGAAATTCGTCCTCCCATGCGCGCATCTCGCCACCGGCCTGTTGGACGTCATTTGCCATACTGCCGTAGCCGGAATCTCGTTCAAGTTGTTCCATAAGAGCTGCAGCATGAGATGGCTGTGATCCAGTGCCCACAGTCATGTATTCGGGTCGGTACCCTGCGGTGTGGACGGGAGTGGGCGATGCCATTTCGTGTTGGTCTGTGGTCGAGGAATTGAAATCAGGATCTCGGGATGCGCGCGATGGCCCTTCGTCGGGCTCGTCGGTGTGGCTCATTTCGAAAGTAGTCTTCAGTATTCCCTAGTCGATCGTCGCAAGGTTTCTCAGACCCAAGGGCGCATCTCGGTCCATGATAATGCCTATGGCTGAATCTGCGAAGAATGATCCAAGGATATTTCCTAAAAAGAAAGCAAAGGTCGCAGTTTGGAGTGACCGGAGGAACGGGGCCGATGTTCTTCCGACAGCGTCAGTGGCTGCTGGCATCGTTGCTCCGGTCCACACATCTACGAACCGCAGCCTCGACATTATAGCTGCGACAAATAGCGTGACACTGGTTCTTGGGTTATGGTCTGGAAGGATATCGACTGAAAGCGATCTTGACTTTTCTTTCTGACCACTCTTCCCACATTTCATCATGAATGTGAGTCTCTGCTGTCTCTCCGCTACCACCGCCTCTACCCCGCTAACAATCATACATCAGATCATAGAATGGGCCTTTGGCAAACGCATGACCCCCGCCGAGAGGCTACGTAAACACCAACGCGCTCTGGAGAAGACCCAACGCGAACTCGACCGTGAGCGCGTGAAGCTTGAGAATCAAGAGAAGAAGCTTGTGGCCGACATCAAGAAGAGTGCAAAGAATGGACAGATTGGAGCCTGCAAGATTCAAGCGAAGGACCTGGTCAGGACCAGGAGGTATATTCAAAAGTTCTATCAGATGCGGACACAATTGCAGGCTATTAGCTTGAGAATACAGGTAGCATCCCTCAAAGTTCTATTACACTGGGACTGTCTGCTGACCAAGGCTTTGCGTGTGACAGACCGTCCGGAGCAATGAACAAATGATGCAGTCCATGAAAGGAGCAACCATGCTACTAGGGAGCATGAATCGCCAAATGAACCTGCCTGCTTTACAGCGAATCGCTATGGAGTTTGAACGCGAGAATGATATCATGGATCAGCGCCAGGAGATGATGGACGATGCCATTGACGATGTTACCGGACTAGAAGACGAAGAGGAAGGAGAAGAAGTCGTGAACCAGGTGCTGGATGAAATTGGTGTCGATCTGAACAATGCGGTAAGAGCGATTCCATACTTCGAAATGCTCGACGCTAATCCTATCGTGCAGCTTGGTGAAACACCAACCGGCATACAGAAAGCGGCAGTACCGGAAAGCCGCGTTGCTCAGGCAATAGGTGGAGGAGGTGAGGATGATGACTTGCAAGCTCGTTTGGATAGTCTGCGAAAGTAGAACTAAGAGCAGGAATATCTGGAAGGCGGGTCTGCATGTTGAGCAACGGCGCTAGGAGTCAGAGGAGACGGTATTCGTCTTGGTCTTATTTCGTATAGTGAAGAGCTCTCTACAATAACATCCAATAGCCCAGTGAGGCTGTACTGCCGATACAATGTGTCTTCCACTTGACCGATATAAAGCGTGAGGTCAAATGTTTCCGAAGAGGGCCACTTCGAAACAAAGGCCGACCACCCCGGGACTTAGAGCTGTGTGAAGGAGGAATCAACACCGTTTCCTCAAGTTCGAATTATATGTCTTGATAACTACTGATAGGAGCCTACATATGATAGCTCCACAAACTAGGTAGTACCGACCGAAATGTGAAAGTATAGCATTCTGTTTCCATTCACCAAACCACCGTCCTACCGTCCTTCCAATCCAAGATCGGCTGCCAGCGTCGATGCCCTGACCCATGACCCATGATACCCATTAAAACCCAATGACTATGTGAACAAACTCCTTTGCCGTCATGATTTGACCGTATATCATCTGCTTCCTTTTCATCCTCCTTAGTTGGTCTGGATGACGGTGATGGGTTGGCCCAAAGGTGCGCCAACGTTGCTGAAAGATCCTTGGTAGTTTCCTAATCCTCCAATCAGTATTCGCGCAAACTGACAAAGCGAGAAATGTGTCTATCAAAAGGGAGACCTTGCGATGGCACGTACCAGGAGGAACATAGTTGCAAACCGTGAAGTATTGAGTGAACTCGGCGTTTGTCACTCCGTTGGGACAGAACTGCGTCGCGCAGCCCACTTGCTGAGTGCCCTTCCACACAATCTGGGAGAAATGGCCCCATTTGGAGAAGTTGGTGGTGTCTGCGTTGTCTACACCGTAAGGCAGGGGGTAGAAGGGCATCTCGCCGTTGTACATATCGTTACCAATCATGGCGGGTACTTGCGCAGGGGTGTATCCGGCGCCGATGTTCTGACCGTAGCCACCACCTCCAGCAGCGCTGCAAAAGAGTGAAGCGAGTTAGCGCATGTGTAGTTGACGAAGAGACAGAGGTACTTACGTATTGTGGGCGAAAACACAGCTGGCGGCGATTTCTGCGGCAATTGTTGCTTGGGTATCTGACCAGGTCAAGTCTTCAGCAGAGTGGTTGCGGCGGTGGACGTTATGGGCCAGGAGGATGCCGTCAATATAAGACAGAGAGCGAACATCGACTGTGACGGTTGCGCCTGGCGCAACTGATGTCGTCGAGGAGGTAGTCGTCAAGGAAGTTGTCGACGAGCTGGTGGTGGAAGAGGACGAAGTGATTGTCGAAGAAGTTGACGAGGTCGAGGTGGTGGTTGACAAAGTCGTGCTAGTGGAAGAAGTGACCGACTCAGAGCTGGAGCTTGAGCTGGTCGTACCGCCAATAGGACCAAGAGAAGAGCTGGCGGAAGATGTGCTGCTGGAGCTTGTCTCACTGGTCATCGTGGAGGACGTTGACAAGGTGCTGGTGGTACTTGAAGAGGTCGTGGTGCTTCCCCCGATAGGACCAATACCACTGCTGCTTGAAGCAGACGTGGTGCTAGTGGAAGTAAAGGTGCCGCCGACGACTGAGCTGCTGCTCGACGTGGTTGAGAAGCGTGAAGTAGTAGTACTGGTAGAACCACCGATGGGACCGCCAGTGCGTGATGAGGACCTTGATGAAGATGAAGTCCTGGTGTTTCCGGAAGGACCCCCTGTCGGCTGAGGGTTGAGCCAATCCGTCCATAGCTCAGGCGCTGTATTCGTTGGAGCACGGCCATTGATGGTGGTGAACCTTGTCTGCACTGGTGCAGCGTTGTTCTCATTGTCCGAGTCCCAGTTTACCCATGACATACCCTCAGTGGGCAGAGGACCCGTCCAGATCGTTGTGGTCACTCCCGGTTTACGACCTCCCGGAGTTGGCCCCAACTCAACCACGATGCCGGTCTTGGTCGTTACGGTACCCGCGGTGGTGTAGACCGCCACTATCGGACCTGCCCTGGTTACAGGACCTGCACCATGGCCAGGAGGACCAAAGTCCTGTCCTCGAGCAATGGGCGTGACCTTGACTTCCCCGTCGCAAGGGCAGGATTGTACCAGCCTTGTAGCAGTTTCTGTCACGGTGACGTCCTTAAACCAGGAGCCCAGTGCCTGACCACTGGCGGCCAGCACAACAAGGGTCGTTGCAGGGATCTTCATTCTTGGGAATAATGCTTTGTGATATTGATTGTGTAGTAGGGTGGTAGGTTAGTTCCGGCGACGTCAAGCCGGAAAATCAGGTCGAAAACAACTCGCAAAGAGAATGAATATGGTGAGAGCGAGAGAGAAACCAATGGAAGGTGAAAAGTATGAGGATTGAGAAATCATTGCTGCGTTCAAGACGTTTATGTATACTCGGTTTTTCTTCTCGCCCCTGGACCACACCGCGCATTGTGTTGCGAGGGTTGTGCCGAACAATCTATTCGATGCTGTTTTGCAGGTGGGCGAGCCAAAAGAGATTAGACAGCTGAAGGAGACTGCTGTCATAACAACTGCACAAGGGCCATATGCAAATAACCTCCAAGCTCAGCGATCTAGAGCGCGTCAACAGAACGGAACGCACCGAGAACGTAAATTCAATCAAAGAACAGGTCGTCAAGGAAACCATAATTGAGGTCTTGGATAGAACAGGTTCTGTTCCAATGACAGAAACATTACCGAAGAGGTGTAGACGTTGTGTTGATCATTGGATCTCAGGCTGTGCTCATACAGAAGAGTTACAAAAGGGGTTCGGGTCAAGGAAATGGGACGATCCCAGCCGTCTGGGTGGTGGGCAGATGCTTACTGTCTGGTACAACTTGAATGCTTGGTCTGGAGCTTGCCGACCATCCCTAATGGCCTGAGAGATGTCGAGGACGTGACACATAAGAGGCAAGAGATTGCGGGCTGTTGGATAGACATTAAAGTGGGGTGTGTAACAATAAACTGGTGTGGGACCTGCTTGAGTCTATCGATTGCTCTATTGAAATCTTCTCGCGATTAGTTTGGTGGGGAGCAGACTGTAAAAGCTGCAGATGACCCTACCGTCTAACCTTCCTACATAGGTAGGCCAGGCAAACAAAACACATGGTGGTGTGGACAAAAGGCTGTCAAAGATGTCAAAGCCTCGGCAACAGATTTGTATCGCGCGTTTGTATCTCGTACATCGGCTCCAATGTCACGTATACGGACAAATGAGGTGGCAGATCAAGATACCAGGAGTTGTCCGTGGCGATGCTCGTCGGGACTGACATTGTCCTTGCTGTAATGCCAGGTGATACCGGAGTGTTGATGTCCCGTACAGCAATTTGCGATTGGGGTAGGATGGCAAGCGCCTCATCTCAACAGCATCTTCTCTGTCGATATTGCATTGTAATAGTGTTTGCAATCTGTTTACGCTGCGCGTGAGAAAATCTTAACACACGCGTTCGAAAACTCAGGGGAAGCCAAGAAGCTAGAAAGGCCAAGAGGATCTACATCGGAGAAACATTACTCCACAAGGCCGCACGTGTCAAGGGTTGTGATTGGCTGCAGCCTGACTTCACCCGCAAAATGCAGGTGATGCCCAATTCTGCGGCGGAGGTGCAAAGGAACATCCCAAAAATCGGCATGGATGGGAAGCGTTCCTGGTCGGTCCTGTTCAATCCTGCTCAATGTAGTCTTTGCGCCACTTTTCACCAACCGACTCCCCTCCAGCAATCTGCCAGCAATGTGTCGCGCTAGCACAGAAAGCAATGGCTGATCGTGGAGATGACTTCGTCGTCCACTCCAGAGTCCAGGGGCGACCGTTCCTCTATCCATGGGTCAGTGGCCTCTACATGCTCTTTTTCGCCATCTCACTTTGCGCATAGAACCGCCGCCTCCGTCACCTACACGGTATATCTCTGCGAAACCTGCATGTAACCTCGAGCAGTCCCAAACGACAGGGCAGGACGACTACCGACGACGACGCTCCCTACAACCTCGTTAGCCCGGCCAAGCGCGCTCTGCATGAGGAATCTAGCCAATCCCACCTATCTCACTCGCGTTCGTTCACAAACCTCCCTACAGCCATCGACGAAGCTTCAATTTCCGGTGGCCCTCAAAGGGCTGCCACTTCCTTCGAGAGAAATGAGAAGGGACAAACCAGACCTGGCGGGGTGAGACTTCGCAGAAGAAGCACTCTGCATTGGGCTACGAGCAACCCTCGCGTGCGCCAGTCTACTTTGGAAGATATGGTCGTCAAGCGCCTTGCCGATACATGGGTATCAGTACATTGTGCAGGCATCTCCGAACCTGTATACGTCAGCGAGGTCGTAGAAAAATCCATGAATCCGAGCTTTGCGTTCTTCGATTTGGACAACAGCGGGCCGATGATATCAAGGTCCGACGAGTGTACTATTCGAGTTTGGGCCCGGCCTTCGAAGACGGAAGACTACTGTTTGCTGGTGGAATTGGACCTGAACCTGCGATCTTTGCAGTTTATTGGACGAAGTCTGGAGAACTTTCACCACCCATTGCCTCAAAACTGCGTCTTGCTACATCTATCTGATGGAATCTACACCAGTTTCACGGACCTGCCAGTGGAGCCCCATCCCACCGTTGAGCACTCGGTTGACCATAGAGCCGGCGGGAGCAAACCGGGCACCACGTTCGATGCACTGATACAGCTTGCAAACCTGGATGAGTGTATTCAGGATGCCATCAAAGTACGCTCCCACCTTGAGGATGATATCAACAAAGTCCTCGCCAACGCACGCGCATTCACCGTTGCGGAGGAGGCGCAGCATGAGATTGATGACGAGAACCCCCAGACAAAGGCGGCTTTGGCTGCCGAGCAAAGGCAACTCAGACAATTGAAAAAGCAAAGAGACGAATTACTGGGATCCTTGGAGCAACAGAGGAATGCTCTTGCGATGGGCCGCGAGACCGAAGTCGCATCCAGGACGCTGATCGATGAAGGGGAAAAGGAATCTAGGGAGCTTGAGGCTCAGCTTAACCAGATCGGAGCAGACTCCAGCGGCCAAGTTAGACGAATATGCGAGTCGCTTCTTGCTATCTTCCCAATCGAACCACTCAAAAACCGGACGCTTCAGTTCACGATCCGCGGTATCCACCTTCCGAATTCGGTCTACAACGACACGAACCGAGACGAAATTGCTGCAGCTCTTGGATTTACTGCTCAGTTGGTGCATCAGTTGGCGCTCTACCTGTCTATTCCTTTGCCATATACAGTTGAACCGTATGGGTCCGCATCCTACATCATTGATCCGATATCGATCGGCCTTAGCCAGCGAAGATACCCGCTGCACCCAACAACCGTTCCCTACAAGTTTGAATATGGTGTCTTCCTGTTGAACAAGGACATCGAGTTTCTGATGAACCGACAAGGTCTGCGGGTCCTTGATATTCGGCACACTCTCCCAAACCTCAAGTACTTGCTTTATGTATTGACCGCAGGTACCGGCGAGATGCCCTCGCGGAAAGCTGGTGGTGTCAGAGGATTGTTGGGAGGTCGCATGACACCCGACATATTACGAAGAGCTAGCGAAGACAGTGTCCGCAGTCTACCGACGCCGCTGAAACAACAACCCGACGACATGAAGACCATTGTTGATGGCAGAGAAAAGGATACTGATCCCTTTTTAACAACATCTCCAGCGGTGGGGCTATCATATCGACAAGGATTCCGAGGGACAAGAAACAGGTGACAAAAGCCAGACTTAGCTTTGGGTGTGAATAGGGGCATAAAAGTTAATCCGGTGGTCTGTCTCTGGGTGTCTGGCAAGGTCCCTGACATGTCACTTGCTCTGATATGGTTGTTACTGTTCAAAGCTGGTCATTCATGGAAGGTGAATAAGTGACAGAGGTCCGATCACACGTAGCTGGTGCACGTGTTCCAAAGTGACTTTCAAAACACAGTCCGCAACAAGAAAAATCACGTCGAGGTTCAATTAATGCAACTTCTCTACTTCCCTCTTTGTAGTTCTTCCTCAAGCCATCACAGCGGCATCATGGATGACCAGTTCTACTCCGGGTGGACTGGGTCCCCAAATGTCCAGTACCCGGAGAATGACACGTATGAGGCATTAATGGAAAGTGTCGCGGTCAAAGATCTCGACGATCTGGATCTAGAGGCGTTGCTGATGAACGATGTTCCTGCACTACCCACAGCCTTGCCAAGTTTCGACAGCGCAGTTGGTGGAGATGTGGCGCAGCAGATCGGTGGCGCAGCCACAATGGCGGAGCCTGAGTTCGGCTCTCTTGAGCTACTCCAGCCTCAGCCTCCGCTTCCGCTTGGAATCGCTCCTTCGGACGGCTATCTCGGTGTCGGTGTCGCAACTCTCTCTCCATTCCAAGCTACTGCTCCACCTTTTGGCAGTGCCTCGCCTGCTATGGCCTATAATGCTCATCCCCAATTGCCTACAAACAACGCGATCCATTCAAACACCTTTAAGGACAGCACTTCACCAGAGCCCAGCGACAATAATGCCACGCAGGTACCCCGCGAGGGCAAGCCTCATCGGCGAGGCTACCAAGCCTGCCAAAGATGTCGCGAGCGCAAGGTGAAGTGTGACTTGGGCAGTACGTTACACAGATGAGAGCTGTTTGCATGGCCACTAACAATGTTGTGTTTCAGGTGTCGATGCGCCCATGGACCCCCCTTGCAAGCGATGCCTGCGCGAGCGTCTGAATTGTGAATTTGCGCCCACCAGAAAGAAGCAAAAGAAGTCGGATGGCACGGCGAGAGACGTTTCTGAAACACTTGACAATGGTGACGCCCCAACCATAAGTGACGGCATGTCCCCCTTCGGCCTTCCTTCTGGCTCCCGACAGTCCAGTTCTGCCTTGCCGACGACAAACGGCTTCACACGCCAATCTTGGTCGCCTCAGATGTCTCAGAACCCCGGAACATCTGTCACTTCCCAACCTCGCGACGATTCACATCGCTCTCACATTTCTTCCATGTATCCCACATCGACCAGGAACAAGCCTGTATCCGACGTGCAGCTGCACAGTCAGGTAGCTGCTGCAACTTTGGGCGCTCCAGTCTCGAGCACTCAAGATAGTATCATGCTCTTGGTTGATGCTGCAAACGTCTTTGAGGATGTCGCTCCCGGTGATAAAGATAGCCCACTCTCTGATCGTGGTACACGCAAAAAGACGATGTCGAGTCTCGGCCGTGGCGGTCCTGAGGAGCCTCCTGGGGTAGGCCTGACTCCAACTGAACAAGCAGAACAAGAAGCGGGTCTGAAGACCTGGTCACAGATGCGCTTTGTCCGCAATGGATGGTTCACCGCTTGGGAAGCCATGAAATACGTTGAATATTTCTACCAGAAGCTGGCCCCCATGACCCCAGTCGTGTTCCCTGATTTCAGATCACCCGTCAAACATCATGTTCTTCTCGCTGATGAGCCCATTTTAGCGTTGGCTATTCTCGCCATTGCATCACGTCATATGCGTCTTTCTGGCCATGCCGCAATGTCTCGGTCATATCAGATCCATGATAAGCTCTGGACTCACCTCCGTCGCCAAGTGGAGCGGCTTCTTTGGGCCCAGGAACAATTTGGGGGTGGCTTCTGTGGAGGTGGTAGTAATGCGAAAATCCGGGAGTCCAATACAGGGCAGATCACATGGCAAGGCAGTCTGCGCACTTTGGGCACCATCGAAGCTCTTCTGTTACTTACCGACTGGCAACCGCGTGCGCTGCATTTCCCCCCGGGCGATGACGAGAATGGTCTTCTTGATCACAGCCTGGTCGTGACAACCGACATGAATGCCCAGACATCCGCACAACAAGATGAACCAAGAGGCACGAGAGACTATGACGATCTGCCATATGCAAGCTGGCTTGAACCTGCGTGGAGGTCTGACAGGATGTCGTGGATGCTTCTTGGCCTTGCTCAAAGCCTTGCGTTTGAACTTGGTGTCTTCGATACGAATCACTTCTATTGCCGCCATCAGCATGGCCCCGACTCTGATTGCGCGCGAAAAAGACGAATTCGACGCCTGGTACTCGTTTATGTTGCGCAGACAAGCGGCAGAATGGGTGTGCAGTCTTCGCTCAATGTCGACGAGTGGGAAACCGACGAGATCTGGGACAAAAGCAGCCCGAAGCAAGACCACCCGATTGATGTTATGCAAGAATGCTGGGTACAAGTAGCCAAGATCATGAACCAGGCCAATCGGCAGATTTTCTCGTCCCACCAGTTCACGAGGGAGTTGACGACCACTGGACGGTACAAAGAAGCGATTGCCAACATCGCCCCTCTACTGCAGCATTGGAAAACCGAGTTTGAGAAAGTGAAATCACACATTCATCCAGTCATGCAGTGCATCTTGCTCATTGAATATGAATATGGTCGCCTGTACATCAACTCACTGGGCCTCCAGAAGGTTGTGGAGTCCTGGGTCGAAGGCGGGGCGACCATGCGCAAGGCCACCCTGCTCAGGATTTCGGAAGAAAACAAGCCCTTCATCGATGAAGTCACTGAAGCAGCCCTCAACATCCTTAGCCTCGTTATTGACGGTATCGCAGCCAGAGGCTTCCTCAGAGACGCGCCTGTCCGTACCTACCTTCGAAGCCTCTCGGGCATGATGTTCACCCTCAAGGTGAGAAGAAGTCCTTTTTTTAACTCGTAGTACTACTGGCTACTAACTCCTGTTGTGTGCAGCGTTTCAGCTTAGGCACCCACGAAGGATTGGTGCGAAAATGTCTCCAGCAACTCGATCAGATCACCGAGCTTTTGTCCAAAGAAGTCGTTGATGACGTGCACCTAGCCTCGTCAACATCCCGACTTGTGCAAAATATAGTACGCAACGTGAAGCAGTCGATGATCCGAGTCCAGCACCCTGGTACAGGATCTGCCGGCCCAAGCCGGGAACAGTCCCGCCCACAATCTCCCCATCCGCATGGAATTGATGGCGACGATCAGTCGCAACAACGGCAGAACCACCACCAGCAACAGCAACATCTGCATCAAGATAGCAACTCGATCCAACCCAAGCTTGAGTTCTACGTGAACGATCCTCTTGCCGGCATTCAAGCAAGACCTATGGCAGACTTGGATTCCCAGACATTTGTGCCGCCCCCGAATTTCGGTGGAGATCATGATATTGATTTCCCCCTTCCCGATGATGTCAACATGAGCTCTGCGATGGCCGATCTTACGGGCGATTGGCTTGCCCTACCCCTCGACAATCTTTGGGGAAGTGACGAAGCGATTGTGGACCAAGGATTTGGTGGCATCGGTCCGACACTAGGTGGTCGCGACTTGCTTGAAGCGATTACCAACCGAAACTACAGCCAGATGCCGTGGGGTAGCAACACGTTTGGCTATGGAAATATGTGACGTGGTAGATAGACGTGCGTTGGAGCTTTTGCTTTGCAAGACCTCTTTCGACGCGGCTTTGCGAGACGGTGATGGAAAGATCTTTGGATGTGTCCCCAGGAAACTCGATTCTTGCTGGCCAAAGTATGAACGACTTTGATAACTTGAAGGACAGATGCCCATGATAATGAGGGCTCTTTAGATAGCCTTTCTATAATAACAGGGTGCCAGCTGAGAAATTGTGCCAGTGCAATCCTCGGATTTGGTTGACCTTTGAATTTAGCTAATGCGATGAGACTGCAAACATGATAGTTTATTTCTTTCTAGCCCCGCCTGACTTGGAACTTCTAGTAGAGTCAGTGGAAGCGCCGTGTCGCCCGCACACAAGCATCTCCTACTCGAGTCTCTATATTTGATTAGCAGGATTAGTAAGTCCTGGATAGCACCCATAGCTGGTACAGTATTTTTTACACTACTCAGAATCCTCAAGTGTGGATTACAGCGTTCTTTGACAATAGCCCCGAAGTGTGGAGGCGCCGTGACCCTACGACCGAGATGGTGGCGGGTGGTGAGATGTGTATCTCCGAACCGACGACTGGTCTGGACCCGGCACCCGGCATCCAATGAACTCTTCGCTAGCGAGGTTGCCAGGTCTGAAAAGGAGGTGATATTGTCAGCCTTGGCTCTCGGTTGATCCCTTGCCTGCAGTTCTCATCGATAATCTATACCAATGGTCTACCACACATGTTGGCGGAAAAATGATTATATGGCCATCAGTCCTGTTGCGCTGCGCTGGTTAATTACTTGACTCATGCCGACAGTAGGACAGGCCTAAACATGCATGATATAGCAACCAAAGACGAGGTAAATCGACGCCGAGCGCACTTTGTCACTCTCTCGACCTTACTCTCCTACTCACCTATAGTCCACCCTGAGCCTTACCTCGCTAGACTAGGATACTGCTCCTAGTGGGGTAAATGGCTGCCCCGTGGTGCATCTGTTTGACGGCTGTTTCCGGTATTCAATCTCATGTCATCGAGGTTGCTGTGAAGGCCCTGACAGTCCCAGCACGTATCGGGTTCGTGGGAGACGCCGACTCGTGTTCTTCAATACCCCGTGCCCTCTTGGGCTGCCCCCTTGATTAGAGGCATTGATGTAAGATGGAGAAGTCGAGGATACACAACTTGACGCAGCCGAGGCAATGCCGCCTTTGTCACGGGCTGACCTGACGGTGCTGTATGCTGATGGTGTCCGTCAGTGTGCGAGAAGATCATGGTGCCAGTACTTGCAGTGTGGTGGCATTCAAGATCATGTAGCGCCCGCGGCAAGGTTGTCTGCGACAGGATCCCTCAGGGGAGGGAGGGGCTGCGCTGGTGCCCGAGGGGAGACCAAGTGCAGGAATGCACCTAGGTATGGTACATGTCGCAGATGATCCGCCAGGCGCTGAGCCCTGTGATGGAGCAGCCTTTGGAAGGAAATAATGGCACAGTCTGACAGTAAAGTGGAAACCCCTCGTGGCTGGTAACTAAATAGCAATGAGGCGTCCGCCGGATCCAATCTAATTAATGTTATTAATGCAGATAGGGATGCCATTCTGCCCAATGAGGGTGGCCAAAAGGTTGAGAAGACCAAGAAGACGTTCCTTGACAAAAGAACTCATCGTCGAAATTATTAGTTTGTATGAAAGAGGAGGCATCAGCCTCCTGCCTAAAGAGGGGTGGTCTGGCAAGGCTGAGAGTCGAATTATTATGTACCAAGTACATAATTACATGAGGTCATCTTGGCCAGGCCTGGGGGTGCAAACATCAATTCAAGATGAGACAGGCAACCCTCTCATCCTGCCTGCCTGCATACTACATGACTACCAAACCTCCTCATTTGTTGTATTGTAGATCTACCGAGCATCACCGCCCAAAGAGGTTGCACAAACCCCAGCGTGACAATTTGTCTGTCGGACGGTTGATCTCCCGACCGCAGTGTCACCGCCAGCTTGACGTACAACCGATTCTGTCAAATTCTCCTTCCGATCAGTATTTATCCTTCGAGACACCATGTATCCGTTCCTCAATTACTAGGATGCGAGGACTATAGTCGATACCACAGAACGCCAGGTAGAGAGAATGAAGTTTCTTTCGACGCTGCTCGGCTATATAGAGTGGCGAGCCGGACGCGACACCACAGTTCTGCTCTCTCAGCAAACATTGTTCAAGGGCCGTGCTTCGCCCAAAATGTTACTTGTCACTCTCTGGTCGAGCTTACTAACTTTGACAGCTCAGAGTGTCGCTCAAGATTATGGCACTTCACCCCCCGTGTATCCCAGTCCCCCGAGCGCCGGCATTGGCTGGGAAGCAGCTTTTGCCCAAGCCCAGGCATTCGCGTCAAACCTGACACTTCAAGAGAAAGCTCAGCTGGTGACGGGGACTGAGGGTCCATGTGTGGGCAACATTGCAGGCATCCCACGGGTCGGATTCGATGGGCTCTGTCTCCAAGACGGTCCTCTCGCCATCAGACAAGCGACGTATGCCTCTGTTTTCCCTGCAGGGCTGACGGCTGCAGCATCTTGGGACAGAGGCCTCATATTCCTCCGAGGCTTGTTCTTGGGGGCAGAGTTCAAAGGCAAGGGAAGTCATGTGGCGCTTGGTCCCGTTGTCGGTCCTCTCGGCCGGTCTGCGTTTGGTGGACGGGGTTGGGAGGGTTTCTCCCCAGATCCATATTTGACGGGCGTAGCAGCAGAGGAGACCATTAGGGGCATGCAACAGAGTGGTGTCCAGGCCTGTCTCAAGCATTACATCGGCAACGAGCAGGAGACACACCGCAATCCAGGGTTGTCGCCCTCCGGCACCAACATCGAAGCCGTTTCCTCCAATATTGATGATCGGACCATGCACGAGTTATACCTGTGGCCATTCGCGAATGGCGTCCGCGCCGGCACGGCTTCTATCATGTGCTCATACAATCGACTCAATGCCTCCTATGGGTGTCAGAATTCCAAAACATTGAATGGGTTGCTCAAGACAGAGCTGGGCTTTCAAGGCTATGTCATGTCGGATTGGCAAGCAACGCATGCCGGCGTCTCTGCCATCAAGGCCGGCTTAGATATGGATATGCCTGGTCTGTCTAGACCTATCCCTCGTGCTTCATAACTCTGCTGACGATAACCTGGACAGGATCCATTGGTAGCTCACGAAACACCTCGTTCTTCGGTGGCAATGTCACACGTGCTGTTCGAAACGGTACCCTCGACGAGGATCGACTCGACGACATGGTCAGGCGGATCATGACCCCTTACTTCTATCTAAATCAGAACGAATACCCGCCGATCGATGGGCTGGAGCCAATGCTGAACTCTGACTCTCCTCCCTATCAACATCCGTTCACGTTGGGCGCATCGAACGTGGATGTACGAAGCGGCCACGGTCAACTCATCCGCGATATTGCTGCTGCCGGTACAGTGCTGTTGAAAAACACAAATGGTGCCCTACCAATAACAGCGCCCAAAACTCTGGGCGTATTCGGCAACGACGCCGGCGACTTGGTCAATGGACAATATTTCTTGACTTCGGCCTTCCAGACTCCATTCGGCTACGGTAAGCGACTCTAACTTGCCATTTCTGTTAGATATACTGATTCACGGCATGCTAGAATACGGTACCCTTCCTGTCGCCGGCGGCAGTGGGGCTGGTCGGCTCTCATATCTCGTCTCTCCCCTCGAAGCGCTCAAAGCACGCGCTGCCCTAGATGGCACCCTTGTCCAGTATATCCTGAACAACGACTTGCTCACTCAACCTAGTGGCCTCAGTGCCATCCTGCCAGTCCCGGAAGTCTGCTTGGTGTTTCTAAAGTCCTGGGCGGCCGAGGGAAGTGATCGGCGTAGCCTCGAAGCAGACTGGGACAGCTCAGCTGTCGTCCGCTCCGTTGCTGCATACTGCAACAACACGATGGTCATCACGCACTCCGCCGGAGTCAACGTGATGCCTTGGGCAAACCACCCCAATGTCACCGCCATTCTTGCAGCACATCTTCCTGGCCAGGAGTCTGGCAACTCCATCGTTGACATCCTCTATGGGACAGTCAATCCGAGCGGCCGACTCCCTTATACCATCGCCTTGAACGAGAGCGATTACCGGTTTGGCGAGATCACCAATTCCACCAAGTTGCTGCAAACGGAGGATCCCAACGCATGGCAGTCCAACTTCACCGAGGGTCTCCTGATCGACTACCGGCACTTCGATTACTACAACCAGACAGTGTTATACGAGTTCGGTTTCGGGCTGTCCTACACTACTTTTAACATGTCTGATCTGAGCGTGGACATAAAATATGCAACGATCAATGCTCTACCGGACTCTCTGCCCATCGCCCCAGGGGGGAACCCATCACTGTGGCAGATACTCTGCACGGTGAACGTAACGGTGACAAACACGGGTAACATGTCGGGCGCGGCGGTGCCACAGGTGTACCTGACACTGCCACCCGTCCCCAGCTCCATCCCCAGCCCATCCAGCGTGCTCCGTGGCTTCGACAAGATATGGCTCGGGCCGGGCGAGTCGCAGACGACGAGCTTCCCGTTGACACGGCGGGACTTGAGCTACTGGGACGTCAAGCAACAGGAGTGGGTCATCTCTCGTGGAAGCTTTGTCGTGAATGTCGGATTCAGTTCGAGAGACCTTCGGCTCAAGGACCAGTGGGTTGTTGGCACGGGATGAGATTGAAAACCACTCGAGGTGCTGTTGCCGGAGACTGAATCCACATTGCAATGTGGCCACAACGGAGCCATCGATAGAGGATAGTAATACTACATCTGAATTCAGAAAAAGAGTCAGGGGTCGAGGAAACTAGGGCTGTCGGTCGGAAGAAATCTATGCAGGAACACGCTCAAATGAGAATGAGGGAAAATGTACCCCGAACCCCGGTCACCAAAGGGTCTGTTGCTGTTACCTGCTGCCCTCGTCTCAATCACCAAGTCGTCTCCCATGTTTCCTTCCTGGACTCGCGCTCTCAAAGTACACACACCTGCCTCCCTGTACAAAGCCCGTAGTAAGTTGCAACGGCACTCTGCCGCAGCATTCCAGTTTCACTTTCGAACTTCACGCCGACCCCGCCAATTCACACGGCTAAGCACTGGCCACAAAGTCGCGAATCTGACTTGTGGACTCGGGATCCTGTAGCGGACCGCATGATGGGATATGCCCGGGAAGTTGCGTCGAGGGCCTGAGACTGGAGCTGGTCAAAAAACTGACAAGATGATCCGATTGTTTAGCAGTTTCTCGGCTGACGCGTGTATGGGATCGTTACAATCTTGTCAATCTCAAAGGAGGGACAATCTCGGCGTTCATCTCGGGGTTCGTCCCACCAAAAGCTGACTTGCTCAAATTTCAGATCTCCACCTGTTTCCGTCGAGAGCTTCGCATCCCAGGCCACACAGGGCACAGGATTTTGTATGTGGAACAAGGTGAACCTCGCATGAGAATTACTGTATCAAAAAGGGCCCATGTTGTGCCCAAAAGTGGACATCACCCAGGTATCAAAGTGGAGGCAGGGCTTCTCTGCATACGGGACAAACAAGCCTCAGATTCATCCAACCCTCGAGACATTCGGCATGAAAAATATGCCTGCAAGGCGTCACCATATAGTTTCTCTGCTCAAGCCAAGCCACCCCGGTACCTCTGGTGAGAGGTCTCCCACTGGCATTGTCTGCCTTGGACAGAACAGGTACGTCGATCTCGTTCATACAAATGGCGCAATCAAATACCTTGCGCGTTCTGTCGTCTTTGTCTTTAGCTTCAGACGCGGATGCGAGCCGCCCAATGGACATTCCATTCGCTTCAACGTCATCCTCGCGAAGCAGAGGGTGATAATCGTAAGCTGGCGGGCACCAGGAATCTCGCACGAGAAGGCGAGGTCCCAGGAACTGTTGGCTGGTAAGAAGAGCAACCTGAAGCCATAACCAGCTTAGCAAGATGACAGCTGCGGTCGGGCTTGTATCGATCGCAAGGAGGTTGTTATCGGCGAAATACCAGTACAGAATCGGCACTGCGCGGAGAATACTTGTTCCGACCACATATTCCCAGCTCAAAGCTTTTCGACAATTACGCATTGCATTGCGGTAGATCTGAGGCCACCAGTAGGAGAAGTAACAGAATACCAAGAGATTGGCATAGGCCGATCGTAAGCTTCTTGGCCATGTCGTCGCCCAAAGGGAGAAGAACATCAGCATGACGAGTGAGAAGTAGAATCGGCTATAGATGGCGGCGAATGACGCTCGCGGGCTTGGAATCTCCGCTGGCACAGGATTACCCTGATCGGAGGGCACAATCACTGGAGTGGCCCCTTCAGGCCTTGGAGCGGTGACTGGAAGCGGTAGGCCAACAGCGCCGTCAGCGCTTGATGTCCGTACGTCGGTCGATGCGGGAGCCGGTGCAGCTGCTGGTGTTGTGGCCGTCCTCTGTTGACGCTCCTGTTCTGCACGTGCAGGGTCGCCGACTTGGACTGTCCATATGTCAAAGACGAACTTGACCTCCAGAAAGGCAACGTGTATGCAGGCCAAGTAGGCTGCTGCTGCAACCATCAAGAAAGCTGCATCATCTATCATGAGTAGAGCCATAAGCGCAAACAAGAGCAGGCCATCACCAAGAGCAGCAATGACGATGCTCTGGAAAGCGATGCGGCTCCGGGTCGAGGGAGTCGAAGCCTTTTCCATTTGACGCTTGAGAAGGGCAATCTGCATTCCAATAGAGATAACGTACGCGAACAGCAAGCGTTGTGCCAGAGTCCAGTATGTCTCAACCTTCGGTCCAAATATCGCGGGAGATGACAGGATGTAGCCGCAGTCAGGGGAGAAAATCACGGCTGAAAAACTCAGTGGTGGAGGTTTCCCTACAGGAGCCCCGTCAGGATCAGAAAGCTCCTGTTCGACTCGATGCAGGAAGTCGGTGGCTCTCGTCGAATCGAGACTTGGAAATCTATATGGTATTGGCTGCAGCCAGACGATGAGCTCGCACTGAGGGGCAAATGCAAGTCCATCGGCTCCATCATCGAACGTTTTATCCCACATTTTGTGCACCGTTTTGTTCATCACAGGCACTGATGCGCCAAAGGCGTCGGCTGCCAGGGCAAAATGTGGAAGAGCAGGGAGAGAATCGAACTTGGAGGAAGTTGTGGACATGATGATCTGGCCCGAAGCCAGATGAACACCATGGAGCTTGGCCTGCCAACCATTGCCAGGGGAGGAGTCTGTCCAAATGTAAATGTCTGCTTGGATCGAGGAAGCTTCTCGGAACAGCCTCTCATGGGAATCGTAGATGGATAGGCTAAGCTCGCCTTCATGCTCGGTGATATTCCTTTCGAATCTGGGTGTAAAGTAGTCGACTCTCGGGTCCAGGGCCGTCAGGTTGATGACTGGGGAGATGCCAGAGATATCGTTTCGGTGAAACTTGCCGCGAATCTCCCCTGTGACCCTCTGGAAGATGGGCAAGTCATCGGTCACATCGATCCCATCCCAGTTGGTGTCAAACTGGGCCCGGCTCAGGTCCTGCGCAAGTGATAGGGAATCCCATTTGTAGCCATCAGCTTCTCGGAAGCCTGTCAGGTTCAACCACCTATCTGCCTTTGGGTTGAGTTGACCATAAGTTGAGTTTGCCAGAACATCAAGTCCTGCTCGGCGCTCATCCCCGATACGATCCGCGTCGATTTGGCGCAAGCGTCGCGCAGGCTGTTCAGGGGTGAGGAAGACGAAAATAAGTAAAATAATCAACAGTGCGACCCGTGAACTCTCCATCCACCGGGTTGTGACCTTCTGCGACTCATCGCAGAGTTCGACTTTGATGATGTTTGAGATGGACCGTGGATGATGAGGTGTCGTGAGAGATAGAACACGCGTGGTCGGATTATCAGTTTATCCGGTAGCCGAGATTTCCCCTTTCAGCTGCTTCTATCCCCCCAGTCGAACACGGAGTCAAAGAGCCACAGGAGCCCAACCCAACTTCTTGCAACGCGTTGGTCTCTCAGACCATGGACCCCGCCTAGCACTTCCGGCGTACACAAGGCGCAGACACCACTGTTACATTCCAAGTCAGCCTGTATAGCTGCTCCTGCCCGAGGGACACGGGACCCTAGGTCAGCATGGCCAATACAATGCCCATTCCTCTACCTCCTCGAACACCCACACCACCACCTGACGAGACATCCTCTCCTCAGAAACCCGCAGTATTCGATCCAGATCCTCCATTTGACCCGAAGTCACTGTCGCCACACCAGTACGACCCCGAATACATACCCCCTTCCGGAGGCGCATTCCTTCCCACGACTCCTGAGAAACAAACGGCTGGTGGGAATGTAATGGGAGATGGAACAGGACCCTTCAACTTCCAGCCGTCAACATTGGCGAAGTCACCAGTGATCAAATCTGTTCGTGGCTGCCCAGATACCTCTTGAGCGTACCTAATTACTAACTGGTACCCCTGTAGAATATCGGCCAGCGGCGCGGCCACAAGTACAAGCACAGCAGTGTCTCACACCAAATCTTCCTCGAACCTCCTCAACGGGCACCATTAGCCCTGCCCAATTCACTGCCGATTCCTACCTTTGCGGAATGTCGGGCTAGCATGACAAAAGACCAAAAAGTTCGCTTTTACTGGAGCATATGCCACATGGCCATTGCAGGATACACGGCGTGGAACTCGCATGGCTCGTCTGCTATGGAAGCTCTTTCGCACTTGATCTTCTACGACTCGTTGGGAGCATTGTTGTGTGTATTCGTGGAGGTCCTTTCCAATTTCGAAGTATGGGGACGCTCGAGCGTGCGGCATCCGTTTGGTTTGCAGCGAATGGAAGTTATCGCTGGATTCGCGTTGTCTGTCCTGCTGATTTTCTTTGGCTTTGACCTGATCTCGCACAATGCGAAGCACGCCTTGGAAGGCATTGGGCACGAACCTCACCATCCACACGCCCATGAGCAAGTCACAGCCGGTACAGTCGACGTGACGGCGATACTGGCTCTTGTCGCGACGTTGATATCCGCCGTTGGTCTGCAGAATCACGCACGAATTGGCAAGGCGATGCGCTTCGCCGCCATGGAGAATCTGCCATCCCTACTCAGCAACCCCTGCCACTTTCTGACGCTGTCTTGTTCGGCAACTGTGCTGCTACTGCCTCTCCTCGACCTGCATACCTATGAGTGGATGGATAAGGCACTGTCACTGAGCATCGCCTTTTCCATGCTGTTTCTGGGCTTTCACCTGGGTCGCAATGTGGGCTCGATGCTTTTAATGTCTCTGCCCTCGAAATCCGCCTCTGCTTTGTCCGAAGTCGTGGCGACAATTGAATCCGACCCCTTGGTGCGGGCAGTCGAACAGGCCAAGTTCTGGCAGGCACACTATGGAACAGGCATGGCGAATCTGCGACTCCGAGTCGTCGGCAGCGAAGAGAATCTGGTGAAGCTGAGGGAGCGAATCACGAGTATGATCCGAAACAAACTCAGCGGCGGATACGGGTTAGGGAGTAGTGGGCAAAAATGGGAGGTGAGCGTCCAGTTCAAAGTCGAAGTAGACACGGCCATGAGTGCGAGTCATAGCCACTTCATGAGCCCTCAGGCATGGGTGGGAATGACTACGTGAAACGAAGGAGATGGTTGGTGTATGTACAATTACCTCTTGATGAGTTTACGACAAATGATGTACCCAGGCAAGATAGCGTTCAGTGTCGTGTTTCATATATCTTTACAGTTGTTTGACCATGGCACAAAATCTTGTAACCTGGTTCCGGCAGCTGGCCTGTTGGAAGACTTCTCCCCCAGGCAGGACTCTCATCGACGGCCAGGCTGATGAAGACATCCTATCGCTGTGTCGAGTTCTGCAAAACTCGTTGGTCGTAGACGACCTAAATGACAACCAACAATGGGAGTCTTCGGCAATCTGTTCCAGATACCCAGCTGTCTTCATGATGTCGATGCAGAAGGGCTAGACAAACATGCGATTGCCTCTGGACTGAGCCAACAGACACTCTGATGTCTGGGCTAAGCTCAGAGCATGGCCCTGTGCGCCAGCTCAGAATGTTCTTGGATGAATCTTTGTTCAACTTCCGCGCATCTTAACCGTCAAGAGAGCCTGCTTGAGGATTGCGCCCTCCATGGGCACAACTTCAGCGGCACCAGCTTCCTCGATCTTTTCCCTGACCGTCTTCAGCAACGCGTCTGCTTCCGCTTGCGAGGCTTTCCTCTGATGTCTCTTGTTTGCCAATAATAGCTCGACCTTCTTCCCCTTCTTTAGAAACTCTTGCATTTGCTTCATCTTGAGCTGGAGGTCGTTGGCGCTGATGGCCCAATTGAGCTCCAACTGTTTCGGCCTCTTCTCCTTCTCCAACCGTTTCTGATTCTTCAACAAGTCCTCCTGACGATTTATCCTCTGAATTAGACCCGCGCGTGTGACAATCTGCACAATAGGCATGTCGCCTTCTGCGGGCTTGTTCATTTGTAGGACATATTGAGTGGAGCGGTCGATCGAATCGAGCAGTTTGTAGAGCGACTGGGGTTCAGAGAGCTTCCCATCAGGGCCTTTGAGTTGAACTTTAGGGGACTGGATCTTTTCGTTCAGTGTGAAGGCGGCGATTTTGTCGTCGATGGTTTTGATTTCAATTTTGCCAGCGACACGCCGTTGGTCAACTGCCAGGCTGCCGGGAGTGGCCACGAAGTATCTTTGCAGTGGCAGATGACAGCGTTGGACAGGAGCGAGAGCCCGCAAGAGCGGTCGACCAAATAATAGAGATGGCCGCATCCAGTGTCAATCGAGGTATCCTGCTAAGGGAAGAGGGAATGCTGCAAAAGTCCCAGCTCGAATCTTGTCACTTGCAACCCCAACATTTCGACGCGCGGCAAATAATAGTTAGCCTCATAAATTTCTCCGCAATGACGGACGGGCCTGCGTCCATCCGCAGCATTGACGACCGATTTTCAAATTGTTCATTCCCCTTTTTCTTCTATTCCACTCGCTTTCGCCGACTTCCATGTCCTCTTGGGCCAAAACTTCAGACCGATCCGGCATCTGGTCATACGTTCCTTTTACTTCCCCCCCTCGGCGCCGGTCTGTTAGTAGCGGACTTCCTCGCGCAACAGTCAACAACACCCCCTGGGACCCCTTCGAGAAAACAAATCGACAAACCAGCGGCTCGGGCGCAAGCCAACCATCCATCCTGGAGTCCGTTTATAACGCCTGGATGACTCAAAGTCGTCAGGCTCGTTACTTCAAGACAGGAGGAGTCCTCGCTCTGATCATAGTCCTGTACTGGTTCCTTTCAGGAGGAAACGAGGCCACGTATGGTTCTGTCCCAGATGTCTACACTCCGGCAAATTCTCCCACCTCGAGGTGCACGAAACCTTATGATCCGTCAAGGCCTCTTGTGCAGTACGCCATCATGATCGACGCAGGCAGCACGGGCAGCAGAATTCATGTCTACAAATTCAACAACTGTGGGCCAACACCGGAACTAGAGAACGAAGAGTTCAAGATGACTGAAAAGAGGCCAGAGGGTTCGGGGTTGAGTTCATACAAGACAGATGCCGAAGGTGCTGCCAGGAGTCTTGACCCTCTCATGGAAGTCGCCATGACCTCGGTGCCAAATGAATACAAATCATGCACGCCTGTCGCAGTCAAAGCGACTGCTGGTCTACGACTGCTGGGGGACGAGATGAGCGCCAAGATCCTCGAAGCTGTTCGGCACAGGCTGGAGACTCATTACCCTTTCCCTGTAGTGTCTCGCGAAAAGGGCGGGGTGGAAATCATGAAAGGGGAGGACGAAGGCGTCTTTGCCTGGATCACTACCAACTATCTGTTGGGCAAGATTGGGGGACCCGATGACACTCCAACCGCGGCCATTTTCGACCTCGGAGGTGGCTCAACTCAGATTGTCTTCCAGCCAACTTTTAAGAACAGTCCGCATGGAGGCATGCCCCAGAAAATGGAAGAGGGGGACCACAAGTACAACCTCAAGTTTGGAGGGCGAGAATTTGAGCTATATCAGCATTCCCATCTTGGCTACGGGCTCATGTCCGCGCGGAAGGCCTTGCACCAGCTGGTCCTCGATCGCATGCACAAACAGAATCCCGATTCCAAGGCGTGGCTTAGCAAGCCAATCCCGAATAGCTGCATCACTCCTGGAGTACAGAAGAAAGTCGTTGTCGAGATGCCTGCCGATCACCCATTGTCGGGAGAACATACAGTGATAATGGAGGGTCCCGCCGACGCTATCCCAGCTCAATGTCGAGCCCTCGCCGAAGCCATTCTGTACAAAGACAAAGCATGCACGCTGGCCCCTTGCTCCTTCAACGGCGTGCATCAACCGTCTCTCGAAAAGACCTTTGCTAGGGAGGATGTTTACATCTTCTCGTACTTCTATGACCGCACGCACGACTTGGGTATGCCTGAATCGTTTACTCTGCGCGAACTACAAGATCTAACCGCCAGAGTCTGCGGCGGAGAAGAATCGTGGGATGCGTTTGCCGGAATCGAGGGTGCCCTGGACGATCTCCGCGAGAGGCCCGAGTGGTGTTTGGATTTGAATTTCATGTCCGCGCTGTTGCACACAGGCTATGAAATGCCTATTGATAGAGAGGTTAAGATTGCAAAGAAGATCAAGGGTAACGAACTGGGATGGTGTTTGGGCGCGAGTTTGCCGCTGCTGGAGAAGGAGAGTGGTTGGCAGTGTCGCATCAAAGAGGTTACGTGATACCGCAAAGGTGCCATCATCCGGAGGCGCTCTGTGAGATTTCTAATAATGCTTGACGGTCTCGGGGATGGGTTCTACATGGTCTTGACCGGAATGGGTGCAACAGGACATGGTTCAGCATGATTATATTGCGTTATGGTGTAAGATTTGACGCCGTTTGCCTCTTCAATGGACATAGAGCGGGATCGAAAGCCCTGCCGCAAACTCGCTCATAGGGTCTAAAATGATACATAGAACTTTGACTTGCGTGCATAATGCAGAGCGATCGGCTCTTGTCGATGATTGTCACCGCTAGCGATCTATTCGCCTTCCTCTCCCCGAGTCGTCGTCTTCTTCTATCTTCTGTCTAACAAGGGAATTCAAACACTCCGCTGCCGATGGTATGTCTAATGATCTCCCGTAATTTCACTCAGCAGTCAAAACCCACCTTTGCCCAATAGTTCCTCCCCGACATCCTTCAATAAGATCTCTCCTTTGCAATCATCCCTCTTGCCCAGCTCCTTCAAAACATCCCTGAGCTCCATCGCCCGACACAGGTCCCAAAGCATATCTCCAGCTGGAGCGGAGTAGAGGAGCATGCCCAGAGCGAGGAGAAGGGCGTGCAGCGTGTCTTTGACACTACCGCCGCCCGAAGGTGTCGTTTTTAGGATAGGAGTGAGTGTTGGCAAAGACGAAATGCTCTCCAACAAAGCGGCTGCGAGGTCGTCGCTCACTGCTCCCCCCTCTTCCACGGTTGTCTCGGGGGACAGAGGTTGGGAGTTGTGTGCATGCATCCGCTCGTTATGGGTCCAGCTCGCAAGGTTATATACCAATGCGGCAGCCAAAGACCTCGAATTCAGATGTGGCGATAGCAGGCACTGTGCTGCAAGGTCTTCTATCTTCTGCTTCAGCTCGCCGCTGGTGGTAGGAGATGCCGAGGAATGAGTGCTGAAGGCGTGCTCCTGAAAGACATTTGAGGAGAACAAGTTACACGCAAGCTGGAGGGTGACAGATTGAACGTTGTATGGCGCGTTTGCGAAATAGCCTTGTGAGATTTGGGCTGTACTGAAGAGAGTCGAGAGTGTGCGATGTTCGGGTTCCGTAGCCAGGAAACTTGCTGCGCGAGGATCGACCGCCGTCACGCGAACAAGGTCGATGGCTGCAAAGAGGCACTCCTTTGGGAGGCTTGGAACCATCAAGGCAATGTGTTCGCTGAAGGAGTGTAGATCCGGGAGTGCAGCTTCCGTCATACCCTTTGCGTCTCGCGTTTTGATGTAGCTCACGAGGCTCTGCACCGATTTCTCATCTGAGAAGGCTTTGCCCAATTTCCCGAGCAGCTTATCGAGAGGCGGCGCCTTTGTGTAGAGAATCGGTGTTTCAATAACACGTTGAAACGTCGGCAACCTCAACTTCGAGTGCTGATGTGGTGGGGGCTTCGCCATCTGCAGCAACAACTGGACATTGCCTCTTAATTGTGACGGGTTTGCACCTGCCCATTCGTCCTGTTTCTCCCCTCTGAGGAATGTTATGAATGTCGGTGTCGCGCGAATACTATATCGTTGTGCGACTGCATGAGCAGAAGGCGACGCCGAAATATCAATCTTGATTAACTTTGCGCCGGAACGCGTGCCCGCTTCAGCAGCCAAGTCATCATAGGTAGGATAGACGATCTTGCAAGGCGGGCATGTCGCTGAGGTGAAGAACAGTACGGCGCAGGAGTGTGAAGCCGAGGAGAGCAGGGAATCCAACTCAGAGAGTGTGGTGATATTGTGAACCTTGCCCGGGCTGTCTGCGGGCGGTTGTGCATTGATAATAGTGGGCGCCGTGGGTCTATGATAGGATCCATTGGGTAACGCAGATGCCAAAACACCGTTGCGATCAGTCTTCGAAGCTTGCTGCGCAGCCGAATGATTGCGGCCAACATTTTGACCTGCGACAGCATCGGGTGCCTGGGTCATGGTTCTCATCGACTCATCAATTTGGCTTCTCAACATCTGTCCAATCGGTGTATTCAAAAAGGTCTGTGGCAGGCTTCGAATCTCATCAGGAATACTCTTGCCGACCAGAAACATGGCCAGGTCTTGGGTGAAGTTGTTACAATTGTGCAAGAACAAGTCATACGACTCAGGCGTGTAGATTGATTCCAGCGACTCGATGTACTCGTCGATGACATCCAGGGGCAGTTGGGTCTGACCCAGACTCACGATCTTCATCGGTCGTCCATGGTGGGTTGAGCCAGGAATTTTCCGGTGCACGCCCTGGCCGAAGAAATACTCGACATTATTGAAGACGATTGCTGTGTGATAAATGGCGTCAATGTGAGTTCCTGTCAAGGCTTGAGAGAACTGGCGGGCGAGGCCCTTGATGCCCATTAGCTGGTGCTGGCGTTGTCTCCGTACGGGCAGGACATTACCTGTGACAGATCGTAAATGTACAGTTCGACCTCCATGCTGTTGGGGAGAAAAGATGGGACACGGCTATTACATCATGCAGACTGAAGACTGGTGTATGTGCACAAGGTACGGTCAAGATATTTGTGGTGTCCGTGTGGTGTGTACTTCGTTGAAGGCGGCAAAAGATACGTAAGCCGCCGTTGGTGTTTGTGCCGCCGCAGCCTCGTCACCGCCACTAGAGTCAAGGCTGAAAATATGTGGCGTCACCAACCAGGCACCTTTTTCATCGTGGCGACGATGGATTCCATCCACCACCCCTCCCCTGTCCCAAGCCTGTTCATCTAAACAACTACCCCGCTCTAGACTTGGCGCAAGCGGACGATAATAGATCATTTGCATTTGGCCGACGGCTAATGGACTGTGTTGCGCAGGACCTTGTTCCGCCGTGACAGTTCCCCATGCCTCCCCGCAAGACCCCAGCCAAAGGCAAGGCCGCTGTTAGGTCTAGCCGAGATGCAAATTCATCTGTTACGCCGAAAGGACGCCGGTCAAAGCTTGCAAAGGAGAATGATATCACGGCAGAAGAAGAGGCTAGGATCAAAGAAGCATGGCGCCTCTTTTCTCTAGGCGATGTCGACGGATACGAGGAAGAAAAGGAAGGTGTCATTCGGACGAATGATGTGCAACACGTCTTGAAGTAAGTCAGGAAACGATTCCATGTTGCATTCTATATCTGACTGTCTTCTCCTCTGTCAGAGCACAAGGCCTGGCTCCGAGTAGTAAATCACAGATGCAAGAATTCATCGAAACACTTGACCCCGAATCGGAAGGCTACGTGACGTACCCGCATTTCCTGGCCTTGTGTGCCATTCAGCTGAAATCCAAAACGGATGAAACGAAAGCGGAGGAGGTCGAGACAGCCTTCAATCTCTTCCATCCCGGTCAAAGCGCCGGCGCACAAGAGCAGGTGATTCGACTGCAGGACTTGCGGGCTGTGGCCCGAACGTTGAATGAGCAGGTTGACGACGACGTACTGAAAGCCATGATACTGGAAGCGAACGGAGGCAAAGGTGTCGGTAGGGGTGTGAACATGGACGAATTCCAAGCCATTATGACCCGGGCAGGTGTCTTTCAATGACCTTACACCAGGGGCTATGTAGATATGATTTATATCAGACTGTATAACAAGCAACAAGAGATTGAAACAACAATGTCTCCACATAAATCAGACCACGACCCATGACGCGGCCGCGACAGTAGAGATGTGTGGAAGTCTCGCGACCAGAGAGACATTCGTCTTCTAGCCGTGATTCGAGACCTGATACTTTTCTAGCTTCCCTGTCCACACTGGCTCGCTTTGGGGTAAAATGAAACGGCCAGCTCTAGCATAGATAGAAGCGATTAAGATCAAAATGCGTCGAACAAAACTCCAAAAACCTAATGTTGATGGTGCGGAGCTCTGGTGAAGGATGCCACGCTTGATACACTTCAACCACATAATGCTCGATGTCTTCGACATTGGTCCGAGACGATCAGGCGCCGAGGGTTTTCAAGAACGGTCTCATTGTGCCGAGTAGATCGCGCAACCAAGGAAGGGAAGAGCAGAAATTGAAGGTGCAGAATTTATTTATTTTGGAATTTTGTGTCTCCCGTTTTCGGCGCCGAGAATTTGGGGGCGGAAATGCTCCATTGACACCGGATTCTGGCTCGCCAGCCACCAGCTCTCTGCTTCCGCTATAGAGGTCTCGCCTGACGCAAGAATACAGCAGACATCATGAACGATCACGTACATCCCATCGATACTGGAATTGAAAAGATGCTCATTCACTGCCCAGGCAGCCGATCGGGCAAAAGTGACATGTCACCAAGTGATGCAAGATTTCACGTCACCCAGAGGACAGCCTTGAAGAAATTCCCTCCTTGACGAGTATAAAAGAGGAAGAGAAAAGGAAACCCCCCTAGATGGAAGATCGGATCAAGACGCGTTGAATCAACCACCTTGCTTTCCTGTTCTCGAATCATGCGTTCGCTCAGGCTTTTCCCTTACGTGTCAGCAACACTCTCCTTCTTGCTCATTGCTCGGATCGCGTTATGCCAGATTCACGGACCTCGATTCCGCTTTGACAACCAGGGCAACGGCAACGTCAACCAGGAGGATTTGCCTGAAACCCCCGAACAGCGACAGAATGACCTTCATTGGGGGTTCCATGAAGCCCTAATGCTCGCGAGACTGGTCGCGGTAACCTTCAGCCCTTGCGAACCTGTGAGTGAAATGAATCTGCGCTTCGTGATGGCGATAACATGCCAGGCTGACATGGTAACCAGGCGTACCTCCGCTACTTCAAACCAGAGGAAGCCGTCTTTGTCAGGAACGCGTTCTACACCATCGCCAACATCCCGCTCGATGGCCCTCCTCCAGATCCGACCGATATCAACCAATTCATCTCTGGCTTCGGGCAGAATCAAGTCAACCCCAAGTTCGACCTCTTGACAATATCCATCAATGACAATAGCGCCATTGGTAGATATGAACCAATGTGTTCAGTCATGCCGGGCTTTCAGGCATACTTTGAGCAGCGGGTTGACGAGCTGGGGCCCCCAGGCTTCATGTCCGTCTGCGATTATGCCTTCAGTCACCCATCACTCGCCGACATCGAAAATCCGCCAGCTTGGGCGAGAGATCCCACTGGAGCTCCCGAACCCGGGTATGGGTGTGACAATCTGCTTGACCACGACAACGACTACATGATAAGCCTCAGCGGGATAATGCTGCATGAGCTCTTCCACTGGACCTACCTCTTCGAGGACATTCCGCAGTTTGACCACTTTATTGCCTTGGACGAGGAACTCATACGCGTCATCGATGACTGGAAGGGTCCGTTCCCGCCGGATGGTTATGGTCCCTTTCACGCCATGCTGGTCAACACCCTCCCCATGCAACCTCTCGTGGCGTTCCCATCCACCAACAATGCCGATAATTATGTCTACTACGCGCTGTCGAAGTGGTGGTCGTTCAAGTGCCAACGGGCGTTTGGTCCCGCAGTCGATGAAGACGACGGCTATCGACACGATTACCCACGTTATTAATAGTGTTCAGCCAAAAGCCAATTGATCAATCTTAGTCCGGGCCGTCTTTCGCAGATGGGGACAAATCATCCTCAATCCCTTCACAACCATGTAGATGGAGGATATGTAATGCACAAAAAGCAAGAACCCAGGGACATTGTATTGTGTCTTGGTCCTAATGCATTTTCCCACCTTGCGAATGACCCAGTCCAGTCTAAGAACTAACTTGCCATATCCTTTTTTCCTTTTTCCGTAAAATTCGTCCTGTAGCTAGCCATCGTCAATGTGCTTGCTCATTTCCTTCTCTTCAACCATTATATCGAGGACAGGTAACCCTGACCACGAGGGCATGCCACTGCCATGCTCGGTGTTCAAGATGCATTCGCTTTCCGCCCGTATTCTCCACGGCGAAAGCTTTGACCCGCAGACACGAGCAAGAGGCGAGGGTCGAAGTCATCGATGTGTTGCAGCAGCACCATCAGGTCTGCTCCTGGTCAACCCAGACGACACGTCCATCCCACTCGTCAAGAGAACGGTGGGACATGAGATGCTTGTGGCCCTGCAAGACCAGAGGAAGCTCTGTCGAACCCGGTTAGGTCAAACAATGTCCAGCGAATCCATCTTCCATATCTCAACATGTTGCACATCTTTCTCCTCGATTCTCCTCACCCGCCGCCGATACACAGTTTCTTCCTTGGGCCCGTCGACTTCTCGCGCATCCTCTCCCGGATCGACTTCTCGTCGAACAGTGTCCTCTACCACTCCACCAATTTCCCAAACTTTGTTCTCTAGCCCGATGTACCTCAATTTTTGAAAATCCGGTTGCTCGAGTCCACCCAACCTACTATGCTCGGTTAAAGTCTCGCTTATCTTCTGCTCGAGCATAGAATCTGGGAGACACACAAACTTGTCGTGCGCTTCTCTAATTTTCCTGCCATCCTCTCCACCTAGTGCGCAGTCCGGTGAATACGAAGGCGTAAGCACACGGATGGCCCACAGTTCACTCAGAAATGGCACTAATAAGCGCAACATCTCGATCTGGGAGTCCTCGGCACATTCGATGGCGGCGGCGAGCTGAGTGAGATTAGGGCACGAGCGGATGAGACGGGCGGTTATTGAGGTCGGGAGAGGCCAACGGGAAGGTAAAATCAGGTGTTGAAGGGTAGGACCACATATGGTGCAGATATTGGTGATGTACAAATCCCTCAAGGAGGTTGTGGCTGGATAAGAGGCGGACGTGCCGGGTGTATTCCTAGAAGAGGCGTTTCCGTTGACAATTGATCCAGACCAAGGGGAGTGCTCGGAAGAAGGAGATGCAGAATCCAAAGCGCCGACACCGTTGCTGCGGCCTTGACCGTTAAATTTTGCCATGGTGTCGTTTGATTTGCTTGGTCTATACCTTGCATTGACGAGGTATAACCTCTCCAATCCAACAAACTGGGCCAAATCCATCGCATGTCTCTTATGCAATTGATCTAGCCTCAGAGATTTGGGTCTCGGCTGATGTTCCTTGCTGTTCACCATCACATGCCATGTGCGATCCATGAAATGAGTTGTGCTTTCCCTCCCCGCTATAAGAGCATCCTCATCCGCCCCGAATGTATTCAGCACTGTCACATCCTCAACGGTGCTCGTATCGAATGCAGCGAGGCACTCTACCGTGTCCGCGTTGGCGAGAAGGTTATACAGGCCCATCTTACGCAAACGAAGTTTTCGTTTTGCGGCAGCATTTTTCCGAAAGAAATGCGTAAGCACAACAGACGGTTCCCCTTGCTCACGCATACGAGGGGAGAAGTGCATGATTAGGCTCGAGAGACGTGTTGCGTGGAGGAGCAGGGTGGAAATGTCGTCGGGAAAACATAGAGGATCGTAGTGTGTTATTGTCAAGGACTTGAGATTTGGCAAAGGTGGGATGTCGTATGACGGTTGGGGAGAGCGATTCGTAGGGAAACGGACCCAAAGTTCTTCGAGTCGAGAGAGCTTCGCCAGCCCACCATACATGTTTGGTTGTATCCTGACGTCCAAATCCCATCGGAACCGTTCGAGATGGGTACATTTGTCAATGGCAGCCCGCAGGGCGATGTTCAGCATCATAATACTCTCAGAAACACGACCAGCTCTTGAATATTCGTAAAGATCGGAGGCACTGTATTCCCCCTCCAAGCTCAGTGAGCGAACCAAACTCGACACATTTCTCGTTACCAAGGCATTGAGTCCCATAGAGAAAGGACTTGCACTCCCAAATCCTTCGGGTACCTCGTCCTTATAGCGGATAGTGCGGTATGATTTCAGAGTGACGTTCCTCCATAGATGCGGTAGTGTCATGTACCAAAGGACGCGTGAGGTGCGACATAGTCGCGCAAGGGAAGCGACATCGTCTTCCAGGTAGGAGATGATATGGGCAACTGTGGTGAGAGGGAGCGTGTCGACGCCGAATGCGCCTTGTACTTCGGGACCATTACTATACAGATGATTGTCGCGTGAAGTCATGCTGTAGCGTCATTGAGGAAAGAAGCAACGATTGAGATAGTCAAGACATGTCCCTAGTTCGAGGGGCATGCGCAGTCTCGGTGCACTCACAGTAAACGATTATTATTATGTACGAGGCACTACCAGGCAGAACATTTTGGAGCCAATCGTCATATCTGCTGATCACCCACTCTGTGATCCGCAGCAAAGATTTACTACGTCGGTGCACACAGCACCTACTTATGCATACCAAGTATACCAGTCGCCGAGTAAAGAAGAGTTGCACAGCCTCGTGCGTGCCCTTCCACCTGTTTGTTTCACCATGCTGATGGTGAAGTGAGAAAATTAAATAGTGTATGTCACATACGCGCAGTCATTGCAACCAACTAAATGGGTTGCGTCGTCGTGCCACCAGTGTCTCTTCCATCGGCATCCTGAGTCGTCTCTGTTTGCGAAACACGCTCCTGCTCATCGTGGGCCTGATTCACTGTGGGTGTCACCAACGAGGAGTTCTCAGCAGTGGCATCATGAGTAGATGATTCCACGTCGACATGTCGAGGCTCGTCGGTGGTTTCAGCCATCTGTTCTTGCGCTGGGGGCATAGGGGGCTCCGGCTGGTGTGATTTGGGTCCTGAGAGGTCACTGTCCACCTCGTCCGCTGTGTCCTCTGCGATTGGCGTGATGGTTGAGGGTCGGACGTATGCTGCAGATCTTGGAAAAGCTGCACTGAAAGGATCAGCCATCCGGCTAGCTCTGGCCTCTGACTCGGAGATTGTGAGTGAGCCTCGAGGAAAGTAAATTTGCGGAGGAACTCGCTGAACCTCAACGAGACTCTCCGAAGGGTTGGGAGGAAATGCGGCACCATCAGAGTGTTGAGGCCCTGGAGTGATGCGAGAGCGGATATGTGCCTCAGCTGGAAACCAGGTTCGACCCTCTAAAGGTCCGGAGACGTTCACCGCCTCGGCCGAGTCATGGGCGCTCGAGATTCCTGCAGGATTGCCTGGCCGCTGTCTCGAAGCATCTGCGGTTTCTCTGCGGGTAGAATTGTCGTCTGTTGATCGCTCACGAATATCGTCTGGGGACCATGTCCTACCATTACTCTTTGGCGCTGGAATGACTGTGACTGGCAAAGCCGATGCGAGTACATTTCCTCGACTGGCAAGCCGCTCTCTTTGCGCGGTGGCAAATGCCCCAACTCGATCTCTCAAATTGAGGGTGCGGTCGATTGGTGACCGCCGCACGCCAGTCGCATTCTGAGCGTCGGCGACTTCCGCTGGAGGATCAGATCGCCGTCGCTTAAAGGGGTTCGGCATTGCCTGCCAAATGCTGCGTCCCTGCGGCTCTGGTGCTCTGGGAAGTACTGTTTCCAAAGCGAGTTCCTTGTCCGCATCAGAGGGAGAAGACCCAGAGTCGCCAGACAATTTGGAAGCATCAAGAGTGGTAGATCGTTCAGGGTGGGTCTGCAAATCAGCTTGTGGGTTTGGCGATGGACTTGTCAAGTTGTGATAGCGTACGGCATAGACCGTGCTCGCTGCGCTTCCTGTGTCACTCCTGCTGGGGGGCGTTATAGCCTGTGGAGGAATAACGTATTGTGATACCCCGACGGCTTGACCAATTGCATCAGTTGCATCCGTACCAGTGGCGATGCCGTCTGCGGGAAGTCTCTTCCGCCTCCTTCGCAGAGGCAGCCGGGCACGAAGGCGCTGATACCGGGAGACCATGCCTTCCGCCATCCCCTTACGCCCACTGCCATCTTGATAAGGCCTCGAATCGTCACCGGGCCAGCTTGCGTCCTCCGAAGGTGTCATATTAAGCATCTCGTCGCCGTCAAAGATCTCCCGTCCAAGTATCCCATCCTTCCTTTCATCTCGCTCCAACGACTCGATTCGCTCGACCCATTCCCAAACAACGACACTTGCAGCTGCAGCACCCACCCACCGGATATATTCACCCCATCCTGCCAAATCCGGTTGCGATATGTCCAAAATGAAAAAGACGACCGGGATCACAACCGAGACCAGCGACAGAAGTGCCACCAAGCAGATATTTTTCATCTTCGGGTGCCAGAATGCGAATCGCCTTTTCGACAGACAGTAATACACTACACAAGAAGCGTAGATCAGCGAAATCGCCAGTTCGAACAAATAATTCAGGGCGGGAATAGCGTCTGAAAAGCTCCTCGGCCTGGTCCTTGGGTTGCCACTGACAAAAGAATCCAAAATACTGAAAATTGTGTCGAAGGATACCATGGCAAACCCGAGCCATTTGATGGTGACTTTTTCTTTATGCCGCGGAAACAGGCGTATCAGCGTCTGCACCTGTGCCAGCCACAGGAACGTGTCTGAGATGACTCGGATGATGCGAATTTCCAAACTATCCACCACATTGTCAACCAACAGGCTGGAGTCGATATATCCCTCGTTGTATTGGTCCTCCGCAACGTGGAATGTGTCTGCTGTGGCAATTGTCAGAGAAATTGCCACTGTGACGGCTGCAATCTTTTGTAGTAATGGTCTCCGTCCGACGCCGACGATAGAGGACGATCCGTATGACCCTGTTATCATGCCACGCCGACCCAGAAAGCGGGCGCCGCCTCCTCCCGGACTTCCAACATAGAACGTCCTCGGGGTGATGAAAATGAGGATGACGAGAATATAGCTGATTACGGTCGCGGTAGCAAGGGCGAATATCTGGGGTGATATCGAGGCATAGAACGGGTTGGAGAAGCCAATAACTGACGAGTTGCCTGTGGTATCGGGGCTGATGATGGATTCGGGGTTTTCGCAGGGGAGTTTGAAGGTGACTTTAGCCGAGAGAGTAGTTGTTGTATCGTCATTGAAGATAAAGATGCCTGTCTTCTGCATCAGCGACTGGTTTCACTTATATGCAGGACTCTGTAGTTATTACACACCTCCACTGGGCAGAATTAAAGGCGTGCACCAAGAATCAGTCACTGTCCGACTGGTGTGGGTGGTGCTCGACTGGCCCCATAGTTGGCGAGCACTGATGGAAGCATCAGCGGACATGCCGCGACTACCGTTGCAGTGGTTGTAAATCGCCAACAAACAACTCCGTTTTCCACATTGTCGATGCACCGAGACTCGGAGGGGGCTTGCAACGCTGCGGACGCGCCACGGGCTTTGGTCATGCGAGCATGACCGAGATGATGCGGTTGGATTCCAGTGCAATTTCGGAGAGGTTGACGGTGGTGTTCAAATAAGGTATTTGCAAATGATGTTCGAACATAGGCATACAAGCAGACATATCATGAGGGAGACACAGGTGGGCAGAACTGTGATCAGCGGAAGCAGGTTGGCGAGGAATCATGCAAAGTTCGAAGATGGCGCAGCGGACAGCGGCGGGGCCGTCTTTGCTCTTTCCTCTTGTGCGCTCCGGGGGCCCTTGCACCTGACAAAGGCCCACAACAAGCTAATTTGAGGCTAAAAAGTTAGATCTAACGACCTTCTCGCCATACCTACTTTGACCAGCTGCCCAAGAAATGGGGAAAATAACTCGCTAGGATTCTTCCTCGATCATCCAGAGCGAGAAGTGGTACAGTCTGACGAGAAATAGTAACGAGGAGGGATTCACCAGTGTCTTAAGGGTAACCTCATTGGGCATAATGGTACCCCCATCCTTATTAATAGCATTAATTATCTTATCGCTATTTAGTGACTGGCTGGATTCCAAGAGGGTTGTCTCCTTCTGTCAGACTATGCCTTTTTTCCCCTTCCAGAGGCTCGCTATGAAAGGGCGCCAAGCTCATTCCTTTCTTCTACCAAGTTATTGCATCTCGTTGGGTAGAGTGGCAACCTTACCTCCAGTGTAGTAAACTCCTTGACGCTGGGTAACCTCAACAGGAGCCATCCCTATGACCTCCCCGCTTTTGAGCGCTTCCAGGTTGAGGCGGGGCCCAGTGTAGTTCTTCCGGCCGTCGATATACCACTGGACAACGGAAACGACCAATACAATTGCAAAGGCCGCAACACAATAGTTCATGTTACTGCCTGTTACAGGTGTGAACGGGGGAAACATGAACAACACAGTTGTGATCAGCGTATAGGCAATTCCCACCTCGTTGGCGTCAGCATAAAACTCCCCAATGGTATCTCGGGACCCCAAGTGGCAAAACTTACCAAGTTGCAAATCCAGCCAACAGAGTTTGGCAGAATAAAACCTCGAGTTTCCGGAAGGGCCTTTCGGCCTTGCAGGCAGTTGATAGTGGGAGGAATGGCATAGGTAACCCCCAGCGCAACTACGGAGGCTGATATAATAGCATTGTAGGCGCTTGACGAGCCGAGGAAAATCAATCCAAAGACTGTGACAAGAACTGCTGTGAGTATGAGGGCGTTTAGTGGGACGGCTAGCCCTTTGTGGACTTTGGCTAGATGCCGAGACGCTGGAAGACCTCCGTCTCGAGCGAATGCGTAAACCATTCGGCTGCTCGTGGTCATGATGGCGATTCCGGCAAACTTTGGAAAAGGAGAATAGGTTAGCGTAGGATACTTGACTCGGAATCCGTGAACCCATGTGCTGAACCACTTACTAGCAAACAAATGAGTGGGAACATAAGCAAGCAAATGGCGCCTGCTTTGTTGCCTGTTGCATCATAGAAGATCTGCAGCATTGGGCCGGCAGCGGAAGTAATCACCGTATCAAGGTCTTTCGAGACGAAGAGTAGGATCGAGAGATAGATGAAGCCAGTTATGACACCAATCAGAACGCAACCCATCATGATTCGCGGGGCCTGAACAACAGCATCTCCGAGCTCTTCTACGCAGTGAGCTACGTTCTTATTAGCTTTGTATCCTTAGACTTTGGCCATAGGCATTATTTTCACATACCGACAGCATCATATGCAGTGAGGCCGAAGCTACCCTGCAAAAGGCCCAGTAGCCAAGCAAGGCCATTCGGCCAGCCTGTCTCATTGATGAAGGTGCCGTAGACAAGGTGGCCGCTTTGATAATTTGGTGATGCGCATGCGAGAACAGTGATCGAAATCACAACCCAACCAAGAAGAGACCAGATTAATGCGGATTGAGTGATCAGTGGAAGGAGCCTTGTCATGAAAGCGTTGACCAGAAAGGCGACAATGTTGTACCCGAGATAGATGAGGAATTGATGCCAACGCTGAGGCTCAAAAGACGGGTCCATCAGCGAGATAATGCCCAGGATAAGGGAGCTCCCAAGAAGACCTGCGGCAGCGGACAAGGCGACCCAGCCGGCGGTGTTAATCCAGCCAGTAATCCAGGAAAGGAGCGGTACCCATCGTTTCCAACTTATCACAGCGACCCAATGGTATTGACCTCCGGCGGTTGGATAAGCGGACACGAACTCACTCAAAGACGCCGCCAGACACAAGTTGCAAATGCCAGCGGCCACTAGACCCCAAATAACGGCGGAAGGACCGCCACTGGGAAGTGCCAATGACATGCTTGCGCCTAGAGCTGTCCATGAGTTCAAGATAGAAAAAGCAAGTCCTAAGCCTGACAAGAATGAGAAGCTTCGATGCAGCTCTTGCTTCACACCTAATCTTTCGAGCGTTGCATCGTCATTCTGGACGGCAATCGTGTGCTGCTGGGATTTCGCTCCTGATTTGACGCTCAATCGTCTCGTAGCCATTGCACCTTGGTTCGTTTGGCAACCACGCAGCTGAATTCGGTGACACAACGTCGGTGAAAACTAGAAACTGGTTGAGAAGGCATCGAGAGATATAAGGAGAAGCAGCTTGCACCCGCCACCCGACTATTTTGGCGCGATTGAATAATAGAAATTGAATCCATGGGTCTGGATTGCATGATCAGGAGCTGGAGGGACTCGTGAACATGAGAATTGGCTTTAAGTTTCCTGGCCTCGTATAGACGCAATATAGACCAATGCTGTCGCCATTTGCCGAGCAAAGAAAGAATCCTTAGTTCAAGGCCGCGGACGTCTCAAGCAACCAGACTTCGTCAATAGAGATTCCACTCCAACATTTACCATTGGCTTTCAGTCTGCTAGCTTCTCCTGTCAGACAGCTGGGGTGGACTGCCATGTGGCAGTCAGAGAATTCGAATCTCGCAGCATCTCGTCTTCCTGTGTCAGCCGTTTAGGTCAAGTAACAGCCGAAGTTGTCTTTTGCGGACCTAATCTTGCTGTCGGAAATTTTCCGCGGGTGTTTTCGCGACCCTCACGCTCTCCCATATGTAATTGTCAAACAATGCGGTAATCTAAGTCTACAAAACCCGACCACCAGTCAAGGATTCTAAGTCAAGTAAAAAATACTGCATCAGCCAGTATACTATCTATGGCCTGCCAATCCTGCTAATGGAGCATAAAGACTTAAGTGGGAGATGCTTGTGTGTGCCGCTGACTCAGTGTACTAACTCGCTCCGCTAGAAGTTTCAAGTCGGGAGGGTCCAGACTAATCGTCGGTTCGGAGATACACATCTCACCTCCTCGTTACCATCTCGGTCGTAGGGGTACGGCGCCTCTACACTTCGGGGCTATGCGCACCCAATAATACAACCTTGAATCCTCTTGAGTCAGCCTCGAGACTGGGGAAAAACGACGGAAGACAGGGCGACAGCCCTAAAAAAATGTCCCTTCCTCCTACGGTTATGAAATTTATTGTCAAAGGCAATCGACTTGGGTCGTGCCAACATGGCGATATTCCAAGATGAAGATGTCGAGGCAATCAAACTGCTCGAACAGCCATGGGCATCGGAGAAAGTGCTTGAAGTAAGGACCGGTAGGGTAAGACCTGTCTTCGGCATCCAGGTGCAGTCTGCTATTTTCAAAAACGTCCGACCAGGTCCTGTTACGGTCAATAAGTTGGGATGTGAGGGTGATCAACACGCCTTCGAGCTCCATGGCGGCCCGGAAATGGCCCTGCTGCAATACAGCACGCTCCATTATCGTCGATGGAAAGAAGAGCTTCCTGAAAGCGCACATCTGTTTATCCCTGGCGGATTTGGCGAAAACCTCGTCGCAAAGTATGCCAATGAACGAAATCTCTGTATCGGCGATGTCATCCAGATTGGCACCGTTGTTGCGCAGGTCTCGCTGCCCCGTCAACCATGCTTCAAGTTGAACCACCGATTCCAGATCAAGGATATGTCCAAGCGCTCCCAGGACCTCTTTCGGACCGGATGGATGTATCGAATTCTGGAAGAAGGCACAGTGCAGGCTGGAGATGACATGGTACTTCTCCGACGACCGCATCCTGAATGGACCATTGCCAATGTTCAATACTACCTCTATCACGATATGCGGAACGAGACGGCCATGAAGCAATTGATTGAAATCGAGGAGCTAGGAGCAGAGATCCGTACCATCTTCGAGAATCGCCTCAAGAAGCAGTATGAGAACCAGGAGGGACGGCTCACGGGCGGCGATAGCATGGCAATGGACATCTGGTCTAGCTACAGACTTGTCAAGAAACAAAGGGAGACCCCGCGGATTGTTTCCTTGACACTGGAGCGCACCAATCCCCTATCGGAGACCCAGGAGGTTAAGCCAGGGTAGCATGTGCGAGTGAAGTTGGGCCACCAAAAGTTGGTCAGGGCGTATTCCGTCGTTGCAGGCGACACGAATAGTTTCGAGGTCGCCGTCGCCCTCAGCGAGACTAGCCGTGGAGGATCATGCTTTGTGCACCAGGACCTGAGCCTGGGCGATACGTTGTGGTTCGGGAAGATCACACCGAGCTTCCCACTTTCCAGTGACGCCGGTGAGCATGTCTTCGTCGCCGGCGGCATTGGCCTAACCGCATTCATTGCCTCCGCAAACCGCTGCCAACGCGACAGATTGCCCTACCATCTACACTATCTGGTTCGAAGCTCGTGCGACGTGGCTCTGAAGAGATCTCAAATCATTTGGATCCAACGTTACCATCTACGACAAGTCCGCCGGAAAGGTGTTCAACGCCGCCACGGTGGTGGGAAAGACGAAGAGCAACACGCATATCTACTGCTGCGGCTCGGATCGACTCCAAAACGCCGTTACCGAAGCGGCGCATTCGATGGGTGTCTGTTCCAATCATCTTCACTTCGAATCCTTCGAGATTGCGACTTCTGGGGATCCATTCATGGCCGAACTGGCTGATTCGGGGAAGACGTTGTCTGTAGGCGGAGAGAAAACTCTGCTCGATGCCCTGCGAGAGGCGGGATTGGATATTTCATCCTCCTGTGAGGCCGGCAATTGTGGCACTTGTCGCGTCGGTGTCAGAAGTGGCAAAGTTGGGCACCGAGGGACCGGGTTGATGGACGATGAAAAGAGTTCAGCTATGCTAAGTTGTGTGTCCCGAGGCATTAGCACCATTGTGCTCGATCTCTAGTGAAAGAAGAGAGGAGAAATCCTCAGGACGCTGCCTGTATAGAGAGTCTTGAGTTATAGACTGCCATTGTTTAAACGAGTGTTTCTTCAAAGAATCAAGATTAGCCCGCGCAAAGCTGGATCCACACCGAGATTCTAGACAAGACCTGAGGGCGGACATGGGAAACTTGAGCAAGTCATTGATAGACACATACACAAAGCTCCAGCTCCCTTATGAGAACCGCTTCGTGACCCACCCCCTGATGGCTTTGGCCACCTCTCCAGGCTTTTCCATCGCACACCAATGACCAGATTCGATCTCGGTCATTTCAAAGTCTGGCAAATATCCCCCCTCCCTCGAGATGTGGATCAGATCAGTCCGGCCTACGGTGTCTCCCGTACATCCGACGAAGAGGAAGGGCACGTTGACGACATGGTTCTCCTTGGGAATACTTTTGTCGTCTTCTCCCTGGACGTTGAGCACGTACGCCTTATACCAATTCGTTGGGGCCAGGAAGCCATCCTTGGTAAAGCGCTCCATGAAATCGTCCCTCCACTTGGGCTCTGTTGCATATGGCTTCAACGCGACCCGCTCGTTGCCCGACATGTAATTCGTCATCGCGTCTTCGCCGGCGAACATTTTCATCATCCAGTCGGGATCAGCGCCATGCAACACTTCCCAGAATCTTTCGAGATTGCTGTTGATGATTCTGTAGCCATCGGGAGAGGTGAAGAAATACCAGTACTGGTAAAGAGGATATCCAAAGCGCTCCTTGGTGATGGCATTAAAACCGTCAAGGTCGAATTTCTCAGCCAACGGAGGTCGGTAAGAGATATTACACAAGATCACCCCAGACACAGTTTGAGGATAGCGATTGTAGAACCTCTGGGCCAGTATGGCTCCCCAATCGTGACCAATAACGATGACCTTCTTGACGTCCTCGGCCTCCAGAATTTCGGCAAGGTCAGCGCACTGGCCAGACCATTTGTACATGGAGACATCACTAGGTTTGGAAGTACCGGCATAGCCCAAACAGTCTGGAACGATCACCCTGAATGGCAGGTCTGAGAGCCGATCAATGACTTCCGACCACATGAGAGCGCTATCGGGGAAGCCATGGATGAAGAACAAGGCTGGCTTGGAGGAATCAGCTTGGCTCTCAGGCGAGACATAGTATGTGTAAGTGAGTGATCTTTTAGTTTCGATTATCTTCTTCTCAAGGGTAGCCATCGCTAGCAGGTGTGCAAAGAGTCTGCTTGGAATCTGTAAGAAGTTGAAGTGCTTTATCAGGGATGGTAAAAGGAAGAGTCGCTCGGTATAGCTTGATGAATGAAAGTCGGACTCTGGACAGACGGAATAGACCTTACTTGTTTGTCTGCCCTGATCCCGAATGTCAGCTGAAAACTTGCTGAGGAATTAGCGGCATTGTCATGGATGGACGTCCATGGAGCAAATGGGCCCAGGCAAAGATGTGCTGGTACATCAGCACCTCATTTAACAATTTGTGATCAGACCTGATGGTGCCGAGTATCCCGTCCTGAAATAGTGCGGATCATGGTGCACTCAGCATCTTGCCTCATCCCGTCTCAGCACGAATTGTGAACTCAGTCTACTCCCTAGATACCAGTAGTAGAAAGAGGAGAGAAGCTGACGCCTAATTATAATGTCTTTGCTGTCTTGATGAATATAGACTGCAGAGCTACACATTGAAATCTTGGAACGCCCGGAATCAATCCCCAAAGTGCCAAGTCCGAAGCTCCACGCCTAACCTGGCACCAATTCACCAATTCTTCGCGTGTGTCCTAGACCTAATTGTGCCCTTCTTTTCGCTGCGACACAGCAACTCTCGGAGACAAATTTCAATGCCTCCAACGTCTTTTCCTATCCGACCGACTGACAGCGAGTCTTGCACGCGCTGCGGGAAGACCAAAGTCGGCCTGTTGATTGGGTGAATTACTGCTGTGGCGCGCAATATGAGTGTCTGGAAGGCTGAAGAACTGCCATGAACGGATACACACATGGCGACACCGATCCCTCCGAAAAGGACAGACCTACCCCCTTCCCCAAAATCGAGGACGAAGTCAATCACAGCGGACAAGAGCGAGACTTTCGAGAGACCAACAAGCTGAAGAAGCGCAATGATGGGGCGCCTGGTCACAAGAGATCCGTCTCCGGAAACCTGCTCTCACGTCTGAGCTTCCTCCGTACAAACAGCGACCAGGACAAGACGGATGGTGGTGATCGAGATGGACCGGATCTTCCCCTTCGGGGGCGAGGTGTCATGGCGGAAGCACAAGCCCAGAGCAAAAGGAAGAGAAAGGGATCACTAAGAAAAACCGTGTTGGGAAAAGGGAGGGACAGAAAGACCTCCGATGTCAAAAAGTCACCTCTCTCTGGTGCAAACTCCCCTTTGGTGCAGCCCGCAGACGAAGAGCTAGACGCGCCGCCCACCCCTCGTGCCAGACAGGAGCAATCAAAGTCAAGCCCGGTGTCGCCAGAGTCTCCCCCATCATGGCCATTTCGCACATTATCTCGGGTCTCGATACCCTCAATCCGCAGCAGTATCGCTTCTGTCGACCCGGCCTCTTCTGCCGCCTCAATTATCAGTCCCAACTTGGCTACTACTGATGCCTCAACAGACGACGAAGACCTCGTATTGCCAAGTATTCCTGCTCTGCGCAAGCCCTCATCGACGTCCTCGTTTGGGACCGACTCTTATTTCCCCATTCAAGATCCTATGCGTCGGATGTTTGGCTCACGCACTCGCTCGCCGCTTGCCACACAACCGCAGTCTATCGCTGGGACGCCCCCCGATGAAGATTTCTGGGACTACTCGGAGACGGCATTTTGGGGTTACGTGATCTTGTTCGTGACGTGGATTGTATTCGTCGTGGGTATGGGGTCGTGCTTCGGGGTGTGGTCTTGGGCCTGGGATGTGGGAGAAACACCATACGCGCCGCCGGAGTTGGAAGATGACCCTACTCTACCTATCGTTGGGTACTACCCTGCACTGATGGTCTTGACGTGTATCATGGCTTGGGTCTGGGTGGTAGTAGCTTGGGTCGGCATGAAATATTTCAGACATGCCGACTTCAGAGGGGACGACGGATAATGCCCCGAAACACCGAGGAAAGGGACGAATATGAGATTGACTATCAGAGTCACCATGGTCGAACAATCTGTAAATGGTGTCAACTCCCAAAGCACCTTGCTCGCTCCCTCCGCTTGTCCCCGAATCGTAATCATTCTGCGCCTTGATCCCACTTTTTGTCCAAGAGCCCTGAGTTTTTTTTAATTTCCACAATACATTCCTGCGCCTAAGAGCACATCTTCACTTCCTTATCAAGTGAGGTTGGGCTTGTAAATCGTGATGCCTAAACCGATAGTTGATCCATCTGCCCATTGGTTTCGCTACATTTCTGGAGCTGCAATTTCGCCATCTTTTCGCGGAATACATCCAGATCTTCTTTCGCGATATATTCTCCAGTGGCATTTTCAACCCCAGCGCCCGGAACTGGGGTAGCAGCCATCGGAGTGGGTGTTGCAGTTCCGCCCCCAGGTGCTTTTGACACTAGACCTTTGGACCTAGCAAAACCTGTCGAGCGCTCTGTCGAGGGATCTGGGTCATAGTATTCATCTTTGATGGGCCGTACATACACCGTCTGTTTACAGATTGTAACAATCGTGTTCGTGGGGACGGATAGCCAGTTGTGTCTTTCGAAGGTGAGGGGCTCGCTGGCGACGAGGACCACATCGGACGCTTTGTCTCTCCTCTCCATCTTGAATTGCCCTTTGATCTTTCCTTCGACCCAAGCAGTTCCAGACGAGTAGTACAGACTTGCGGCGGCGTCGGTTTTGCTGCTGACATATCGAGTGACAATGACAGAGTGGCCGTCTGTAACGGCAAAATTGAGTAGGCTTCTAGTTTCCACATCTGAGACTTTGTATTCGGGAGGGACGGCCTTGACAAACGTATTGATTTGGGCAATGGTTTTCTTCATGGCCCGTCGCAGAGTCTTGGTGTCGAAACCACCCTTGGGTTCGGAGCTTGGATCGACTCCCTCACGCTCCAAGGTATCGAGGAATAACGCAAACGCCCATTCCGAATCAGTGCCGCCTTTCACACCAAGGAACCATTTGTCCGAAAGACTGTCAGCTAGTGGGCGTTTCACGTACTTCCAGGCCCCAATATTACCGTTGTGCATCCACATCAACGTGTTGTGCTGGAAAGGGTGGCAATTGTTTTCGGCCAACGACCCCTCGGTGGTGGCCCTGACGTGGGCAAATATCAGCCTCGAGGCCGTCTTCGGCGCAAGACGTTCGAGATTCACGCAGTTCCAGGCCGGTAAAGTCGATGTAAAGACACATGGATCTGGACCCAACTCTGGCTCCGTATACCACCCAACCCCAAAGCCATCCCCATTGACCGGGCGACGGCTATCTAGGCGGAGGCGACTGTCATAAGATTGCGTGAGAATGCTGTGCGATGGTTCAGTGATCAACTTGGAAAGTATGATCGGCTCAGAGCCCTTGTACACCTGGAACCCTGTGAGTAGGAATGTAGGCGAAGCATAGACAAGGGTCAAAGGCGTACAAGAAATCTGCACATCTTCAAACAGGTAAAATTTGAAAATTAACCCAGTTTTGGTGAGAAGTTGGTTGTTGAGTCATATACTCGACCAGGCGCATTATATTTCTCTGCACGGAGGCAAAAGGTATCAGCAGTCCAAGCATCAAATGACCCTGATCCAACAAACGCCAGGACCCCGGTGTATATGGAAAGGAGACAGAAAGGCAGAAGCACAGATATTGCTGTTTCTCAAGAGGACATGGTGACACATGCGGGTTTGATGTTGGTTATCCCAAACTTCACCGCCAGGTGCCGCCATGCTTGGTACAGGGGGCAAGAGATCACGAAATTGTGGCTACAAAATTGTGGCGACTCATGTGTGGCTGCGCGGTCATAAGTGTGGCTGCGATTTTGTACCGAGTACGAGTAGGCAGCACCAGGGCGAGCCACAGTGCGCATCTTCTCCCACGTCATTCGGCATTCTCGTGTTTTGTTGCCCCAACGTACTACCTAGTACCTAACGAGTAGTATCATGTATCAGTTGACACCACTTCCACAACTTTTTCTTTGATTCAACTTTCATCAACCTTCATGTTCGACCTGACCTGGGATGAGCGGTAGACTCCTCTCTGCGAGGGTCGCGCCTCTATTGCGCCAGCGAGGCGTCTCTGCACGCCTCCTTCACCACAGTTATGCTGCCACAAGACCCGGGGCCTTGTTGAGGCCAAATGCCCGTCTCCCTCTGCGAGCATGGCCGATCGGGTCCAGTTCAATACACAATGTCCCCGCCGTCCGATCCATCTCCTTTGCTAGGATTCTGCCAAAACTCGCCCTGAAAATGGCTCGCATCCCTGCCATGTTTGGAGCGAGCATCCTTGCCGGCCTAGCTTACATCCAATACCAAGCCGCCCAGGCCGGAACCTATACCTTGAACGTCCTGAAAAAGGCCGGAGAAGCGGTCTCGGAGACGTCCTCAAATATGTTCGAGGGTGCCAAGGGGATTGTCGATCAAATAGGAGTCGGTTGGGAGCGCACAAAAGAAGAGGCACATCTACCGGAATGGCTCCAGCAATTTTTTGAAAAGGGGGAGGAGTCTGGCAACGGCGAGTCTGAACCACAACCGCCCAAGCCGAGCAAGTCCGCCGCCGGAGCTGCTGCTGCTTCGGCTGCCGCAATAGTACTGGAACAATCGAGTGAAGATGACGAGCGAGCCGCTGCGGAGATGGCACGAGATGATCAAATGATGGTTCTGACGAGAAAGATGATTGAGATCCGAAGCATTCTCAATACAATCGGCCAGGGAGGCGCATTGACGCTACCGTCTATTGTGGTTATCGGTTCACAATCATCCGGGAAAAGCTCGGTGCTCGAGGCGATCGTCGGGCATGAATTCCTACCAAAAGGCTCTAATATGGTCACCAGGCGCCCGATCGAACTCACGCTGATAAACACACCGGATGCAAAAGCAGAGTATGGCGAGTTTCCTACTCTCGGAATGGGCAAAATCACGGATTTCACGCAAATACAAAAGATTCTCACCGACCTCAATCTCGCTGTTCCCTCGGAGCAGTGTGTCACGGACGACCCTATTCAGTTGTCAATCTATTCTCCTAACGTTCCAGATCTATCCCTGATTGATCTGCCGGGTTATATCCAAGTATCGGGCAAAGATCAGCCTTCCGAGCTGAAGCAGAAGATCTCCGACTTATGCGATAAATACATCCAGCCGCCCAATGTTATCCTAGCCATCTCCGCCGCAGACGTGGACTTGGCTAATTCAACTGCCCTAAGGGCAAGTCGGAGAGTTGACCCTCGGGGCGAGAGAACGATCGGCGTTATCACGAAAATGGATCTGGTCGACCCTCGCCGAGGCGCTGAAATTTTGTCGGATCGAAAATATCCTCTGAGGTTGGGTTATGTTGGCGTGGTATGTAAGATACCACAGTCAGCGGGACTTTTCTCTAGATCGGGCGCCAATGTGACAAATGCCATCATCAAAAATGAATATGCATACTTCTCATCACATCCGTTACAGTTTGGTCCACAATCAGAACTCGCTGTGGGTACTACCACGTTACGGCACAAGCTCATGCACGTTCTTGAACAAACGATGGCGGCGAGCCTTGCTGGCACGAGAGATGCTATCGTACAAGAGCTGGAAGAGGCAACCTATGAGTTCAAAGTACAATATAACGATAGGCCGCTCAGCGCTGAGTCGTACTTGGCCGAAAGCTTGGACAGCTTCAAGCATTCCTTCAAGGAGTTTAGCGAGCATTTTGGCAGGCCTCAAGTTAGAGCCTTGTTGAAAGATGTTCTTGACCAGAAGGTGATGGATGTGCTGGCCAAAAGATACTGGAACAAGCCCGTGGAGGATCTATCCCCGGTTCAGCCCGAAGCAGATCCATTATCCGAACTGCCCAAGGCTGATCCGCATTCGTTATATTGGCAGCGCAAACTGGACGCTTCGACATCGGAGCTTACAAAACTTGGCGTTGGGAGACTGGCAACTACTGTGGTGGCTGCGGAACTACAAAGCCATGTCGACAAGTTGATCGCCGCCTCAACGTTTGCTTCACATCCATACGCTCAACGTTCCATTGTTGATGCATCATCCAGCATATTGAATGATCGATTCTACAGCACAAGCGATCAGGTTGAAAACTGTATCAAGCCATTCAAATTTGAGATCGAAGTCGAGCCGAATGAGTGGAGTAAAGGACGAGAGAACGTGGGTCACGTGCTGAAGAACGAGCTTAAAGCTTGTGAAGCTGCGCAAAGACAATTGGAAGACAACGTTGGCAAAAGAAAACTTAAAGATGTGATGGGATTCATCGACCGAGTGAGGAAGGGAGACATCGTCCTCGAGGGCGATGGAGCCGGTGGCGCTGGTGGGTTTTCAGCAGCTCTCCTTCAAAAGGGTATGTCAACGTCTTCAATCGTTCCAGGTATGTCAGGCTAACTATTATACAAAGGTCGCGAAGCCGTCTTCCTCCGTGACCGTGCCGATATCCTCAAGATGCGCCTAATGGCGGTCAAGTCCAAGCAATGCGCCAATCTCAAAAACAAATACTATTGTCCCGAGATCTTCCTGGACATCGTCGCCGACAAGCTGACGTCCACAGCGGTGCTCTTCCTCAATGTTGAACTCCTTTCCGAATTCTACTACAATTTCCCCCGCGAGTTAGATCTGAGGCTTGGCCGTCATCTGGAACCCAACGAGATTGAACAATTTGCAAGAGAAGACCCCAAGATCAGAAGACATCTCGATGTCATCAAGCGAAAGGAGATGTTGGAGTTGGTTTTAGAGAAGATCGAGAGTCTGAGGCAGCTAGAGGGTCGGACGAAGACGCAGCAGGCGAAGGCGTCACAGACCAAGGAGAGAGGGCGGTGGAGCCTGTTTTGATGAACAAACTTGTTGATGATACCACCATTTGTAGCGTGTGTTCCTCCGGAGTTGTGTGTGGATAGAAATGACATGTGGACATGCCTCTCTCGCCATGGTTCGTATGTTCCTGCACTGCGCCTTCGTGGCGAGTCATTTTTCTTCTTTGACTATCTTAGAGGTCCTGTCCTTGTTGTTCGAGGGTCCGTAAATGGATTTCTGACTTGGGTGCCCGAGTTCCAAGGTATTTCTCCGTCTACCTCTTCAATAGCACCATTGATGCCGCCCAGTTTGTCGCCGATCTTAATGACACTGAACCGGATCATTCGTGGATCAAGACTCAAAAATCGTCGGACATCCTGCTGGGCCTTGACCGACGCGTCAAACTGCATCACGAAGTAATGGCCCTGCCGATGTTGAGTTTGATGTTTCGTGGTCGGTCGGGGGAGGTCGAACTGGCCCCAGTTCTTCATGCCGCGTATCACACCGTTGGAGGCCAGAATCTGTTGGCCGGCGACGCGGGCGATTCTGTGCGCAGAGTCAAAGTGTGTTAGCGAGTGATTCCACTTGTGCAAAGAAGCTGGGAGAGCAAGCATACTCTTTGACATGATTGAGGTTGCCCGGCCGGACCTGTTATACGTCAGCTGAATCTTGCCTTCGAATTCGAGGAGCACAAAGCTCAAGGGACTCACCACAGCTATCAGTTCGTACAGCATTTTCAATGAGGCCGCGATGTCACCTCTGAGAGTATACGAGGGTGGATTGCTAGATTTGCTTGGAATTGAGAATTTCCCTGGGAGATCTCCACTTTCACCGGCGCAGTTTGACGGCGGGTTTGTCTCCGATTGCAAGATCTTTATCGATTGCATTTGTGGAGCTAACAACAGCGTCCTTTTAAATATTCGCGTCTTTCCACTTCATATTCCGCGTCAAGACAAAACATACAATGGCTTCCCCTACCCTAGGTCGGCTCATGCCGGCAGTCTCGAGATTGGTCACGAAAGGAGTGGTCGTCCCGCGGTCATCAGCCAAGTCTCACCTAGGACGATCGACCTACCTTTCTACCAGATCATTCTCTGCGAGACCTGCCCGTGCGTCACCACTCTCTCAATTTGAGCTTTACTAACTCTAGTTTGCTTACAGTATGCGTGAAGAAGTACACTGAAGATCATGAGTGGATAGAGCTCGACAGTGACGGCAAGACAGGTATGTTTCCCCAGCGCAATCTTCACCATTTCAAAGGTTTGGTCTCTCCGGGCAATCGCAGAATGCTTACACTCCAGCGCAGGAACCATAGGCATTACCGAGTACGCAGCTAAGGCCCTGGGAGATGTCGTCTATGTTGAGCTTCCCGAACTCGGCATGGAAGTGACCAAAGGCGACACGATCGGCGCAGTCGAGTCCGTCAAGTCTGCCTCCGACATCATGACGCCTGTGTCGGGCAAGATTTCCGATCATAACAAGGTGCTGGAAGAGAAGCCAGGAACGATCAACAAAAGCCCCGAGTCTGAGGGTTGGCTGGCAAAGATTGAAGTGAGTGACCTGAATGAGCTCGACAATCTCATGAGCAAAGAGGACTACGATAAATTTGAGAAAGAATGAGACGGGTCAATTATATCAGAACAAAATACCAATGGGCTTTTTTGAAATTGGGCTGGTTTTCAGGTACATAAGGGGAATATCCATCGGCAGTGGTCCTTGCAGCTTACTCGCTCACTGATCTTGTTCTCCCTGTTGCCCATGCAACCCACTGACGCTGGTATCTTCGATGCTGTGACGATGTCTCTCGGGATGTATGTCAAAATCAGCCTCATGTGCATCGTCACTATCAGCTTCACCAAGAAACGCGGCGTTCGTCGCATCCAGGCCTTCCTGGTTGTCCCCCTCAGCCGCCCTTCGTGCCTCAAAGCCGTCATCACTGTCGGCCTCACCAAGAAACGCAGCATTGTTTGCATCCAGGGGCGGATTGTTATCTCCCTCTATAGTCTTGCGCACTTCAAAGTGATCATCCGAGTCTGCTTCGCCCAGGAATGCCGAATTTTCAGCTTCGAGGGCGGGTTGTGGTGCCCCGTGGGCCTCTCGCACGGCGTCGTGCCCTTGATTGCTGTCAGCCTCACCCAGGAAGGCCGCGTGCGTGTTCTCTGGAAACACCTCGGCTTGGGGGGGTACGGTGCCCGGGGTTGGTGTATGGCTATTGAGCGGAATCGACTCTGAAGGACTCAATGTGGCAGCCGTGGGTCTGAGGTTTGCTGTAGATAGCTGAAACGCTCGTCTGGTTGCAGCTCGGATGGGAAGGCTCAGGGCCCTTGGCCGAGCTGCTGAAGCGAGGCTAATCAGTAGAGGTCGTGCTGCCATCGTTGCAACCGAGAACTATACTGGTCAATTTCACCTGGAGTTGCAGTCCAGAAGCTCGAAGAGATATGCAAAAGAGAAGGGTATAGACACGACAGGTCAGCTCTCAAAAAACACCCTTGCATGACGAAAGAGGGGTTGAGGTGTGGCCAGGCGTCTTCAATCACCTGATGGCAAAAGCAGCGCGTTCTGGAGCTGCACGCCCTGGCCATCATTTCGCAAATCGTATGCTGAGGTGAGTTTTGATGAGCGGTTGACGAAGCACGACTCGTGTTTCAAAATGGCAAATCATGCATGAGCGCTGAGCATGATTTGCGGGGAAGCTTTCAGACGAGGGACGATCGAAGATGGTGCTCCTTAAGCGAAGTCCAATCAGTCGACACTCCGTGATATCTGAGCTTGGAAACGTCCATCTGCAGGATTTTGATCTATATCTATTGCTTGAGTCTCGCTGCACAAAAAAGGGTATGTATCCTCCCGCTGGAGACCTCGACGTGCCTTGTTCCCTTAGTGACCGTTTTTCAGGGCATCAGCATTCCCGGAGTCAGAACTGTTGATTTCATCGCTCAGCCGGATGACATACTTGCCCGAAGTCTGTTCCCGATCAATCAGAGATGTATTCGTCAAAGCTATGTCCCAGCGAAAGAGGGGGAGAGGAAGAATGAGGAGGCTGCTCACCTTTCCAAAGTTCTTCGCAATATCGGACAGATCGTCCAAGGTGGCCATTTCCACTGCTGGCTTCACGGCGCCTCGTTGCACGAATTCGATTGCCTCCCAGATGTCCTTTCTGGTTCCCACAGCAGAGCCGATGATCTTCACGCCTTTGGAAATACCCAGAATAGGATGAAAGGTTACCAGTTGATCCGCCGGCGGTATTCCCACGCAGACCAGTGTCCCGTAGGGAGCCACCAGTTCCAGTGCCGCCTGGTACGCTCTCCCCGAGTTCGCCATGACCAAAACTGCCGCAGCACCGTCTCCTGTGAGAGCCATGACCGTTGCCGTGTCGAGTTCTTTGGCATCATAGTACACTTCAGCGCCCAGCTTCAGACAGTACTCCTTTTTGGCATCTCCGACGTCAATCGCGATAACCCGGTATCCCATGGACTTTGCATATTGAATTCCCAAAGCCCCAACTCCACCTCCAGCACCTGAAATGACCATCCATCGGCCTGGGACTGCCTCACTGACCTTGATGGCTTTGTACGCCGTCACCCCGCCACATAGAATCGGTGCAACGAGATCGTCAGGGACGTCCTCCGGGATCCGAATTACGTACCGGGACGGGACAACGGCGTACTCTGCAAAAGTACCGTCTCTTCTCAAGCCAGAGCACAACTTCGCCAAACAACGTCCCTCGCCGCCTGGGGATAAGCAGCAGAAGCATTCTTCGCACACGTCCCGCACCCACCCTAGGCCGACCCGTGTCCCAACATTGACAAAGGAAGGATTCACTGCAGATCCAAGCTTTACAACTCGTCCAACGCCCTCATGTCCTAGAATGTCGCAAGTTGGACCCGAGTGGCCCTCTGCAAGATGAAAATCCGAGCCACACACTCCTGATACCGACAAGCGAACTAGCAATTCGGTAGGGCTGATCTCGGGGACCGGCATGGTCTTGGTTTCAAAGTGGTATGTCCCATCGTGCCTCTATATACCCGTGAGTGCTTCTGAGCAGTAAGCGGTCAATGCGCATCCTTACCACCAGAATGGAGACTTTGTGGGTAGACGGAATTGTCATTTTTCGCTTCGGTCACCCTGCGCCTTGTTTGCGATCGTCCTTCTCCTGACAGGAATGCTGCTTTTGAGCTGCTTGGAGAATCGAAATAGCGATATCTGGAGAGAAAATTTCCCTAGATGTCCGACGCCGGCCAAGTCTACTTATCTGTTGTCATGTACTCGGCACTTCATGCCGTATATGAATTGCAAATTGTCTAGTCCCCGGCAGTTGTTTGAGCCTCGACCTCGATCCGGTGTCACCCCGTAATTCCAGCCAGATGCTGACCTGTGGGGGTGGAACGGGGGTTTCTGTGGGGCTGTTCGGCTCTTGGGGTTTTGTTCTATTCTGCCTCGTACTCATCCGAAGGAATGACTATCTTCTTGCCCTCACATCCCTTTGTCGGCATGCTCAGCTTCGAACACGAGTCATCGCTATTTGGCTCTGCCGTCGACAAGAGCTCGTTGTTCAAATCGCCAACAAGATGGACCCAGATGGCCGTTTCTGGTGAAGCGAGTCACCTACGCCGCTGTCTCGACGAGACACAAGGACTGTCGAGCATGTTATCATCAAGAGTGGCGGGTGTCAGCTCCTGCGATCCTTCAACATAGTTCATGGTAGACGTCCGCTCAAAGTCCGCGAACAACCCCATCTCCGACTTACTGCACGCACGAAATACTGGAGGAAAGGTAGGAGGTTGTTTCACGATAAACTCTAGGCAGATCAAACGACATGTCGGTGCTTTGGTACAACCACGAAAGAACGCAGTGGCACTTTGACAGTGGCCATTTCTTTCTCGATCACCTAAGAGAACAGAGGATCCTTCTCTGTGCGACGCCATCGATGCCGGCAATCTAAAGGGAGCACAGAATCCGAAGATCAAAAACTGCATTCTTGATTCAGCCACATGCTTTGCGGTTCATCGCGGACTGGAATAAGTCGATCTGTATAGATTGCAGTTATGCTGTCTTTATTTCTTCCTGCTTCATTTGACCATCGACTTGCTTGAGCTCATTGATGATTTCCTTCCTTCGGGCTTTATCTGCCGCCGCAGCTCTATCTCCAAACACCCGGTCCATATCCTCAAGGCTGCGCCCTTTTGTTTCTGGCACACAGAACCAAGTCCATATCCCACTCAGGGCGCAAAAGACCGCGAAGAATGTGTACGCTCCGAATCCCTGAGTATTTTGGATCAGAGGTGGTGTGATCAGGCCGATGATGAAGTTATTGAGCCAGTTGCTGCAGGTGCTCCATGCCACACCTTTCGCTCGCAGGAAACTTGGGAAGATTTCGGATGGCATAGCCCACGGCACAGGTCCCCATGTCATGCCAAAGGCCAACATATAGAGGAAAAGGAAAGCAACGGCCACCCAACCTTTGTCTTTATGATCATCCCAGCTTTCAAAGTATAAACCCACGAGGACCGCAATGATGACATGGGAAATGGTCATGATGACACTGCCCAACAGCAGAAGCGGCCGCCGTCCGAAGCGATCCATGGTGTACAGAGATGTCGAAACTCCAACAAGCTGCGTGACATTCAGTATACCCGAGAGAACAAGCCGCATGTTGTAATCGACATTCATGCTCTCAAACAAGCTGGGTGAGTAATAGATCAGGGCATTGATGCCAACAAACTGCTGGACTGCAGAGACTGGTTAGCCATGACCAAGCCCGGGAGAATGCAGAAGACAAGAGCCCAGAAACAAAGATTGAGGACTCACAGAACATCAGACCAACGCCGACCATAGTGCGGCGCCAGTACCCTTGTTTGAAACAATCAGCATAAGCGGCAAGTTCCAGTTTGACAGCATCCCAACGAGACTGACGATCCACGATGCCGAGATTGGGGTGCTTCTCTTTAGCAACCTCCTTGTGAAATGCAACTTCAGCACGAATATCCAACCATTCGGCTTGAATTCGTGGATCGTCTGCTGGGACTCCGCGGAGTTTGACCAGAGCGGCCAGGGCTTCTTGGTCGCGCCCCTTTGACGCAAGCCACCTGGGTGAAAAGGGGATGAAGAGGACAGCGATGCCCAGAAGTACAGCGGGTATGATCTGCAGAAGGAAAGGAAGTCGGAATGACCATTCACTGCCGATATAACGCGTGCCAAAAGTCAACCAATAGGCACAGATGATACCGAAAACGATGGAAAACTCCTCGAGGACAAGCAAAGTTCCTTTCGCATGATCAACAATGCACACAGTCTCGCCGAGAGCGGGGTCAACTAGCAACTTACCTCTGATCTCTGGTGGCGACACTTCCGCGATATACATAGGGACCACCATACTCAGCCTGGGGGCCGATTCAGCTCAAGAGATCCAAAAGGTAAGATTACGTTCAGGCTTACATCCCGACACCAATGCCACCGATGAGACGGCCAACAATCAATATTGCATAGTCCTGTGCGGCCGTCTGCAAGATTGAACCGACCACAAAAATGCAAACAGCCACACAAATCGAGTATTTTCGGGATATCTTCTCGGCCACCCAGCCTTGGTTGAACGCCCCTGTGAGGAGATGATTAGACCTGGTGTATTCCTCACATGATTCTGGAAGCCCTTGCGGAGTGCCTACCAATAAGTGCTCCAAGCTCAATCATGGCCGTCATGAATCCTTTCCAAAAGCCAGCTCCACTGGCGGTCTCTGAGACTCGAGGAAATTGTTCGAGGAACTGATCCATGACAAGGATGACAGACACGACTCCCTGGTCTACAGGTGCAAGTCAACCTTTGATCCTAATACTCGGATTGGCCTGCAATCCGTGCATGATACATACCATAACCGAATAGGAAACCGCCGAGCCTAACAACGAAGGCACAAAGGACGACATATTTCGACTGGAAAGTTCCACGAAGACCTAAGAATCCTTTTTGTTAACGGCTCGCATTTTTGAGGAAGCCACAGGGATTCACGAGCAGAAGACAGCCATCGCGTCCAAGGCTCGAGAGCACGAACCTGGCTTGACATAATTGTCTCGTAGCTCTACCAGAGACTCCTCTACCTGATCCCCATAGTCGTCCATGTTGGCTGGAAGCCTGTACCGGTCTCGCATCCTCCGGTTTTGCCAAAACGAGTTGCTTTGTGTCGCCATTGGTAGGTGGGATGTCTCTTTCTTTTCACTTCTGAGAAGAATATTATCTACTCTGGGCTCAGTTATGATTGCTGTTACACAGCTCCTCCATTCCGTCTGGTCGAGAACAGAGCGAAAGAAAGGTAGTCCCCAGAATTTGAGATTGCAGTCGATCGTCGTTGTCCTCGTGGCCCTCTGCTCTCTTAAAAAGGACCTCGTGTTGCAGCGCTTCCCCACATGACGTCGTGATCATCGCCCAGTTCATTCTGGGGTTTCTCGTGACACTTGATGTACCTAGCAGCCTAGGCAGGTATTGGAATACGACGAGGTCGATCCGCGTTAGCGTTGGGGAATCCGGGGTTGCTCAGCCAGCGAGCCTCGAGTAGAAATCAACGGCATAGTTCGATCGATAGCGAATAGTCGCCCTCTCGGAATTTAGGTAGTTACTCAACACAGCGATGAGGCGGACGTCAGATCAGATATAGCTAATATTATCGATAGGGATCGAGTGTTCTAAGCCACGTCCCTTGTCACATTTATATTCATACATGATGCAGCTTGCAGCTTTTACATCTAGCTTGCGGTGCATTTGAGACCTTGTCGACGCAGCGTCGTGTGCGGCAGGGTTTCATAGTGAGCTGTTAGTCGGGATCTCTTCGACCGCATCCCAATAGACAAGTTGGTCAAAGTTGATCGAATCCAAGGCACAGTTCGCTTCCAGGTCGAAATCATGGTCACATGTGTCTGATACCTGCTCGTTATCCTTGCGCTGCTCCCCGGTGTCTGGCGGGTCACTCCAGTCCACTGCCACATCGGACCGATCCTTCTTCTGGTCTCCAACAACGCCGATAAAGGGAACAGCTAGATGAGTTGCGGTGTCGTCGCCACCACCAGAGGGACTGATTGCATCAATAAGCTGTGAACAGGCGACAGACTTCATGCCCCTCATGTCTGGCAGCGACTTGAGCCTGTGCGCGGCGGCATTGAGCATCGTCATGGTGGTCTCTGCCAGAAAGTAAACTTCTCCCAGCTGCTGGAGAATGCGCCAACAGAGGTAAAACCTTTGAAAGCTGATCTGTCGCACTTGTTCAAGCTCAGACATACTGTAGAGCAGGTGTGTGGCGACGGCTGGTTCCAAAATGGCAATCGCAGTGTCTGGCAACCAGGGGATGAGATGGTCAGCATAGAGTTTGGTGAATATGCTTGTAATGCTTTTTGAGGCCTGTGAAACCATCTTCATCGACAGACTTCGCAGCTTGGTCTCGTTTGCATTTGAGCATGACAGGTTGAGCAAAGGCCGGTATAGAGTCATCAAAGTCATGGCGTAATAACCGGCTAAGAGAGCCCTGTGGACACTCACGAGCTCGTTCTCCTTTCGATCTCCGATGTCGTGATGGCACTCAACTTGTTGTACTTCAGTGGGTAAATATCCATACCAATTTTGCAGCTCTTGTCCGCACGTCATGATATCCAGCCATCTTGGACTGGTGACCCTCGGAACCAGAGATACAGCGACTGCGCTCCGTCCTGCAGCAGAGGGGGCTCTTTGTACAGTATACTGCACAGTCAAGACTTTATCGATGTACTCGGAAAGCTGAGCCAGAGCCACGCAGGAACTGGCGAGTGTTTCTAGCTCGGGTAAGCTAATGTCGTGAATCTGCAGGTTTTTCTGGAAAGCAACCAAGAGCGACTCTAGTCGGAAGTCGTCAAGATGTAACATGGGAACATCGAAACGAAACACGCTATTCTGTACCGGTCTCCGCAAGGCGACAGCAAGCAATCTATCTCTCATCACAAGTGTCCACCATGTCGTCTTGAATGAACGCCGATGGTTTGGATCTGAGAGACTGTTCATGGGATCGAAGTTGAGCCCGATACTGCTTGCGTGCAATGTGGCGATTCCGATCCAATAATAGCTGTCCCGGACACCTTCACAGTCCCCGTCCCAGAAGCTCAATAGGATAGCCGCTTGACAGATGATGAGCCGATCCACTTCGACGTCAAAGTCGTGAAGAAGTCGGGCACGTTCATAGAATATGCCTCTCGTTTGCTTGTGGCTTCCATGCTGGCTGTTCGTCTTGAGGTATGCCATCGCGGCAAACATGATTGCTTGGAAAAGAAGCAGGCTGGTTGTGCCTGTGCTACCGTTGGTGGAGACTGCCGACAGGATGGCTTGGAGATCCAGCATCGGTGCGAAAGGATGTATCCATTTCGCATAAGTTGTCAAAAGAAGGTCACGCGTTATCGAGTCAGGAATGTCGAGAGCACCCCTTCTCCTGAGGTGGTTGAGGTCTTCGGCAGACAGAGTCTTCTTCAAAGGTGTGATATACTCGGGGAGTGACGGTGGTTGGTGGTCTGTCAAAATAGTCTGTGAGGGCGAGGGATATGCCGCCAGGAAATCTGCCAGGACGTCTGCCTCGAAATCCTGCTCGACACCTGTTGTGTCATCTTTATCGCCAGCCTTGCAGTCATCGACTGTCGCTGGTAAATTGGAGGCAGAGTTTTCAGAGAGACCGAAGATGTTGAAAGTACCATGACCAACTGCGCCGTTGGCAGCAGCATATTTGGTCCCCTCCGAGACGATGCCGTTTATATCTCCGAAATCAATGATGGCGTCGCATATTGGGCTCCGATGACCGTGTTGCTTGCCCTCAAAGAAGGCTGGGTTTAGTATACGATCCCCGACATGACGTCGCTTGCTTGCGGGTAATGAGCAGTCTTTGCAGTCAAGTCTGCAGTTTGTACATGGAATCTTAGTCCTGGTAACATCACAACGGACCTTCCTTGAGCGGCACGATTCACATGCCCGAGGGGCTCTTTTGCCGAGACCGCCTACTCTGACGGTCCCTTTGGACGTGTGGACTACCATTGCGGAAAGCCGCCGATGGTAGAAGCTCTTGCTTCCACCCTTGGTAGCTCCACGAGGATAGTTCGAAACAGCACCAGATACTCAACCCATTGAAGGACGAAGAGTGAGAAGAAGAGAACTTACCTCCTAAAACACTTACAGAGCTTCTATCTATGGCTCATTTCTTGGATGACGGGGCATGAAGCGAGTCAGACTGGGGTATTCGAGCACAGGATGTATTCCAGCTAAGTTCCGGTGGAAGAAGTTCCGGTCACGAGGGAATCAGGAAGTTCCGAGTCTTGGCAAAGGGGCCTGTGATGGAAATCCCATTGGAGGGTTTCGGAGATGCAGATGGTGAAGGCGACTAGGGCGGTAAAAGCTCATTAGTTCCAGCTGGTGGAGTTTGTTCATCCGGTCCTGCATCGGAGCACCAGCCCTGTGGCAGCACAGTAAGCAGGGCCCCTTAGGCAAGACCACCCAGGACTGCTTCCGATATGTAAGGGTCTGACATAGGTACCTGTACTCCGTCCTCGATACCTCTGCCAAGTAGAAAAGAGCTATTGGTAAAAATATATTTGCACGGGGAAGAGGAAGATGATTTCCGGGCACGGACCAAATAAATAACCCCCCGCAGATACTTTGAGTAATAACACCGAGGTTCTTCTGTTCCTGTTCGTGTCAACCTATTTACTGTACCAATCACAAGTAATACCGAATACTGCGATCCGTCCTGGCTCTCAACATCTAGTAGTCTACCACAGACACTTGCTAACATGTCTTGTTCCTGCTTACCTCGCCGTGCCCATCCTATCAGTTGTGGCTCAAAACCCTCCTCCAGAAATCTCGATTAGTGTGTGGCTCTACCTAATGACTCCTGCGACAGCGTCCTCATCGAAGAAACGTCCCTTGCCGCGAGCGCGACGTGCCTGTCTAAGATGCCGGAAGCAGAAATTGCGATGTGATGATATAAGACCGTGTGCATTGTGCTTGCGTGTTGGAGTCGAATGCAGAGAGCGACCGGAAAACAGGGGACTGGAGAAACCCTCCGCGGACTTCCCATGCAGCCATGACAGAAGTGACGCCGGCCGGTTCGAAGCTGATCAGCCGCCTGCTCTCTCTCTGCAGACCTCGATCTCTCTTGGACCTCGAACGAGCCCTGCCACTGGTTTGTCCCAGACCAAACCTCCACCCTCATCCACACGGAGCCCGCAAGAGTCTATCAGGCGATCATCTGAGGTATATGGGGAAAGGACGTCGACCTACGAGGTTGTGGATCAGCTTTTTAGAGAGCACAATTCTGCGGCACGGCTATTCCATTCGACTGATGCAATTCCGGGTAGCAGTCCCGATGTAAGGTCTTCTGAAGCCGGTGGACAGTATCTACCCATATGTGATCTGCTTGAGATGGACTTGCCGCCTCCCCATGTGATCGACTACGCTTTGGAAAGCTATTCATATTCTGTGCATTGGTTCATGCTGTTATTGCATGAACCTTCTTTGAACGCTGAACTTAAAGGGCTTATCACCACGGGCTTTGTCCGCGCCGATCGAATCTCTTTTCTGATTCTCGTTGTCTTGGTCATTGGTATAGGCGCGAAGTACTCAACCAGATCCGAAGCTGAAGCGAGATGCCCGGGGTTTGACATGGACAGGCTTGGAAACCAGCTCATCCGCAAAGCAGAAGAACGACTTCTTGATGTCTTCGATCAACCCAGCATTGAGGCTGTCCAAATCTCGATCCTTCTATCGTCATACTATGTCTACCATAGCAGACCAAATCGCAGCTTTGCCTTGGTGGGGAGTGCATTGAAAGTTGCTCAAGCGTTAGGACTGCAGCAGGAATCACGCTGGAAGATGGACGACCCTGTCCTGCGAGAGGTATGGCGGCGGCTATGCTGGGCACTTTATACGGCCGAGGTGTGAGTCAAGAGAGGTCTTCTGTTTGCGAACATCCAGTAACTCACTGTTTGTGGTATAGGTTTAGTGCCATCTCATTTGGGACTCCCTGTAACGTCCATGACAGTGACTGGGACGTTTCTTTCCCCGGAAACATCGATGATACCTCAACAACTTGCCCTGGTTTTGATTCGATTGAACGGTACGAGGATGAAGCATTCGGGCCAGTTACCATAGCATCCTACCAGAGATACAAGTTTCGACTGTATCGGATCGCCTCTACAATCACTCGCAACATCTATCTCCGGAGTGGAGCAACGCTTCCTGAAGTTGTCCGAGAAATCAAAGCGATCAATCACCGCCTGTTACAGTGGGAAAAATGTATACCGCCGGAATTGCGGCTCAAGAATTTAAAGTACAGCAGCACCGACAGGACGAGTACGAGCACCATCCGAACCTTCCAGCTTCAAGCGCTAGCCCTTCAACTCTCTTATGACAATATTCAATTGGTACTGCATAGGCCTCTATTGACGATAAACCGCGTCCCCCGGTCTCCCCATGCAGCACCACAAGTAGGCAATGATCCAGACCAAATGGTACTGCACACTAGCATTGAAGCGGTTGATACGACGATGATCAGGACAAGTAAGTACCAATGCTGGGTTTCGTCGATGAGAACATCAAAGATTGGCGAACACGCCGAGATCCTGGCTGCTGCTCAAAACACTCATGGAGCAGCTTACGCTGGGATCCAGTCCTTCACCGCTGGTGTTGTCCTTGGCATCTTCGCTCTCTCCGATCCCAGCTCAGATCAGGCTCATCAAGCGAAACGTGCGGTGGGCAGGATCATCAAGCTGCCTCAGCTACATCGATTTCGCACAACGGTGTCTGATCAGTGTGGTGTAATTCTGGAAGAGCTTATCCGGTTGATCCTCGCGGAAGAGATGAAGGCCTTATTGACAGAAGCAGAGTCGTCAGGTCAGGACCGTGCACAGAACAGGCTCGTCGCTGAATATCCTCTCATCGATGAGCTTTCCCCGCTCATGAAGCCTTACGGAGTGCAGTCTCCTAACAATGAAAACAACGTGCCGGCGCAAGATGGTAGTATCTTTGGCGGGACTGGTATAGACGCGCCTGAGCTGTTTTCCCACCCCGCGGGCGAACTGCCCCGGGATATCGGCTCAGGCAACTTCAGTGACGCTCTTCTTTCTCTACAAGATGGTTTGATGCCCTTAGGCCTGTCTTTCACCCCTTTCTAACGAGTTGTAGTGTTTCGCGATGGTCGCAATGGGCTTGGTGGGCGCCTCGGAAATGGCACTCGACAGCAAGAACAAGTCGGTCTGTCGTCGATGTCTGGGACATTTCCATACTCGCAACCTCTCTCGGGCCTCGGTGCCGTGCCAAACAGCAGAGTGTCCAATACATTCGATGGCACTTCTCAGGCCTGGATCTGGGATGATCTACTCTGGCTTCCCGATGGGACTTGAGATACTCTTGGTACGAGCAGCCTGCTTCAAGTCTGTGTGACCAGAAATACCTCAACGATGGTCCCCGCTGAGGCGGCGTCTTCGTACTTCATAGGGAGGATTACATCCTAAAACCATCGTTGGCGGCGAGATGGGGTACTAAGTTGCCTGACTCGCTCCCTGGCCACGTACAAATCTGCCAAGTACCGCTGATATCTCCGCCGCCAGTTTGTGGCCGAACAGACTCATTTTCAGAAGAGCCAATTCAGTGGCGTACCAATACCTCATGAGTCCTAGAGTACGAGTATGTCGAAGACAGGCTACTGCTTCTAGACCGTACTCGGGGTGGATGGCTTCAACAAGGGGTCGTCTAGAGCCGGCAAATCGTTCTGCCACCTGAGGTACAATTTGGTGGCACAGGGTTTGGGTATCTGAGCTCCTCATAATAATACTACGTTACTCGGGTATCAAATCCTCTTCCAGTCCTGCTGTCAAGATGTTGATCAGTCCACTGTAATATTTCCCCGGTGCTAAAGGATTTGATCTTTACAGACACATTTTAGGACCTTATCTTCCCTCAACATTTCTTGCAAAACGCCGATACTGGGCAACAATCTCGGTTAACAGGACTACTCGGCCTTTCCCCGGATCGGATCATAATCTGCATCGTGAATCTCCTTCAAAAACTTGTCTGCTCCGTCTTGGTCGTCGGCGAAGATGTGATCCGCAACCATCTTCTTGGGCGTCTCGCCCAGCCACTGGAACAATGAAAAATCCTGGAACTTCTCGGCGCGGAAGATTTCCAGGACTTCAACGGGTTCGTCCTCACTCAAATTTTCGATGAAGTGGCCCATATTCCGGGGGACCACGCCGACGTCTCCAGCCATGTAGTCGAAAGTTCTAGCATTGCCCTCGGCGCCGAAGATGGTGACACGTGCACGGCCTTTGATGAAGTATGACCACTCATCAGCATTGGGATGCCAATGCATTTCACGCATTGCGCCGGGCGCAATGTCGAGATGGGCTGCGGCAATGGTCTTGGAGATGGGGAAGTTAGTCGAGTCGGTGATACGGACCAGACCCCCGGTGGTGTTGAGAGGCTCTTGGTCCATCATCTTGTGGGTGAATTTGAATTTGGACTTCTTGACGTGCGTGCCATCTGGCTTCTCCTCGTCAATGGAGCCTGGCAAGCTACCCTGGAAAATATATTTGTCGGACTTGGGAATGGTCTTGAAGACCTCGGGCGAGAGGCGGAAATTCTCGCCGAGGACAGACTTGGGAGTGTGGGCTGCACCGCATCAGTGGACGTTTTCACTGCCAAACAATGGACGATCCAAGAGACTTGACTTACCTAGCCAGTCCGTCAACAAGAAGGTCGATTCTTCGTTGAAGTTGCCGTCGTCAAAGACGATCAGGAATTCCGTGCCGTTGGGGTCTAAGCCTTGCAGAGAATGGGGATGGCCTGATGGAAAGTACCACAAGTCTCCCTTTTGAAGGTCGTCGATGAAGTTGCCGCCCTCAGTGTCCAGAGCAGTGACACGCACGCTCCCTTCGAGGACGTATGCCCACTCGGCCTCCTTGTGCCAGTGAAGTTCTCGAATCACACCGTAATCAAGCCTCATATTGACACCGGCAATTTCTTTGCTCGAGCCGAGTTCTCTGATGGTGGTTTGACGTGTCCACCCTCCCTCCTGCGCGGCGTCAGTCACGTTGGAGGTCCAAACCAGGCATGGGAGTCCTCTTCTATGAGCTCACCTCGATCCTGATATGAGAGTCGGCAAAACTCCAACGATAGTTGGACATGCTCCCATGATCGGTGCTGGGAGGCCGAAGCATATCTGGGTTTTGCCTCTCGCGGTCTTTGTTCCGCGGCCCCATCATGGTCGCACCATCACCGTTCCGCCAAGGCAGTGGCTGCAAGTCTTTGCCATACGAGTCGATTTTGCTATCGTAGGGATCCCGATTATCAGGCGTGTAGGGGTCATTCCTGTCCAGAGGTTGCAGGGCTTGTTGTTGCCGGTTAATGACCGGAACAGCCAAGCAAGAGCTCACGAACAGGGACCACAGGGAAAGATGCATAGCGAGACAAGTAAGACAGATGGACGTACAAAACAAGATCTTCTGAGAAAAAGTCTGGGGTGGAACTGAGCTGCACAATATATATACCCTTACATAGTAGAAAGATATAAACATATGCTCTCCGCAGACTAGCTCTCCGTCCGGCCAATCCGTACATTTTGCCCAAGCATCAAAGGGGGAAAAGAAGCCCCGCCGTGGCGCGAATGAGGAGGAACGTCATGATGACGGCAGAACGTTCATCCGGCCCACATTGTTTCAACGGGCCAGAAAACTTACGGGGACGACGGGGAAGGGGATTCCAGCCACCAAACGACCGCTCAACCCACTTTCACCACTATCATCCATATTGATCAACCATGCCCATGACGCGCGGTTCAGAATTCCGCAAAACGAGAAAAGGACCTCGACTTCTCCCCCCGTCGCCCGGCTGATCGTTTCGTCCTCCTCCTTGTCAGCAGCAAAGTCCGCTTGCTCTCACGTCCCAAGACATTTTACTTCCTCCCTATGCTCCCACTCCCCATATAGCCAGACCGACCAGACCACACATCACGCCAGAAGGAGCATCTGTTAGTGCTCACACGCAATAATGACCACGGTGAATGGCTACGGGGCCATCAACGGGGACTCAACTGCTGCGAGTCAGCCACACCAAGGTTCTGAAGATGAGAGTGGCCCTCTACTTGTTAAGAGGGACTCCCCTCGGTCTCTGGCTCGCTTTCGGGAATATTTGAAAGATGATATCGACAGGCGCTGGGCTGATCTGCTGCTTCTGCTGTCGTATGTCATCACCGGGCTCCTCGACAGCTCAGCAGTGTTCATCTGGGGTTCCTTTGTGAGCATGCAAACTGGCAACACCGTCTACCTTGGACTGGGCTTGGTTGAGCCGACCAAAGGAACGCGATGGATTAGGTCACTTACGTCGATCGCCTTTTTTTGCTTTGGTTCCTTCTGCTTCAGTCGCTTCCACCGCTACTTCTCGCCCAAGCGACGCTGGGTTCTGCTTGCCTCATTCGCCATCCAGATGCTGTTGGTCGTGGTAGCTGCTGTCGTTGTGATGGTCGATAGCAGGCAAGGAAACGACCTTCGGTGGGAAGTGATCGTGCCCATTTCATTGGTAGCATTCCAGAGCAGCGGACAAGCTGTGACCAGCCGGGCTCTACAATACAATAGCCTCACCAGTGTCGTTCTTACGAGCATTTACTGCGACCTGTTTTCGGATCCCCTGATCATGGCGGGGTTTTTTCAGAATGCAGAGAGGAACCGGAGGGCAGCGGCGCCCCTGTTGCTGCTGTTCGGCGCCATCCTCGGGGGACTATGGTCACATAGCTCAGTCGGACTCGCTGGTGCGTTGTGGACGGCTGCAGCATTGAAAATCACCATCATTGTTGCCTTCTTTTTGTGGAGGGCTCAGCCACCAACCCGCGAGCGCTGAGTGCATCCAGAAGATGATTGGACGGTCCATGTTTAACATTTCCACAGAGCTCAAGTTTGGATCTTTGGAGAGGGAGTACCTTACGACCACTAACATTGATGAAGCAAGGACATTCTCTTCGATGTCTGTGGCCGGGTTATGGCATGGTAACGCAACTTTTGAAAACAAAAGGCATGCACCTTCCACGTTCCGAAATGGAGAGTCATCATGATACCGGCCCACTCTGGAGAAGGGTGAAGAATCAGCTACAGGAGTCGGAATCTCTCTTCGTTACTTGCGAACTGCTTGTGTGGCGCCAACAACAACGTGAGCTTTCGAAAGAAGCAGTGGTGCATGGAACCCGTCTTTCACTTTGAATCGTGGACGTGGTTCATTATCAGAGTCTCGGCAAACTCTGCCGGCACTGAACGAGGAGTAGGAATGAAATCGGAGACTTCCGGAAATGTTACCCGAACGGCTCATAAGGCTCAATCTCTTTTGTTTTTGGCGAGAGAGACAACATGGCAATCGCAGCCATGTCAGGCTAGTTGCCAGACGCCGGTAAGGTCGGCACCGTGGCGCCGTAGGTTCATCCACATTCGGATTGAACAATACCTACATTACTGAATAGCGTGCTTGAGCAAGTTGTAAGATTCAATGGGTCCAGAAGCGATATCACTGCTATAACCATTCTTTACATAATGTCGCTCAGGTCAGGGATGTATTGTGTGCTACAAGATCGCCTCGCAGACAAACATGTTGCCGAGGGCGTAGCGGACACAATGACTAGTGATTCCCACCGAATATGAATAGTATTTTTCACACCAAAGGTTCGCTATTTGTCTGCGTTATTTTGCTTCGCAATCTATCTACGTACAATATCACTTGATTATCTCACACTTCAAAGATGTTTGTTGAGGAAATCCAACACGATCCGGTAAGCCTTTGCGTAGGCTGCCTTCACATCCTCATCGGAGAGGTCACTTCTCGCGGCCATGAACCCGTGAATATGATCCTTGAACCATTCCACCTGGTGGGGTACCTTGAGATTGGCCTCGTATTTGTCCACGGCCTCTTGATCTTCGTCCTTGGACGGAATCATAAGCATGGGAATAGTGACGTTCGGTGCGTCGTTCGGGTCAACCATGGCCGGATGGCAAGCTACAGCGGCCTTGAAAACTGTATTAGATCCAGATACGAGGTTGACGATCTGGTGGTTTGTTAGTAACAGTGCAACAATAGGCAGACAGATAGAAAGATGGTACTACTGACCTTGCCTCCCCAGCAGTATCCAAGAACGCCCCAACTTTTGACACCAGGGTTCTTCGCCTGCAACTCCTCCATCACCTTGTTGAGCCGCGCGACGGTCTTGGGAGGGGCAGCAGCGGTCTGGAAAAACTCGCCCAGTTTCTTGCCCTTCTCTTCTGTGTCTGGTGGGTACCAGGAAATGTCGGCGGGTTCGCCGTCAAAGAAATCTGGCATGTAGACCTGATACTGGTGATCCTTGTCGGCGTGAGCGATCAGGTCGGCACCCTGCAATGTCTGAGGAAAGAACCCGAAAATGTCGAAGACAATCACAACACCGTGAGTGGCAGACGAAGGTCCAGTCGCGTATGTCTTCATCCCATTGACGGTGATATAGTTTCCCTTCTCTTTGTAGCCATGGCCGACCACAGCCGGAGTGTTGCAGCATGCTGCGGACTGTGTGTGCGACATATTGGCGATGTTTCTTTTGGAGGAGCCGAAGAGGTACTGGGAGGCGGATGAGAGCTGTTTGGAGAGAGCAGCGAGTCTGTGTCGACCTGTCATTGAGGTGGATGGGAGTTTATCGTGGGGGGGAAATACGATGAGTTTGAAGATGGATAAAGGATTTGGAGACTAAGGAGGGGTCGAGTTTACGTCAGAAGGAGCTCAGGCTGCTCTCCGCGCGGAACTTGCGCTGGATTGAGTCGACTGGGTGCGCAAGCCTGTACAATTGCTGTTGTCGCAGCTCTTATCTTTTCAGACGAGTCAAATCGTGTTGAACCGAACCAAGGATCCAAGGTGTTGATAATAGCAACACTACTGTGACCGCCCGCCGCTTTGTTCCAGCACTTTTTCACCGAAGCATTGACTGACACTCCGGCCGCGGCACACTCTTCCTCGGCTTGTTGTCAAGGCAAGTCTGTGCCGATGGCCCAATGAGATCGAAAGCACACCAAACAAGAGCTCCAGCTTGTCCCACTCCAGCCGATCGGTTTCTATCAAGATTCCCACCGCCGGCTGGATGCCTAGCGCGGCCGTCCTCAAATGGGAACAGCCAACCAGCCAATAATTACTACAGAACATCATTTGCCAGTGCAACAACAGCTTTATTCCGGCAACTTCCCTGACTCTTAGATGAGATTCTGCTCCTTGCTCCGTCGTCGGAGGTACACCTTGAACTCGGACTGCTTGACGAACCATGCATTGTGCACTTTCCACGGCTTTGTGGGATCTGCGAACTCAATCTGCAATGAGCTGTTAACTCTGGGGCCGTCAGAAAGAGGAGGATATTTCCCTTACCTCGAATCTCATTAGCAGTGCTGGAACAAGCTTGTACATTTCGAGAAAACTGATGTTCTTGCCAATACACGTGTGGGATCCTGCTCCAAATGTGAAAAGAGAACTGTCCATTTGTCGTTTTTGCTCTGGCGATGCTTCGAGCCATCTCCTCGGGCGAAATGTTCCAGTGTCCGGTCCAAACAGGCTGTCTCTGTGCACAGTCCAGGCACTGCATCCGACGATTGTCCCACCGGGAATCCATTTTCCACAAATGGTGACACCTTGACGAGGCACGATTCGTTCAAGCGTAAGTCCGCGCAGCAGGGTGGCAGCGAAGAGCTTCTTTGATCACCGCACTCAGATATGGCAATTCCCTCACATCATTCCAGTTGACCAAGCCGTTGGGGTCAGAGAATATCCCATTCTCCCGTTGCGCCCAGAGCTCCTTCATCAAGCCATCCATGTCTTCTGGGGTTCTCAACAGGAAGTAGAAGATTGCCCGCAAGCTGATCGCGGTGGTGTCGCTGCCAGCAAACATGTTGGCGACGGTCAGCGCCACAACTCGTTCCCGGGTAATGAACTCAGGATCCTTGTGATGGGCTTCCGTGAACCTTGACAAAAAGTCTCTTCTTGTTCCCTTTTTGCCAGATATGGTTGCTGGTTTTTCTTCGGCGTGCTCCACGCCTTCTCGTCTGGCGATCCGGTCTCTGGCAAAGGTCGCCACCGAGGTGTTTGAGCTTATGAGTCCGACTTGGCTTGCAAACAATCGCAATGGGTTCTTGAGAAAGACACGATCCAAGATTGGGATTTGTCCAACCTATTACCCACGATTAACATTTTTGCATTCTGATTTAGGCACGGACCTACTATGGCGGCGTAGTTGAGAAGCCACTCCAGATTCCCGATGATACCGTCAATATCAACACCTCGATCCACGAACCCAAGGCGCTTGGAATATGTGAGCTCACCAATGACATCGAATTCATAGAACTGAAGCCATTTTGAGAAGTCACATATGCCTTGGGGACCTGTTTTGTCTGCAAACCTCTCCTCGAGCTGTTCCAAAAACGCCAATGTGGTGGAATCAACCAAGGATTCAAATTGAACCAGGGTACTCATCGCATACGCGTTCGATACCGCTCTTCTGAGCTTAGCATGGAATTTCTCATCCGTGGTGCTGAACATGGTGTCCAGTCTGCGACCCTTTGCTATTGTTTGCAGGACCGGATAGAAGCCCGATTTGACGAAGCCAGAATTCAAAGCATATATGATGGGAATAGCCGCTGGATCAGACACTGACACCACTCAAGGGCCCAACCGAACCAAGAGGCCGTACTTCTCGTGCAGCTGGATATGCTTGAGCTCGGGTCGACGGCCCCAGACTACAAAGCACCTCCACAGATCTGTGAAGGAAGCAAGCGCTGGTCCTGGAATGTGGTTGACACCTGTGCAATACCTATTGACAGCGAAGTGGACGACACAAAGGCATCCAAATGCGCCAACTAGATACCATAACACTTGTTGCGAGAGCCGATCAGTAACCTGGTCGAGAATCATCGTGCACCCAAACTATCCCTCCGAGGACGCGAGAAGATAATTAGACAGTCGGTATGAACTCATGCATTTCCCCTAGTCTGATATTGAAGGAAGCCACTAGAGATGCAATACTGCAACTTGAAGGCAAATTCAGCACCTTGGGTGAAACTGGGGACAATTCCATTCATGGTGATTGCGGGGATCTGGGGAAAAGCCTCCACCTCGGAATTGCCCCATCGATCAGGGCGGAACTTGGTCCGAGACACCTATGCCACCTTCCGCCATGAAATATCCTTCTGTTGGATTTGAAGTCTCCACCGGCTACCTCGCTTCTCTCAGCCTCTCGTCGTTTCGCGTCTCAGCGAAGACACTGTGAGTAAAGTAACTGGGGAGCAGGGCAGGGCCCGGGTCATTTCGAGTTGCTTAGGTGGGCGGCAAAAAGAACGATTGAGATTAGTGTTCATAAAATGATCGAGCAATGATTCTTCTCTGGAACCATTTTCATTTCTCCTGCGCCAATCTACGACTATAGCCGAAGTCTCTGCAATCCTAAACTGCTGTCTCTACCACAGTACGTGAGGTACTGTATGCCGACACGAATTGCAGGATACCCTCGTTCCTTGGATAGGGTAAAGAGTCTCAATAAATGCCAGGGAACAGCTGCCATGGCACCTCACGCTCATACTGTGTCTATTGTTCTTTGTATTTCTCCTTGCAATACTTCTCGAGGGCCGGTATGGCATTGTAGACAAAGTTTGGAATATATATTCCTGCCGTTGCCAACGCGTACAACGGACCTCCGGTAGCAAGACCATATCCAAAGCCGAACAAGACATTGGCAGTATAATTGATATGTCGAGTAATTGCCCAGAAGCCGGTCTTGCATACTTTGGAGTGATTCCCTTCGTAGCACTGGCCATGAAGATACTGAAGCCCGTATACAAGAGGCGTTCTGAGAACATGGGATTGATGGATGTGGTGGTGAAAATCAGAGGACACTTTCGTACAGGAATTCTGAGACGAGGGCAAACGTGGCGAATTACATGGTAATGCGCTTACGGGCCATCAAGTTTAACCACAGTATGTATGTGCTTGGCTGAAAGAGTCGCAGGCATCAATGCCACGAGGAACAGTAGGCGTCTGAATTCCCTCCCAAAGAATGTAACGTCAGCTGTTCCTGTAGGCGGAGGAGGCACACCCAGACGAGACAGCGGGCGAGAAGCAATCAGCAGATATTGTAGAGGGCCAGTAACGGCCTTCCCGATGGTAAAGAGCAAATTAGCTGAGATATTCCTGCCATTATCCCCTCTGTACGCTGAGCGAATCTTCTGTCGACATTACACGGCGAGTTTGATACTGTTCTGAGGGAAAATTGTCAGACATTTGAGGAGAGAAGAGAGAGAACGCAACACATTTATTGACAGGGGGGAATATTTCAGGCCACCCGTTGAAGTTGACGGCCGCTAAGAAGTAGATACATGTCTCGCCTGAAGCTTGTCACATCGACGACTCCAATTAGTTCTTGTCATGGACAAATAGTCTGCCTTCTCCCTCAGTTCACCCACTGGATTCAGGCTTTTTTCCGACCATGAACTTGGTGATATGTGCACTGTAGACACCATCAACCACGGCATCTTTCTTCATCTGGGCCAGAAGCTGTCGTGCGTCTTGACTGGCCTCCATATCCCTCGCTTCCAGCACGGGAATTAACTGCGCCACCAGGGCATACCAATGTTCGTAGAAGCCACGGAAGATCGAAGGGGGTGGCCGTTTGCTGTCAGCCACCACGTTCTCCAATCCTGCATCGGCGTAATATCTTGGTAACCGATCAAAGTGCTCCGTTGGCCACTGGAAGGTATTCATCATGATCTTCCAAAGCTGGGTCGAGGAGTTGTGCGTGACCTCTGGGTTGGGAATGCGGGTGGGATCGTTGGCCGAGTAGACATTGTTCTTGTCTGCCTCAAAGTAGTCATATTCGTCCCACTGGAGATAGCCTCCCGGTTCTAAGATCGTCTGTTCAGTACGTTTCACACATTCTTCAGGTGGAAAAAACCCATACTCAGCATTGACACAAACTTCTCCAACACGGCTCGAGGATCCTGGTTCCCCCCGAAGACCTGGATGACAAGCCTGATATGGACAAGATCGAATGCGCCTTTCCAGTGCTCAGGTACCGGGTCGAAGAAACTCCATTTGGTCACCGACAGATTTGGCGGTAGGTCAGGCTTTGGAGGTGCGAGGCCCAAGCTGATGTCTGAAGCCTCTACCTGAGCATGAGGGTATTCTTCTGCAACCTGCATAGCCCACATACAGTGACCAGCAGCAAGCTCAGCAATGCGTAGATCCGGCTTGTCACTCAGGTCGATCGAGGGATGGATGTTGCTCTTGTTGACTTCGCGCCAGAGGAAGTGCTGGTAGCACAGTCGGAGGGCATCAGGTGCTGTTCTCCAGATGGAATATTCATCGTTGCCGACAACCATGTTTGAAGAGAGGATCTGCTGGGGCCTAGGGCGAGAAATATCTGGTAGATGTTGGAGATGGGCATTCTGTTCATCTCAAAGGGTTCTTGGACAATATATACTCGACGACGTCGGCCTCCTCGAGCAATGGTGAGTTACTGAAGGCATCTTTCCACCATCGACTGAGCACAAAAAGCCCCTTTCCCGAGTCCATGTTTCTCTTGACTCAATGATCAGGCAGCCATTTCAGAACTTGTTGATCCCTTCGCGTCGTGCTAAGCTATGATTGAATGCATATTCGCTGGCGCGGGCTGCGGCTGAGCCGCTTCTGTCGGAGAAGCCTTCACCTTGACGTAAAGTCAGGAATATCCCTACCATATTGAGCCAGATAGTTTGTTCCAAAGGATGCGAGGCACTTGCTATTCCCAGAAAGACATTGTCGGATGTCTGTTTCTGGAGGCGAAGCGAGTCGCGTCGCTAATCGGCCGTGGTGGAAGGGTGGCCGTTGACCTAAAACAACGGGTCGAGCCATGCCTCGGGCGGTCAACCCCGTTCCACTACTCAGTAACTAGCCAGCTGGCGTCGATATTCAGCAGAATGCGGAGACAGTCAAGAACACAGCAACTTGTTGTGAATGGGCAGCTTTGACATCGGCTGCAGCTCAGCTCGCGAATTCCGACGCACCTTGACCGCTCGACTTCGGCCACTCAAGGTCCTTTTGTCGTCGATACTGTCAAACCTCGACGCCATCAACGTACATCTGGTTTGACATGTAAACACGTGTCACTCGGTGCCAGAATGTATCAGGGACACGATCAATTCGTTGGGAACCGACTTTCTCATAAATTGCTGCCAACCTCCTCACCAACGATGGATCTGTCAGTCCAACCACCAGCTCGTCCATCACTTCCAATTCTGCACTCAACATGGCATCCTTCGACGTCGAAAAGACAGCAGAGATTGAAGTCCAATCCGATATCTTCTATCCGGTCCAAGACCGTCAGGACGATGGTAACAGAGACTTGAGGCGCGGAACGGTGCACGAGATAGCAGAAAAGGGCCACACAGCCACAGACAGGCAAGCATATCCATTTACAGGCCGAGCACATTATATCGACTGACCTGTGAAGACATGGCAATCCGTTGGTTGTCCTAGACGCGAAGGCCGAAGCCAGACTCAGGACAAAGATTGACTTTTACGTGGTCCCAACAGTCGCCATTCTATACCTCTTCTGCTTTATCGACCGGGCCAATATTGGTGAGCACTGCAATCCCTCTTTGAGCCATCAGAATTAACGTCGATAAGGCAACGCGAGACTCGCCGGGTTCGAGGAGGACCTTGGTCTGCACGGCTACGATTATAACAAAGTGCTGACGGTTTTCTATGTTGGTTATGTGGTTTTCGAAATGCCCGCGAGCTTCGCATGCAAGTTTTTTGGCCCGGGGTGGTTTCTTCCAGCAACGACTTTTGGGTTTGGCGTCTTCTCGCTCCTCACTGGCTTCTGCACCAACATCAAGAGCGTGTCGGCTGTCCGGTTCCTGCTTGGGGTCTGTGAAGCTGGAATGCTTCCCGGAATCGCATACTATCTTTCCAGGTGGTATCGGCGGAGGGAGCTTGTCTTTCGCCTTTCGTTGTACATCATAATGACACCTCTTGCGGGGGCCTTTGGAGGTCTACTCGCATCGGCAATCTTAACCCTCGGCCACATGGGCTCACTACGGACCTGGAGGATGATCTTTGTCATCGAGGGAACCATTACCTGCGGCCTAGGTCTACTGTCCTTCTTTACGCTGACCGATCGACCTGAGACGGCAAGATGGCTTACAGTCGAGGAGAAGGACCTTGCTATAGCACGAGTGAAGTCGGAGCGGCCATCAAGCACATCAATGCTCGACGGATTCAGCAAGGGCAAACTGCTCAGAGGGATTCTCAACCCTGTGACGTTGACGACCGCAGTCATCTTTGGCCTCGGGAATATCACCGCCCAGGGTCTGGCCTTCTTTGCACCGACTATTGTCAAAAGCATCTATCCTCACCACAGCGTGGTATCACAGCAGCTGCACACGGTACCGCCCTATATGGTGGGTGCGTCCTTCGTCCTCATCCTGCCCTATCTGAGCTGGAAGACTGGCCGCTACCTTGTTTACTATATTGTCGCTCTTCCGTTCACTATTTGCGGATTTGCCATGTTCCTCGGCACACAGAATGCAAATGCTCGCTACGGTGCAACCTTCCTGGTGGCAAGCTCTGCATTTGTGTTCGGCGCCTTGAGCAACGCTTTAATATCGGCGAACGTCATCTCGGATACCTCGAGGTCTGCTGCGATCGGGACCAACGTCTTGCTAGGGAATATCGGAGGATTGATTTCCACGTGGTCCTACCTTCCTTTCGATGGCCCCAATTATCCCATCGGAAATGGGCTGAACCTCGCCGCCATCTCGAGCTGTCTAGTGCTCTCTGTTCTGCTGCTGATATGGATGCAACGCGACAACATCAAACGGTCTACCAAGAAACCCTCAGATACCAGCGAGCTGTCTATCAAAGAATTGCAGGATCTGGACTGGCAACAATCAGCATTCCGCTGGAAGCCGTAAACTCTTCATGAGGCGGCTTAAAGGCTTGATAGGATGGGGCTTGTCAATCACGATGTCGCCTATCCCCCGTTGATAAGAGTGTTCAGGTAGAGACACAAACGGTTCTGCACCGAAAAAGAGCGAGTCATGCTACGAAGCGTTCACAAACGTAAAGCATGCATGGTTCTGATGCATTTCTCATTTGCGTCAAAGTACGAAATCCCACTGAAAACCTAGTAGACAGGATAGATACCCATCCAACTCCCGTGCCGACTTGGCGGAGTAGGACCATTGATATCACCCTTCACAAAATGCGGAAGAATCTCTCCAGCCAGAACTGTCCCGGCAGCAACGGGGAGAAATTTTGACAGCTCATCCCCGGCAGCCGCTTTGACAATATCAGCCACCGCCCCCGCGCTGAGACGAGTCGAAGTTCCCTCTGGTCCCCAGCGAAATGGGTATGTTACCCAAGCGGGAGATTTCACCCCCAGCCAATCGGCTGAAACGAGGTCATACTTCTTGGAGCAGTCCATCTTGCGCTCACTGATGGCCGTGTCGTTGCGAACGAAAAAGTCGAATCCAGCTGGTATGCCCCCAATCTTCTTGGACTCGGTCGGGTTAGACCCTGCGCGGGCAAAGTTGGCATGGCCATTGCGGGACGAGAAGATAATCGGTTGAGTTCCCTGGAATTTGAAAGCTCGGTCAAGCTGGTCGCCCGTGAAGAATTGGCCCTTGGAATGTTGGGAAAGCCAGATACTGATGATCTTCAGCGTCGAGTTGTCGACGCGGACCATGCACATCTCCCAGTCTCCCACATGCTCACCGAGAGGACTGACGTTAATGTCACCCGAGCTTGTGATGCTATCCATCACGAGCCCGTCAATATGAAGGGTTCCCGGTCCATTATAGGCGTTGAAGAACCAGAATTGCAAATCCGTGTAAGGCATGCCGGATTGCCAAAAGGCGCGCACATATGCTTTCGCGTTCGGAAAGTCCCCTTTCTTGCCATCTGCTGAAAGTTCGAGATAGAATTGGTTGTCGTCACCCTTCTGAGGGAGCTGGCCAACTTTTGGTGACGGCAATCGTGCCTTTGTCTTTTTGTCGACGAGCGTACAGTGGCTCAAGAAATCTTCAACAGACGTATTGAAATACTTCTCCTCTGGATGAAGATTGAGGATAGGGCCATACAGTCCAATGACCTTGTGCACTTGGTCGAGAGTTAGCGGTTTGGCTGTTGTAGTAATGGCCGTTGGTGTCACTAAGCCTCGGACGCTTGACTGGACCACTTGGGGTTGGAATGCGATGGCATCAGTGAAGATATGCTGTTCCTCAATCGCAGAAGCCATCATGAACACAAGACTGCTGGGTGATAGTCATGATTGAATCCCGAAATCCTGGGTAGTGTGAGCCTTCATATACTTGATTGCGGTCTTCTAATGTCTGGTGAGCTGAAGTGTTACTCGTATTCGCCAGCCACATCCTCTTCCAGAGGGCGCCTGATAGCGGGCTTCAGCTGATTTGGCAGCTGAGTTTCTGTGTAACAGCCATGTTGTGAACCGGCCGATATCACAGATGGGCAAACCGGTCAAAGCCGCCACTGGTAGGGATATCTTTGGCCCTAAGAGCGAGTTGCCTTTCAAGGGGTAATTCTGGATCACCTCGCAATGCGCGTAAATAGGTCTTGGACGCCTGCAGAAGCTCGTTGGGATCTAACGTGTACTGAGGCTGACATGGCTGCTGGCGAGGATAGGGACCTCAATTGGCAGAAGCTTCGTATCGCTTAAGCCTTGAAAGGACTAGCAACTCAAATGTGGGCGGCACGAGGGCACGAGGCAACCATTCCTCATCCACGATGTAGTGATTGGTTGATTCCAAGAACTGCTGGGCGCCAGGTGTTGCAAGCAACTTTCTGGGCGTGGTCCAGGTGAGTGACCTTACCAGTCGTTTCGCAGATGCAGTCTCACCACTGTAGTCCAGTAATTTGCTTCTACTGAAGCATCAACTGCATTTTATGCTCAGCTGAGGAGTAGAGCATCGAAGGGGAGGTGACTTGATGAGGATGTGTCCCACTTTCCCGGTTCCAATGATAGGTTCAAAGGTGCCAGGCTGAGCATTCAGTCTATCATAAAAGCAGGAGCTTGAAAGAATTTGGTTAAAGAATCAAAGAGTGATGATTAAAATAGGTAATGAACGTGGAAATTTAGAGAGCCATTCATATAGTATTTCAGTCCTAAACACAACAGGTACGTGCGGATCGGTCAACGTTCAAGGATAGTAGAATTTCGTGATAAGGCTGGCACCAACGCCAATCCCCGCGTGCTTCGGTTTTCATGTAAATGTCATGGTAGCGTGCGCCTTTCAAGTCATGCTCAACAGAGCCATAAGACATGCTAATAAGAAGACGCCGCGGGTAGCTGTTTGGTGAACAGCTGCACCACCTGTGGGAGACGCTGAAGCGACAGACTCTGTGGCAGAAGCTGTTTCGGACCCGGCACCCGATTCAGAGCTACCGGAGCCTGTTGCGGAAGTGGAGGCCGAAGCGCTGGCAGGCGTCGAGGAAGGTGTAATGGTTGGACCCGGACCAGCTGTTATCATGTCGCCATTTCCGCCAGGATAAGTGGCGCCTGCAGCAGCAGTGAAATCTGGAGGAACCTGAGTCTCATTACTGACGAAGAAATACATGGCAGCAGCCGGTGTTCGACCCAAATTCGATTCGTCCAGAAACAATGTCAAGTTGAAATTGGTCCTGTTTGTAGCGTTATATCCCTCGAATGCAGGTGGGAACGTGAAGTTTTCATGCTGAAAGAAGGTATACAGGATGTAGCGGTGGGCAGAGGAGTTCGTCGGAGGAGATGGGTTTCGGTAGGGCGCTCGTGGCTGGGTCGAATTGATGAGTTGGCTGGTTCCATCATCTGCCAGCGGTGCCGGTGTCATATCGGTCTGCAGCCAGTGCAAAATGAATCGGGACGTTGGATTTTGAGGATATCTTGCGTCAGGATCAACCATGAGAAGGACATAAGATCCATTGTAGCTGGAAAGAGACTGGAACTTGGACGTCTCGAGAGCCACCGTGGGTTGTTGGGAGGGGACTGCGCCCGATCAGCTTCGCCATAGCACCAAGGACAAGCAAATACTCACTATCAACCCCGAAAAGTTCCGCTTCCGTCACAAGAATGGTGTCGCCATTGTTCTGGTAGGTGACCGCAAGGGCTGTGTCATTTGGTGCTTCTGGAAACCTAAAGTCCGGGGGAGGAATGGCTAGAGTAGGTGTGATGGCAAAGAGCACAGGGAGCAGTGCGTGGAAACGCATCTTGAACGAGGTTCAGAGGCGACTGTTGTCAGTAGATTCGACTCTGCTGCAAGACCCTGCTGCAAGATGGGTTTGTGGAAGCAGTTGTCTATGGCTGCGATACTCAGCGTCCTTGCCATCACCTTAAAGCATTCCTGGTGAGATGGTGGACGTCATCGCCAATGCGGACACTGTCCGTGCGTATGTTCCGAATCGCAGTTGTTGCGGCGGTGACGAATCCTTCTTGGCCTCGAGCCGTGGGAGTCCATGGCTCGAGGTTGAGGTTGGGCTGTATTATTGGAAACCCCCGCTCGATGATGGAACAGGTGAAACTGGAAACATCGGTGCTACTGCTTTTTATTCCCAGCGTAGCCTCCGCAGCCTAGGCCCAATGCCTAAAGGAGCCAAAGAATACACGCCGCTCTAAACGCCGGTTGAATGGCTAATCTAGTTATGGCTAGCTTGAGAATCAGCGTGCCAAACGGCGGGCAGTATGTTCAAAGACACCGCGCTTCGTGCTCTGTACTCCAACATTGCTCCGTTGCAGGAGGTGATATGCCTAGACATTCCAGCCACCGAAATGTTGCGGTGATATATTTTTCAAGGGATAGTCTGCTGCATTAAGTTTCCATCGACCAGGTAGGCGCGTGGTGGGGGTGCCAAAGCTCGGACAATGACTGTGACAGCCCCTGCAATGCGACACGTTTGATGACATTCTGAGGATAGCTGTTCTGCTGACGAGGCTTTGGGGAGGCAGGGTAAAATTAAATTCAGAAATCTCCAAGTCTTCGGGTTGGAAGCTAAGCTCGATCTCCTCCGGAAACATGCAATACCGGAAGCAAGAAATATTATGGATATCCTGAAGATGAACACCCATGATCTTCTATCCCAGAAACCTGCATCTGTCAGAAGGTGCTGTCCCAAACTCCGGTCGCTGGCACCGCTATATCCCACGAAAGTGCTCTTGGGATGAATACAAAGAAAGAAACTGAAATGCAGGGGTGCCTGCTAAGGTAACCGAGACCGGTCATACCGGTGTTCATGGTGGCATTGCCATCACGAATTGATCTTCACTAAGACCTGTTGAAGTATTCAAGCATCATAGATAAGTGGCAGCATCATCGGTCCGCCCGGGGGTTCAGGTAATCGCTCACATTATCCTACGGGCGCCGCTTCATGCCGTCTTTCCTCTGTGCAAGGATTTGTCCAGACCTTCGCGTCTCATTCGAGGGTATTTACTCTGCCGGGAGAACAATGGTTGGTCAGGATTTCGCCCAAGCTGTGTACACTCAATCAGCCAACTCTACTTTCTGCGAGAGCCCAGTACAACGCAAGGTATGACGAACATGCCCCTATTTTTCGGTCTCATCCAATGTGCTGCTGATCTGACGTGGGGACTAATGTATTCGGGCACACTTCCTGAGAGCTGAAGGGACAGCATCCCCTCAATCACAGAGATGTTACTACCGTCGTTGGCGGCAGGAGACTTTGCGGGCGGATCAGGAAATGGCCTGAAGCACAAGGGACAGAGCACGGTAACGACTTTTCTCTCTCTTGTAATGACAAAGTCGCGCTAGTACCACGCTTGTAATCTTATGGAGTGCTTTGTACTCTGTCCGCCATGGGCTAACGTGCAAGCAGCGGCGGGTCACTCTTGAGGCCCTTTCGAATCGTTGCATATCCCTTCGTTGGCTTATTCTCGTGACAATATATGATTAGCATTACGTGCTTCACATCAAAGTACCGTTGCAACATAAGAGAACGAGAACAGTCTTCGACTCCTACCATGTACAGGCGAACGACAGGCAAGTACTCCGCACATGCTCTATGGAGAGTAGATATACCAGCCGAGATCTCAGGCCAGCTAAAGCACCAGCAGAAACTATCTTACGGTGACTTGGACAGCCAACATCCTCGCAATCCACGACACTATGGGTCAAAAGGGGGAAGCGAAACAGTTCAACTTCGTTACATTTGGAACTCCCGATGAGATGAAGAGTACAAGGGCTCGCCACTTGGTCTCGTCGCATGTGTCTCGACTATGGCGCAGGAAGACACAACCACTGACAATCGAGCGGCAAATCCCCCTCCACAACTCAGCTTTTTGGACAAATACATCACGACAGATGAAGGAAATCCGGTCAGGAAGCTCACGAGCTATTCAGTCAAGAGATGCCCACAATGAATTTGTCGCCAGAATTCCCCACAAGATCCCTGGTCAGATATCGAACAGCATTCATCTGTTCCAGTGTAAGTTCGACAATTCCACTGAGGACTCAAGGCTATCGGACTGACAACGAGTTACCAGTTCTACAAGTCTATCCACTGTTCACCTGTCCAGTGGAAGTGATGCTAGATGGCGCCACGCCCCATGCAGCAGGGGTCCTAGCAAATATCGATGTTAAGGAGGTTTATCCTGCAATTATATCCATGAGTCTCACATGGTTTTGGACGCAGTTTCCTAGTCAATACTTGTTGGATAGCGCTCGGTATTACCGCCTACAAGCGATCTCGAGACTCAGACAAAGAATGACCCATGAAAATGTGCGGGATGATGTGGTGCTCATGGTGATATGTCTCTTGCAGACCGATGTGTGCCTTTCGATACAGAGTCGTGAAAGCTCTCTAATCTTGTACTAGGCATTGATGGGTGACATCAAAGCACTCACGATACATCGAAAGGGACTTGAAGCAGTCCTACAAGGCAAAGATGTGCGGCACCAATCGAACCAATACCTCAAGGTTGTCAAAGACAAGTAAGTCCGCATTCAGGCCTCTAGCCGGGGACACCATCTAACTTGTCAGACATGATCTGCTACTTGACCTGACGGGCGAACCAATGCCATTCGGTGCATGGCACACGATGTCCTCCGAAACACTTGAACTGCATTATTCGTCCACCCCATTTCCTCTGGGTATATCCGAAGTTATCGCCATGCTTCCAGAAGGGTTTCGAGCCATCGCTTCAGAAGGTCGAGGTCTTTCTATCGAACTTTCAAAGTCGTTAGTGTGGACAGCATCGTGGATAACCAGTCTCATGAAGAACCAGCCACTTCAATCGTCGCGGCGGAGCCTTGATACTGAAATCGGTCGGATTAGACTGATTCTGCAGCGGTTGGACACATCTGCCACGCCACTTGAACGATGTTTCTGCTTGGCGTACTATATGTCGATGGCAACTATGTACTACAAGCCTTTGTGCCAGACTTCATCGTTTTTCCGGTGCTGTCGAGAAGAAGCTACAACTCTATTACTATCATATGCCCCCGATACCGTCGCAGAACGGGAACTTCTACTCTTCACATCAATGCTTGTAATGGAAATATGGAAGAACGTTGCAGTTCTGGAACCCAGGGGGGTTGATCTCATTGAGAAAATGAAACACAGATATCCGGAGATGTGCCACTGGGATCACTTGAAAACGATTCTTACGAGATTCATTGCAACCAACCATTCACTTATAGAGTGGGAGCGAGATCTTCAACCAAAGTAACTGATATGGCCTTTCGAACTGTTCTTTTCGATCAACTTGCTGCTGTGCGCAGGAATCTATCTGCGCGTGGCAGAGATCGCAGATTTGGACGCTTCTGCCTACAGTCCGCCTCTGTTGCACCGGAAGTACTTTGTTCCCAAGCTTTCAATCCCCGTTCTACGCTGAAAAAGTATTATTCACCTTTCCAATGATATGTGGCTGCCTAGTGACTCCTTCATGTCTGAGAATAGATTGGCAAATTCACCACTGATTCTAATGGAAAGGTTCAGCCGTGGATGTGGCTACTCTTCCGATATAACCTCCATGGCCACAGTCCGGAGGATCGTCAGACATAGAAGCAAGATCAACATACTGCCAGCCAGGGACATAATTACTATGGAGATGGCTTTCGACAACGGGATATCTTGCCTCGGACGAGCAACTGGTCACAGGAACAGATGATGCCAAGAACACGTGTGTGATAGATGAGCCTCTGCATCTTCCAACTAGTTTTGGATGAGTCTCTTTCAAAGATTCTGATGATCTACTAGTCGACATTGTGACTGACATTCAACCAATGCATAAAGGAATCATGAAACATGAAACCAGTTTCTCATTGCGCTCCAGACGAGGCACCTTTGACCAGAACCTTCAAAGGGCTGTCCGAATGAGCTTGCGATTGACAAACTCACCAATTCCCAATTCTGAAAGCTCTCGCCCGAACCCAGAGTTCTTGATACCTCCAAATGGAACCTCAGGACCTGTATATGCACAGGAATTGACAAACACCATGCCTGATTCGATCTTGGAGGCGACTTCTTGTGCATGTTTGGTCTCACCGAACACACTGGCGCCGAGTCCGAATTTTGTAGAGTTGGCGAGTTCGATTGCCTCCTCTTCAGTGTCTGTCACGTAGAATGATGCCACAGGACCAAATGTCTCCTCCTGAAATAACGGATTCTTGGGGGAGATATCAGTGATGATTGTTGGTTCAAGGTAATACCCAGGGCGATTGATCCTCTTCCCTCCTGTGGCAATTCGAGCCCCATGGGCCTTAGCCTTTTCAATCTGGTCCAACAGGCCCTGAAGAGCTCTTTCTGCAAACAAGGGTCCCAGAGAAGTACGGCTATCCGCTGGATCACCAGCCTCAAGCTCCTTGAATCGCTTAACCATGCCATCGAGGAATACTTTACCACGATCACGCCCAACAACAATAAAACGTTTGGACGAGACACATGCCTGACCCATACAGATCATGCGTCCAGCCACACCTTGTTTAATAGTACTTTCGAGGTCAGCATCTGCTAGTACTATCAGAGGGTCGCTTCCTCCGAGCTCCAGAACGACCTTTTTCAAATTGCGGCCTGCTCGCTCAGCAACTGACGCACCGGCTCTCTCACTGCCTGTCAATGTAACTCCCCTGATACGGAAATCATCGATGAGAGAATTGACCTGAGGGACAGTACAGAAGAGGTTGGTGTAAACTCCTTCAGGAGCTCCGGCTTCCGCAAAAAGATGAGCGAATGCAAGTGCACACTGAGGCACGCTGGGGGCATGCTTGACAATCAGCACATTTCCAGCCACGAGCTGCGGTGCAGCGACACGCACTAGCTGGTAGTACGGGAAGTTCCACGGTTCAACAGCCAGGAGGACCCCAATGGGCTCAGTAACCATGACTGCACCTGGCGCTTCATCAACAGGCTTTGGTTTGAGGAATGTCTCCCCATGGGTGGCATAATACTCCAGGATGTCAATTGTGAGATTCACTTCGTATCGTGACTGGTCGATAAGCTTGCCCATCTCATATGTGATCAGCCGGGAATACTCTTCAGCCTTTTGTCGAAGAATCTGAGCAGCTCTCCCAATGATTCGCGCCCTCTCTCCCGCAGAGCGACGGCGCCAGTCGGTTTCATAGACATAGTGTGCCTTGTCTAGTGCTACTCGAACTTCTTCATCAGTGGTTTCTGGGAAGACCTTCTCCAATTCTCCTGTCACGGCATTCATAGACCTGTATTCGCTCTCTCGACTTGGTTTCGGGCTTCCCTGCACTGATGCCGGCACCGGAGCTCTCACGTCATAGCCATTCAGTGTCATAGAGACAAGGCAGTAGACTCCAATGAGGTGGACGAGTTCGAAAGTTCCTTGTCGACCGAGGATCTTGACCGACATGGCGTAGCTGTCGTCTGGAAGGACACCGCCAGCCAGAAGTGACGCAGCTACATCGTATGCTACCGCTTCAGGAGCTCCGAGATCTGCAGGTCGATTGCCCGAGGCAAGTGATTCGACTTGATCCTTTCCAATACCGAGGCTACTAGAGACGCCAGAATGGGCATACAGCTCGTATGCAGCTTTGAAATGGGACCCTACTTTTAGGATCGCGACTTGACGAACACTCTCTGGGAGTTTGGCGTTGGTTGTGATCATCTTGACCAGATTCCACACGATGGCACCAAGACCAGGTTCTTGCAGCCAGACGCTCCAGGGGCCGATCAATGCCCCTTGCTCTGTCTCAGTTTGAAACCCAGGAAGATGGGACGAAATCACAGATCTGATGTCTTTGTAAAGTGCATCTTGCTCACCCGAGAGCTGGCTCGGCGAAATTGGAGGGGTACGCTCGCCCATATCTCGGCTTGAATCCGAAGTCGAACAAAAAGGAAGATTTGACAAGGTGCACAACTCTTGGGAATATACTTGCTGCTTGCAGAAACCAGTTCCGTAACGTCTACGGGATGAGGGAGAGGCTCGTTCTCATGAGATGATACGCTGAACATATTATATACACATATCGTCCTATGAACCTTCGTGGTAAGAAATGCATTGATCGTGACCACTGTGTCGTCGTTCGGGTATTATGGATCTTGTAGTGGACGCTTGGCCAATCGGCAGAGGTTGACAAATTACTACATCAGGAATAGAATACCCCCTGGAAGTGGATCAGTGGCAGCTCTCCACCTCATAAATACAGCTTGTGTAGTCAGTCTCCACAAAGTGTATTCAATACATGGTACTCATGGTGAAATCTCACTGGTACCATGACCATGACTAATGAGAAATGAATCTATACTCTTCACCTGCATTCTGAAAGACGTCAACAGCCCTTGGGCTACCATCATTGGGCATTACATTTGCCCCAAAGGCGTGAACGGGATGACGACGATAAGAAATCTGACGTCTGGGCCCAGACAGCAACAAATAGAGGACCCGCCTTCAACTCAGCTCATGAGAACCCATCACCGCAGGAAAAATCCCATGATGGGAAGTTCGGCTGAGAATGGATGCCACGACATCTGCAGCAAGAACAATCAGGTGATACAGTGCCGGACCATATGACAGGATAGTTACGACGAACTAACACCCGGAGCTTGGATCAGAACTGCCTCACAATATACTATCATTAGTCACAACACCTTCCTTTAAATATAGTACAGGCCGCTATCACAGAATTTACAACCCCAGAAGTCATTTTGAGTCTCTAGGGAAAGAGAAGGCGCAATTTCAAAAGAAGAACATTCAGTCCATTTTCAAGTCCTCATCAACCCTGAGGTGTCCCTTCAACATCAAGGATGAGTGCCGAGTTCGATATCCCCAAGGTGTGCAAGGCAGGGGTAGTCGTCAACGAAGGTCCAGATTTCCAGATCAAAGTAGAACTGGTCCCTGTACCTGAACCAGGTAAGCCAAAACAACCGGATCTTTCCATGCGAGGGTGACCAAATAACTCTGTATAGGTCCTGACGAGCTCCTCTTGAGGCTAAATGTTACGGGGCTATGCTTCACTGACCTGCACTATGCTATGCATGACTGGTCTATGCCTAAAATGTCCGAGTTTGGGGTGCGTTCTCCAGGACACGAAGGTGCAGGAGTAGTTGTCAAACTCGGAGAAAACGTCAAAGGGTGGAAGGTCGGTGATCGTGGTGGTGTGAAGCCGCTTTGGGATGTCTGTGGCAACTGTGATCTTTGCTATTCTGGAAAGGAAAACTATTGCGCCAAAGCAATCTATACCGGCCTTGCCAAGGTAAGCGAAGCTCCTCGAAGTCATAATCAACCGCTCTGACACGAGAAATAACCAGACTGGTACCTACCAACATTACATTGTCTCTCCAGCTAAATACACAACCCGCATCCCGGATGGTGTTGATGACTACATCGCAGGACCAGTCATGTGCTCGGCCTCCACCGTCTATCGATCTCTAGTCGAAGCTGAGCTGAAGGCGGGAAATTGGGCATGCTTCCCTGGAGGTGGAGGAGGAGTTGGTATCCAAGGTAAACTCGAATGGCGCATGCTCAACGCCCTTGATAACTCAAAAGAATAGGGGTACAACTTGCTAAAGCCATGGGTCTTCGACCAATTGTGATCGACTCCGGAGCTGAGAAACGAGCCTTGAGCTTGGAAATGGGGGCTGAAGCATTCATTGACTTTCGAACCTCAACCGACATTGTCGCAGACGTTGTCCGCATTGCTGATGGTATCGGTCCACATGCAGTATTTGTCACTGCGCCTCAAGCATATCCAACTTCGATCAGTCTGGTCGGCAAACGCGTCGGTGCCAAAGTAATGTGCATTGGGCTACCACCAGCGAATACAGTCACACTAGGCGCGGACCCTTTTTTCTTCGCAGCTAGGAACTTCGAGATCAAGGGGACAATGGTGGGATCTATGAACGATACCAATTGCGCTCTGGACTTCGCCAAACGGGTGAGTAGCTACATCCGCTAAAGTGCAGAGGCAGAAGTCCTTGTATATGCTAAGTGACTGACAACATCTCCCAGGGGCTCCTCAAACCAATCTATGAAAGATTCTCTATTGACAGACTTCCGGAAGCGGTCGAGAAATTGAAGAGTGGGAAGGTTGCAGGACGCTGTGTCGTTGATTTCAACTACTAAAGACCTAGTAGAATGAGACTCCTGAGAGTACATGGCTTCGTAATGAGAACTAGCGCCAGTACGAAAAGATTCAAACATATGCACAGAGTTGACGACAGGTGCCAGACTAGGTCGAGGAAGCATAGGTATAGTGATGAGACGTAACAGGCTTGATCACGAAAATTTCGATTCCCAGACAGTATGCTCAGAGTCTCTATCAAAGTGAATAGGCAGTTCGTTCAAGAAAATTGCGAGTATAATGTTGACAGACGGGAATAAGTCGCCAATAGATAGCTGATGATGAGGTTACCAAGGCATCATGGACATCCAGTAGACACCTCCTCCTCAGACCGCTATAATACGATCTTCCAATACAAGGCAGTCCACTTACGTATGAGGAGTCCTCCAGTTTATTCCCATGGTGGGGAGTTCAGTTAGCTTATGCTGAGTGAGAGTGCAGGAGTTGGTTGATGTTGTGTCTGAAGCGCAGACGTAACACTTCGACCGTGAGCGTATGATCACTAGTATTAGCCACAACATGTCATGGTATCTCCATACTAGCTCAACATCAAAGATGGTATGTTACAGTCGCCCCCGTGTGAGGACATGCGGCTGCGCTCATAAATCTACTGGATGACTATGCAAGAAATGACTGAGAATGATTGATGTAGCACGAGACTGGCGTCAATTTGAAATATATCGAGATGTCACGGGTGGATTTACGATTAGTTCTCGTAAGTATGATGGTATGCTACAAGCCAGACGGCGCTTGTAATGCTAAATCATGTCAAGATAGTACATAAGTACATACTTTTGTTACACGACTTTCTCACTATCATCAAATACAACCCACCTGCACCATGTATCAGTAGACATCACCGTGATTCAGCTTCCTGCATGAATTACATTCACGAATGAAGTGAGGCGCGGAACCGCAAAGTCTTTGTCTGAGGTAAGGTAGCGGAAGAGCAGGTAGTAGTAAGATTTAGCTCCGCAAGTTTGTGACTGAGGTACACTGATGGGGCCCTTCGTACCTCGCTAAACCTTCTGGGGTTACTCCTTAAAAATCTCGATGGATTCGGTTAACAAAGGCTAGTCATAAGTACCTAGTATAATAGTAGCCACGATACATTCTTCAAGGTACTACTGTTCAATTTACATCAGATCTCAATCGGATGGCAATTCATGCGCTTCTCAATGTGACACAATGACTAAGGTTCCTTCATCCTACTTTCCATTTCCGTTGTCAAGAACCCTTGGCGCAACTACTGCCTGCGCCCTCAATTTTCAGCCACGTCCTCAGATCATTACCTCTTGGTCGATACATTCATAAGAGAATCACTTCCACTCAATATAATGGGGAGGTTTACAGGCTGAAACGTGATTAGTGGAATTTACCTATATAATATACAGGGTGGTACTCCTAATTCTTAGTTAGTTAGATCTCAGGCGTTAGGTTTAAGGTTCTCTTTTTCCTTCTTAAGGAGACCCCTTAAGGGGATTAATTAGTAAGGATAGTTATCTCTTAAGTTATAGAATTGACCTAATTAAGACCTTCTATACTATTATTATTACTACTATACAATAGCCGTTACCCCTACTACTATACCTACCGCCGTACGAGTTAATACCTCTAGCTAAGAGCCTTACTCTAGTTCAACACGTACTAAATACTCTATAGCTATTATATACTTTCCATAGCTAGGAACTTATTATAAATAGAGTAGGAAGTAGAAGTGAACCGTACGAAAGGAGTACACTACCCATAGGAGAGAAGTATTCTCCTACTGTCACGGCCATAAGTACGAAATAGCTAGATCCATCTAGATCTAACTAGTTCCGGTTAACTAGGATGATAAAGTAATCTGATTAACTAATAGAGTTCTATATACTATATAGGTAAATAACGCGATCTAATTAGCTACCTACTTAGGAATAGCTTAGTAAAGTAGAGTCTAGGAAGGCTTAGTAGATATAGTCGCCGTATAGTATTTATAAATATAAATCCTAATCGTCCCTCTTCCGTCTTTTCTTTCCCTAGCTTAGTCTCTTATATATAGGAATACATGATTAGGAGCGTTCTCCTTTTATAGTGTGCCGTACCGTCATACCTACGCTACCCTAAGTAAAGGGGGTTAAAAGGCTACTTAGGATGACCCCGAGCTGGATAGGCCTAAGTTACTTTAGGTCGCGTATACACTAAAGGAGGAAAGTATACTCCTCGTATCTAAGAAGTATCCTTTTCTTATACTTTAAGTCTTCTTACTACTATACGTAAAGAGATACTTATTACTATAGAATCTATCTATCGCTGAGTACTACCTATCTCTAATAAGGCATCCTTAATACTACTGTAGGCTCCCTAGGCTAACGTAGTATTACTAAATACTCTAGGCCGCGGGAAAAATTACTAATATATAACGTATATGATAAGCGAGTGAAATAGATAAGCGAGTGAAATACCTTAACTAGACTACCTAGACATTTTATAGCTATATAGTACTATAATATATTCTATTATTTATAACTACTTAGAATCCTCTTCTTTAGATAAAGAGATAACTACTTAATATATTCTAGAGTTATATCTAATATTATAGTAGATACTATACTACCGCGTACGCGTTTTAGACCTCGTCTATTAACTATTATTATCTAATATTTCCTACTTAATTACTACCGTAATACGACTTTAGGACTCTAGAAGCTATCCTTAATATAGAGTTATACTCCCTCCTTCGCGAAGTTATTTCTTTTTAGCCCGCTAATGTCAGCTTACTAGTATATTCTCCTATTAAAGGGTATTAATCTTAGACTTTAAAGGTATAAGATAGTATATAATTCCCGTTATCTCCTTTATAAACTAGTCGATCGCCTTTAGAATCGGTATTAGAGAGCTTTCTTAATAATAAGAGACTCGATTCTTAATAAAAGTAGACTATAAGCTAACTTTAGTAGGGTTATTAGGGGTTTTTAAGATCTATATCTAGGTCTTAGCTTAAGCCTCTATATTAGGTATTAGTATCCGTAACTTTATATTAAGATATATAATTACACTTTCCGAGTTAAAGAGTAGTAGTCCGGCCTCTCTAAATTCTACCTAGATATTAGTAATTATTATTACTTACTAGAATACGGCTAGAAAGGCGGGAAAGAAGTCCTCCTTACTAATATAGGTTATATTAGCGTAGACTCTCTTCTCGATTTAACTACTATATATACGTTTTAACGGGCTAAAATAACCTATATTTAGAGACTAAAGAATATAAGATAAATAAGTTAGTATATAAAGCGTAATAATATCGTTATCCTTATAGTAGAGCTTAAAATCTATAAAGTAGTAACTTTTATAGCTATTAAGGACGAGAAGATAATACTAACCTATTTTCTAGGGCTTAGTATACTAATTAAAGTACTAAATCTATTCTAGATCTCTCTTAGTCGTAGTCTAGCTATTTAAAGATATAGCGATAATTTAATCCCTTAAAAGAGTACTATTTTAGTACTAGATTAAGAGATAAAATTTACCTAAAACGATAATATATAGCGGGACTATCTAGCTCTATATATTAACGCTCTATATTACTATTACTTATTCCCGATTATCTAGCTAGACTAACTTTATATATAAACGCCTTTTAGTATTTATAACGATAGTCTCTATAGTAATAATATCTATTATAAACCTAATCTCGTTAAAGTTATAGATATCTATATCTACTATACTATACTTCGCAATTATATTCTTTATAAGAAAAAACTACGCGTAAATCGCGTTAGGATCTTTATACTAGACTCTTCTATAGTTATATTAATAAAGAAAATACGTCTAGAGCTCTAGTTATTGTTTAATAAAGTTTAATATCTATCGCTTCCTAATAGAAGATATATTTCGCTCCGCTAGTAGTTAATTAGCTATTTCTTCTATACTAGCGAGTTAGAGAGGGTAAGATTATATATCGAGATTAAGTATATATTAGATAATAGTCCTCTCTTCTAGAGAAGTTAGGTTTCGTAAGTTAGATATACTATTATCTCGAGACTAAGTACCCTTAAGTTAACGAGATAAGATAACGTAACTATAATTATAGATCTTTACCGCGGCCTATATACTAAGTAATTAGTCTCGTTTAATAGCTTAAAGAGTAAGCTTTATTTAACGTTCGTTACTAACTATTAATATAATATATTATAGAGAAAAATATATTTAAAGTTAGAGAGTACGAAAATCTAGTAGGGTATTTTACTCGCTTATCTATTTCACTCGCTTATTATATATATTATATAAAGACTATTTCTAATACTATATTCTATTATATAATTAGGGGTTAACTAAGATTAATTACTTAGTTAACCTCTATATCTAGATCCTTATTAATAATATTATATTAATTTAGGAGCTTAGTAGGATATTTATATAGAATAATATATCTATTTAAAAGATAGAAAAGCTTATAGAGGAATTAAATAACTATAAAATAGATATAATAGTATATTTATATATTTACTAGACTTAAACCTTAATAAGAATCTCTAGTATAAGCTAAAATATCTTATAAATACTATTAATTTAAGCCTTTAATATAAGAGACTTATAGAAGGTTCTTAATTACTTTATAAATACTATTATAGGAGTCTAGACTACTTAAGATAAAAATAAGATTAAGAATATTATTAAGTTAATAAATAAGATAGTTAATATAGTTATTAAAGTTAAGAATTAATATATATAGTTTTAAAGGTTTAATATTCTAAAAATATATCTCTTAAACTATTAATTTATATTAACTATTACTATTTTACTA